GCTGCTCATTATGATGCGTATGATTATGATGTGAGAGCGCGTTTTGATTTCTATTTGTAATGAAAAAAGTTTTTTCGGAGCCACAATTGAACTCAAAGCTGATTGACAAACACTTGGCTGCCAATTTGGCCCACAATAATTGCAATCTGGCTATTTGGAACTGCCTGCCTGCCTGTCCGTTTGTCCAGCTGTCTGTTTGGCTTTTGGTTTAGTTTGTTTTTTGATTCGTGACATAAATAGCGCCACTTGGCCAACAACTCGTGCTCGCGGATCTGTTCGCTATTTGCCTCGTTGTTTAACAACGCTGGCCAAATGTTGCGACGTCCTCGCTTGACTTTGATTAGAGCGCCCAATTGCTGAAGCTTGTTAATCAATTTAATTAATAAAATAAACACATCGCACACCGAACGACACTCGACGCAGTGAAAGTGCGTTCGATTTTCATTATTCAGTTTTCTATTTCAGCTCGAATGCAGCATTAAAAAAATACTTAATTAATTGTAGTAAAAGTAAATTGATTTTTTTTTATTTTGGCCAAAGCAGAGTGTCAACTGCTTAGCCTTAAATAATGATTCATATATTTATGATTCGAATTAGCATAAATTAGTCGAACTGGTGCAGCCAGTTCGTGTCTTCAGTCTCTCGATTTATGCTTAGCATATATATGTGAGCACGTTTTTTTTGGAAGCAGGCAATATTTATACACTTGCCTTTGTGGCCATTATAATCATGTTGCCCAATATGCAACACACTGAAGGTGAGTCCAGCTCAGCTAAATGTGTGAAACATTATGCAATATTTTTTTAATAACAAAATTTATGTTAGCTAAAATTAAAATTAAATTATGTAACGTATGTTTTTTTCTGAATTTTAAGCATGAGTTGATAAAATATTTATATTAATATTTATATATATATATATTGATTACTAGCTTTATATGTTCTGCTAAGCATGTGAATTTTTTATCTTGAATATTTAATAAATTTTATCTAGAAAATGTCTCCAATTAAATACTTTCATATTAAATGTTCTTAAAATATTATGAACACTTGAAACAGCCAAATATTAGAGTATTTTCTTATCGTTATACCAAAAGTTGTGTGTTTCATTCTTGTCAGCCTTAAAATTTAAATTTGGGTATTTTTAAAACGCATTTATGGAAAGTTGAAACAGACACTAACAGAGAGGGAGACACGAAGAGGGAGGGAGACAGAAGTTGGATGGATCAGCAATCAACTTTCACAAGAATCAAGCCCAACAAGCTACACAAGTTTTTTGGCTTAAAAATATTATAAAATTATAGTCAAAGTCGAGGTCAGGGTTCAGGCAGCAGCGTAAAGCGTAAGACGCTTGTCGTGTTTATTGTCTATTAAACTTGATACACACACAGACAGATAGACAGACAGACAGACATAGAGACAAACATTGCCTATAAGATCATATTTCATCGAGATGGCAAAACAATTGTAAAACTGATGGCCGTTTTGCCTGAGCGCTTTGTTTGTATTAGAAGGCAGTCGAGACGAGACGATACGAAACGAGACTGGGCAGCGCACTTGAGACTTCAGCTTCTTCAGCTGTGTTATTTGTGATGTTGCTGTTGCTGTTGCCGTGGCATCAGTATTTGAACTCAAGTTCAGTTTGCATTGGGCGCGTACAAATTGTGTTTGTAAACAGCAAATCACAAATTAGATAAGCTCGCTATGCGTGTTTCACCTGTTTTCACAAATGATTTGCCATCTTCACACTTTAGCATTCTTGATTTAAATAAAAACTTAATTTATTAACTGGACAAATGATTTGCATTTGCAAAAACTTTCGCAGCGAGAAGAAATTTGTTTGCCTTTGTCATTTTCAGCGAAATTTTACGTGACTTTTACAAAAGTTTTTGCTGTTGTTGTTTGTTGGGCTTTTGTTAAGAGTGAAACATGCTTTGATTTATAATTTGGCTTAGAAAACCGTTTACGGTTAAGGTCGCTGCTGCTGCTGCCTAGTTGATCGATTGTTGCGTCAGTTTTGATGACTGCGATTACCACTACGGCAATTTACACGAGTCGCTTACAAATTGTGCACAGCTGCTGGCATTGAAAACAATTGTTAATGCGCGCCAAAAACCCAAATGCCAAAATACCAAAATAACCAAATACCCAAATACCAATAAGAGAATGAGCTAATCAAGCGTCTGCTGCGCGGCAATTAAATGCCCACAAAATACCTAAACGTATTAAATCAAGGCTGTGTCTAACTAATTAGGAGGGCGGCGCTGCAGAGGCTCAAGCAATGTGTTGTTATCATATATATATACATATATATATATGTATATGTACGTTGAGTCCATATAAATGTATTTATTTATCAATAAATTGCCGAGGCTTATACAAAAATTTGACACCAAGCTGTTAAATATGTGTTATTTGATAAGCTGCAGAGCTCTTATAGGCTCAGCTTTCGCAAGGTGCACGCAGACAAAGAAAACTTATGGAGCGAGGATTGGCAATCGACATATATATACATATACATATCTATATACATATATATATATATATATACAGATATATATAACAAAAATTGTCATCTATCTGTTAAGCATGCACAGATTAGAGTCTACATAGCAAATTTGACAGCATCAACTTGCATAGACTTCGACTCGGTTAATCAACAACAAACAAAAATCAAAAATTTTTATATATATATAGCGGAAGTATATATGCTTTATGGAGTCAGCTAGGCCACAAACACACACACATATGTGTGCAGCACTTGATTGAAAGCTTTCAACACTTGCGCATGCTCCACAGTGCATGACCTCTAAGCGCAAATCAAAAGACTTAGGCAACGAACTTTAAGCATAATCAATAAAAATATTTATGCAGCAACTTTAACTTTAACTTTGGCTCTGTGCAATGCTAACTATTTACTAGTTAGTTATTTTTAGATATTAGCAGCTGCGAATAGATTACATAGCTCTGATATATGATTGTTTTGATGGAATATTACAAAGCTTAGCTGATGTTGGTTATTGATTGTTGTTGTTGTTGTTGTAGATGTTCTTATTGTTGTTATTGTTCAATCAAGATGCGCTCCAAGGTTTTATACTCTGATTGAGCGCGCATCTGGCTGCTCGCTCACTCCAATTACTCAGCTAACGCTTGCTCTCTCGCTCTCTCTCTCTCTCTCTGTGGCCCCCTCTTGTCTCTCTCTCAGTACATTTTGTATTCCTAACCAGTTTCGGCGCCCGCACATTAGACAAATCTGTCGACTGGTTTCGCCTGCCTTATTCTCACTTTTTGTTGATTTTTATACACTTTTATTCTCGCCGGACCTAAAAAGTTTTATTGGCATTTCGTTTATTGAAATTCTTTGTATAAGCATGTCAATAAAATTTAATAGCTCTAAGCATAGCTGCGTGGTCAGACAGAGAGACGAATACTTCTAGCGCTCACTTTGTGGGGGTTCAGTTGTTAGATGCAAATTCAAATGCAAATGCAAATGCAGATGCAGATGCCATCCGGTTTTGCTTTTGTTTTTGAATTTGTGCTTTGCAGCTGGCTGGGGCCGTGTACTGCCAATGCGGTTCGGCTGCATTCCAGGCATGACTAACAGACACCAAAGAGTTATTACCCTCAAGGTCATTTGTGTTGTTGCTGGCTGGTATATGACGACAAAGTGCGATGAATGTTGCTGAACAAAACCCACAATTAATTACGCGCAGATTCTTGAAGACAAGAGAGACCTGCCACAGAGCGAGAGCAACAACAAACTTTCGTCTCATTTGTATTTAATGAAAGTATTTAAATATCGCCTCTGACTCAGCGTACAAAACATTTGGAGTTGGCAAGCTCAGCACAGCTCAGCTCAGCTCAGCTTAGCATTTCCTTTGTGATTAATGATTTACAAGCAACAGGCAAGAATTCTGTATTCTTTATCTCTCTCTGTCAGTCTCTATCTCTGGTCACTCTCTCTCTCTCTCTATCTCTGTCTTTCTTTTGGCCATTCTTTTGTGTGTTTCGAATTGCGACTGCCGCTGTATTTGATTGTTTTTGCTCTTTGATTTTAGAAATGATCTCATCTGCGACAGCATCCACAGCCCACATTGGATGAGCATTCGTTACGGCAATTGTGAAGGCTGAATAATTACTAAAACCAGCTGTCAACCAATATATCCAATAAACAATTGGCAGAAGCGAAAAAGGCACACATAATTGAAATATTACTCAGGTATAAAGCTAAGGTGTGTCAACTAAACTCCTCAAAAGATTGCTAAGCATAACTAATCAAGTTTAGCATGCAGAAGATGCTTAAGATACTTAGGAAGTTCCTAATCTATTTATAATTTGTTAAAATATTTTTATTAACGTTAAAATATAATTATAATTTTAATTAATACACTAATAATTATAGATTTAAATTGTTGTTATTTTTTATTTTATTGTTAGTTTTAATTAGAGTTTTATGTTAAATATTATATTATTTTTATTTTAGATTTAAGCAATTAAAAAAAAATTTTTTTAAGTTATTATTTTTAACTTTTTTATATGACTAAAATATACATTAAAATAAAATGTATTTTGGTCAATAATAATAATTTATGAAGTCTAATAATAATTTATCAATATTTTTTAACCTTCAATAATTTTGCAATTAAAATAAATTCCAAATACTCTTATTGAAATTTCTCAACTGATTTATATTTTCTTATTATATTATTATATATTAAATTAAAAAAAATTATATATAGAAATCTTGTCAACATATATATAAAAATAAAAAGTTCAGGAATTGTTCAAGCCCAAAGCTGAGCTAAACAGGAAAACACCTGTCCGTTTGGCTGACTAAATCCCTTCACTTATTCTTTTTATTGTTTACTATTTTCATTGCAAAATCCGTTGGGCATTTCACAGAAAAGAAATATAAATAAATTTATGCCCGTGCTCCTGCCAGGCCAGCAAACAAAACAAAAGAACAATAAATGGTAAATGCGAATTCCTGTTGATGCTCACCTTCGGAACGGCAACAGCTGCAGCAAATTATGCGATGTAGGCGGCGATAAGTTACGAAAATAACAAAAAAAAAAGCAGCAGCGGCAGCAACAATGTGCAGCGCAATGTTCCAAAGGGTGAGCTGCAGCTCCTGGTCGGTTAGGCGTCGTTGGCTAAAGACGAGACGCGTTGGATAAAGAAAAAAGCTAATCAAAAGTTACGACACGCACGCGCTTGCCAGCGGGTTGGAGGGAGGTCTTAGCACACGATCAAAGTCAAAACAATGCAGTCGCGCGGCACTTTGAACGTAGTGTTACGATCTAAGCAACGGTACTCCGCGCACACCCCTGTAACACACTAACTGTCGTCGGATCGAAGCACCCACACGGACACACTCACACACACTCGATAGTTGGCTTGTTTCTGTGTGCGATGTGTTAATCAATAACAATCGAATGCGCATCGAATGTACATTTCGCTTTGCTGCATTTTGTTGCTAATTAAATACTTTTCGCTTGATTTATTGCAATGGCGCGTTCTATGCGCGCTGATCGCCTCACAGCCGAGCTACAGTACGTGCCTTGCACAATTGGGCGGGCAAACACAGACACAAAACACAAGCACTACAACTGTGGCGCAGCACACACGTCTGTTCCGTAGCAGGTCGAAATACTAACTGGCGACCGCAGCTCAAGTCGGACTTGTATGCACCTGCACACACAGACAGTGGATAGAGAGCGAGAGAGTGTGTCGTTAAAGAGCGAGCTGTGCTGCTTACACTGCTTGCTATATTGCTGACGATCTATTTTTGACTAGGTGGCAGCACCAAAAATTACTCAAATTGGGTAAAGTACACACAGGCAGACACAGCTCGACTTACAAATGCCAAGATTCCAATAAGAATGCAAGATGTGGAGAAACAAAGGATGTGGAGATGTGGAGAAACAAAGGATATTTGCATTATTTTACTTACATTTAATAATCTTTATTATGCTTATTTTATATATTGTTTGTTGGGGCAAATCCTCATCAACAAAATAATGTTTAATTGTATAAAACTGCACTGTCAGTTTTCAGAGCTTACAAAGGGGGATTTACAAATACTTTTTCTTAAATATATTAATTGTATAAGTTGCTCATGGCTATTATATAATAGTTATTGACACCTATGTTAAATGATTTTTAATAGTTAAATATAACAAAGTCGCGGAGTTCTGTTAACATTTGTTCTAATAAAAATTATCAATTACTTTACTTAATATAATAAAGTTTTTTTTGTAAATATTTTTTGAGTTTCATAAAAAAAATAAAGTCGAATCAGCAGACGAAATTCACTCACCCCACACAATACTCTCAATCCAATCCGTATAGAGGTAGACCTTGGTGTAGACTGAGGGACGACCTCTGGTGCCACAGATGCTGCCATAGGAAGTGATGCCAATCAGAAGCTTGAGACAATTGTAGCGCGGATGCTGCACAAAAATGGGTCCACCTGAATCGCCGTTGCAGGTGTCGCCAATGCCGTTGATGGACCCCGCACAGAATTGGGTGCGCGTTTCGATTTCCACTTCGAGACGCTCTTCGCACAGATCATCACCAAAACGTTCAAGGGATACTTTCAGCAGGTGCGAAGATTTATGGCCAGAATCTGTAGTAAGTCCCCAGCCGGCAGCTGTTAGCTGCAGGTGATCATTGCCCGAGCTGGGTGGCAAGCAAGCAGGTGCCACATACTCAGTGAGAGTCGCATTCCTATCCAGCTCGATGACAGCAATGTCGTTCTCTACTTTCCTGTCGTCATCCACATCATAGGCGGGATGCACCACGTAGTTGACGACATTAAAGTCCTGCGGTTGGGCATCGTCTGTGGTGCTGTTGTAGTCCAGTTCGCCCAGACGAACCACAAATTTCGGAGAATTGAAATTGGGGTCCAACCGCTGCTCCTTGGTCTCAGTGGTTTCCAGGCAATGCGCAGCTGTGATCACAAATCTAGGATGCACCAAGGTGCCGCCACAATCCCAGTTTATTTCACTTTTATCGCGCTCCTTGAGCCCAATCAGCGCCATGAAAGGAAATTCACGACCAGCCGCCTTGGTGCCGCCCACAATAAAGGGAGACTGGTGACAAGATGCTCTGATGTCATTAAAATGATTGCATTCTATAAAAGATTTAGAATATGGTTAGATCAATTTTAATACCAAATTTGGTGGTAATGCTTACCCTTTTCATAGGGACGATTTTCCTCTACAGGAGCCTGCTTTTGATTATTCAGAGGCAGCGGACAGCAGACAATGTCATCTATCTCGTTGCAATACTTGATCTCGTTGGCTATCAAATGTTGAATATAGAATATAACTGGACAATCACTGGCAGTTAGCTCTTTGCACTCGCCAGTGCCTCGATCGCACAGCTCACAGCACACAGAACACAGAAAGAGCGTTAAAAGCAAGAAATTCAAAGCGTGCATTGCGAGCAACATTGCGAGTAGAACTGAATCGCCGGTAGAGTAAATCAGCAGAGAAACCTGCTCCCTTGGCTCAGCTGAGACAAGTTCTGGTCAATAGTTGAGAATGTGTGAGAGCGATCATTGTGAATTAAATACAGTAGTTAAAACTGTGAATACTTAAACAAATATATAGAGCTAAACTAAGATTATTTGTTATTGTTAGTGTTGCTGTTGTTGTCTTTATCTAGTTGTGACGCATGCCCATGTTTTGCATATGCTGTTGCTGTTGCTGCTGCATGTGTTGTAAGTACATTTGTTGCTGAGGATTGCCGCCGCTGCCGAGCGGCAAGCTGGTGGTTGTAGCAGCTACTGGTGGTGCTTGTGGTTGTTGTTGTGGTTGCTGTTGTTGTGTTTGTTGTTGCTGTTGCTGTTGTTGCTGTTGTTGTTGCTGCTGCTGCTGTTGCTGTGGTTGCTGTTGCTGCTGCTGCTGCTGTACTGTGTGCAAAGGCGACTGAGTCGTATTTGTGTTTGCATTTGCATTGGCCTCAGCACTAGAAAATTATAATAAATAATCAATAAATACTATTAATTAGCATAAAAGTCTCACATTTTCTCTGTATGTATATCTTCCAGATTTAGATGAGTTATGAAACGCAGCCGCATCTGCAGCTGCGGTCGCAACCTCTTGATAATAGCCTCCGATTCGTTTTTGATGATATTGCCGACATGAATGTACTTAATGTGATATCTAATAAAAAGAAATAAGAATTATAATCATTTATACTTCACATAAATAAGCTCATAAATTGCTTACAGAAAATCACAAATCTGATCCATATACTCCAAGGGCTTAGGTCCATGTTGCTTGTCCACATTTTCCAGCATTTCATAGAGGAATATAGCTATGCCCGCCACAGCATTCGGTTTCTCCTGCTCGATGCGCTGCAGGAAGGGTCCAAAGACATGGCATAGATATAGCAACTGATGTTCTGTGCGCACACAGGGCTTCAGCTTCTCCTTGATATATCGGGTCATGGCTGCCAGCTTAAAGGCACCGATATGATGGAACACTGCATGCGCAACTGCCAAGACGACAGCATAACTCTTCTCCAGCATGGCCTCACGCACAGTCTTAAAGTTGAACAACTCAAAGGCATTGAATCGATATGTCCAGTTAAGCATGTTCGGTGTGTTTAGCATATCCTGCAGCCGATCGTAAATCCCACTCCAGTAAGGCTCTGGCAAAGCAGCCAGCACAATGCCGACCGCATTAATATAACTGTGTATTTCCTTTTGGGGTATCACCGCATAGCCATTGACAATCACATCTATTATATTGCCCGCAACCACAGAAGGCGCCAGGGGCAGGCCAAGCAACTCTACGCAGGTCACATAGAGCGCATGTGTGGGTGCATTGGGAAACTCATTGAAACGCCAATCAGTGGTGTAGAAGACGTTTTTACCGCTGATAGCTGAGTGGAAGAAATGTGGATTAATGAGCAAGTAGTTCAAGTACTTTCTTTAACTCACTGTCAGCCAGTCGTCTGATGAGATTCATGTAGTAGCTAAGTTCAGGCGTCCATAATGGATCTTGACTTTGCAGATATACCTTATATGGCTCGCTCACACTCCAATTAGCTGGACGTATCTCGCTGAAAGCACTTGTAATGGTGCTCACCTGTTGGAAGAAACTAATTATAATATTACTTTTCACTAGACATTAAAAAGCAGCTTACCAGCTTCTTCTTGAGAGGCAGACGGTCACGCAAAATACGCTCATAATAGTGCAATGTATTATACAGATAGGTAATAGGACGATCTAAAAGAAAACATTATGTTGATGTAAAGCAAATGAAACTGAATGGACGATCTTATGACAAAGTTGATTAATTTGTCTGTTAAACAGAATCTAATTTTAATCATACCATATATGTGAATGCTTACCATGAAATTTATAGAGTATGCTCAAGTGATCTAATATAATGCCTAGAATCTGGTGCACGTTCGGGATGGTTAGCTCTATGAAGCGATGTACCACCACATCGAGCACTGGCAGAAAACGCAGACACACATTGCTAAAGTAAACGGGCAGTGGGATTTGTGATGCACTCTCATCTGGTGCAAATTTCTCGGGATAGTTCTGGTGAAATTGAAGATGCTTCTCATGCCTGATAGCAAAATAAAATAAAAATTAAATTCAAGTTAAATGAAGCTTAAAAGAGATTCATTTACCAATTGCTTTGCTTCCAGTGATCAGGATTATTGTCCTTGCAGAATTCTTGCACGCGATTGCGCAATTCTGAAGCTTTCAACAATAAAAGTTGAATTATGATTAAACAGACCTGAGCCTCGTTGCCCTCATGTGTGCGCAGAGCCAGGCAGAGCACAAGCCGATCTATCGTAACCACATTAAATTTCCAAATCATATTGTTTATGGTATCCACACATTTGTGTATAAAGTCGCGACCATCAGAGGAGCTGGCCACTTCAGCCACTAAATAATCGCAGAACTTGCGCAAATGTGTGGACAAGGCGCGTGCGCTGATGCCTTCCAAAATTCTAAATAGGCAAATAGAAAAAGTACAACAGTGAAAGGAATCTTTAGAGGAGGCAAAGCTAACAGTGTCTTACTTGTATGCCACGGGACTGATGCTCTCCGTTTCCCAGATGATTTTAAAAAGCAAACACAAAAACAAAGGATTTGTATTGGGCCTGATGAAGTGAGCAATGATGTCGTTTTCATTGGACATGGATGTCCAATTACGATACTCTTCCTCAACGGACTTTTTCAGCTGCTGCTTGTTATCGGCTGGATGATGGTTCACTGTGAAATACTCGTTCAGTGCGGGTGGGAAGCATGCTAGCGACTGCACTGGCCATGAATGAGGCGTGTGTTGCATAATGTTGGATAGAAAATCCTTGCACCAGCCAGCCAATTCATCACCGCCACCATGGACGTGCATGGAACGTGCCAACGTCAAGATGAGTATACGATTCAGCTCCTCACTTTCATTGGATGCCACGCATCCAGGTGACTTGTCATTCAAATAGCGTGAAAACTGCGACTGAAACTCGGCGGAGCCAATGCTGGTAATTAAACGCAATGCTGTAGATTCAAAGCTGCGGGAATAGAAGTTAATATGACAGAATACTTTTTAACTTGCAAACTTACCAAAGATTCAATTGCATTTTATTGGTCTGCGGCACGGAGGAGAGCGAGTAGAGTAGGGAGAGCAATTGGACACGATAATGTGTGGGCACATGATGCAGGCGATAGGAAAACATTTCCATGAGCGTATGCAGCATGGCCCAGGCATGATTCTTGAATACACTGGGCAGCAATTGAGCTGTTAGAATAATATAATATATAGTATCTAACATAGATCTTCAAATACGTATGTCTGTTAACCAACTTACTTAGAAAACCCTTGATGCCTAGCGATTCAATTTCAGTGTAAACCAACAATCTGGCATAAGTTTCAATGAGTGCAGGCGCTGGCACCAGGGTCTTGCTCTGCGCCTGCTTCAGCATTTGCGTCACAAAACTGTGAATTAGCGACATTTTGCTGTGCACCGTCAAACTGTCAAGTACTGAAACAGAGTAAGTAACCGCCGGTATCGGTGTGCCATTCGCGGACTTTGCATTGCCGTTCATTGCATCCAGCAGAACGTTCATGTGTCGCGCAAAATAATCCTGGTTAGTTGAATATGCATTGCAGATAAGTATGATGCGAAAATCATTGCCCAATGTGACATTCATCATGTTATTTGGCGCAACTAGATGCTGCAAGAAACTAAAAAAGAGTTATTTTAAAAACTATCCATGCAAGGAAAGACCGAAACTCACTCTTGATGATTTTTAAGCGCAATCGGCAAAGGCCGTGTGATGTTCATATTCTCCACACGAGCTTTTTTCATTAGATGTATCCAGATGCAGATAGGCGCCATGTGGCGCACCAGGGAAGACTTGTTGTAGTCTGGCAGTTTAAGTGGCTCCTGCTCGGGATAAAGCAGATCAAACAGTCTAAAGACAGGTAAAAAGTTTGTGATCTGCAGGAAATAAATATCATGAATGAATAAAGAATTTTTAATAGCTTATTTTCTCCACTCACAGGATTCTTTTGTATGCTACCGGAGATGAACTGCAGCAGGATCCACATCAGCTGATCCCGACCCTTCCGCAACTCTAGCTTGGACAGCTGTATAAAGAAAACAAATATATAAATATTGAACAACGTTTCAAGATCACATTTCTTACTTTCTCATGCAGAGCCAGCACAATGTGCATAAAGCTGACAAACTGAAAGAGTACAAAGTAAATCAGTTGTGAGGAGAGATGCAACCACACCCACTCGTTGTGTGAGATCTGTTCGTCGGTCGCATTGAAGCCGCTGCCTGCAGTGGCATCATTCGTTTCTGTCATTTCCATGGCATGTATTATTAGATTGACCAGTTGCTCCTCGAGCGCATTGTAGCGTTGCTTCTGATGCTTCTGCAAATTCAACATGACTGAAACCATTTCACGTGAATATGGCTGCTCTAACACATAGCGCAAGAGAGGCGTCTGGTCCTCCAGCAGTTCGGGTTCATATGGCAAACTGCCCTTAAAGTTAAATTTCAAGGTATTGTGATCCAGTCGCCAAGAGTTCATCAAGTGATCTGCATAACCAAAATGTTCCACAATGGGCAACATATTTGCATGGCCAATGATCGATACCATTTGAGCTGTCGCACGAAATTCTTCAACAAAATCAGTCATCAGCTTGTTTAGTTTCCAGTGATACGGAAATGGACGCATTATTTCATTGGCTATGAAGTAAGCAGGCAGCAAGCAATTGTTACGATCGAATATGAAGCGTATTATCTCCTCCACAGCAAGTAATTGAGGTAGATAAGTGACGTTGACATTCAATGGAAACCATTGGGCCTTGTCCCTGCAGGCCTTCATGATTTCCCGCACACCCTTGTAGTCCACATGTGAAATAACTTTCTTAATCAACCGAAAGCTCTCGATCCAAAAGGTTTTACGCTCATAGTCCAGTTTCTCGCAGGACAGCACCTTATCGCATAGCATTCTATTGATGAATTTAGGTTATTATTGGTTTAAAAATTGCTTATAACTGACCCACCTTGCTGTAATAAGATGTGCATCCACCAATTTGGGCAGCGCTCCCATCAGCACCTGCATATGGTAGCTAGGTGCTTCCGCGGCCCGCAGTAAATACCCGCGCAACACCTGTTCCTGGTTCTCAACATTGCCGAATGCGGTAACTGTAATAAATACATATTGAATATACGCTTCAACATATTTATATCGTACTTACTCAAACTATTCGTAAAATTTGTAGCTTTGTCATCCTCGGACTTGAACACAATGACGCTCACAAACGCTTCATCTATGGAGTCCACTTTCTGTATGAAAAGCGCAGCAAATAAGTCACACATCAATTGCATTTCATTTATTCTTACCAGAAAATCATTTACGGCGTCTAAAATTTGTGTATCCATTGTAATGCTTTATTTATTGTGCATTTTTTACTCGGACAAACAATTATTTGTGCCGGCTAGATCTTATCAAAAAAGTATCGATAAAATTATCAGCTGGTGACCAGTGTTGCAAAACAGCACTACAATTAAAATCCTTAGCCTCCGCGAAATTTCCCGCTTTTCATTTATTTATGTATTAACAATATATACTTATGCTAAACATGTAATGAGAAGTGGAAATTAATATTATTTTTATATTTTTTTAATATTATGGCATGTCCTGCGGTGCCGAGACAAGCTAGTTGGGCAGGTGAACGCTGCACCACATTCTTCACATTTCTTATCCTTAATATTCAAATGAGCTTTCATATGATTTTTCAACTGGACTCTCTTACGATATGTATTATGACATATATCGCATTTATATGGCCGTAGATTCAGATGAACCCCGTTAATATGATAGTCGAGCAATAGTTTCAACCTAAAGGATTTGCCACACCGCTCGCACACATACGGCTTTTCGCCCGTATGAACACGTGTGTGCACCGTTAGATCGGTTTTCAATGAAAATGTGCTATCACAGTATTCGCACTTGAGCAGCTTTTCACAATGCTGTCGCAACTTGTGTCGCTCCATGTCGTGTGCCTTCTCGAAGCGACGTGGGCACTGGGAGCAGAGATATGGAAGCTCGCCCATATCGTGTACCTTGACCATATGGGCACGTAGACTGTAGTCAATGAAAAACCGTTTATCACAATATTCACAGTTAATGACGAAGCTTTCCGACTTGGGCGGCAGAAAGCTACACAATTGCAGATAATGAAGTTCTGATTTCGTACAAGCACGCCGCAATTCCTTTGACTTTACTCGCCGCAGGGTCATATATGTCCATTTACGTAGTCGCAATACGGCCATATAAACTTCCGTTTCATTAACACGCATCTCTGGCGCCAACAGTTGAGCTATCTTGATATACGCCTCGGTTCGAGCATCCACCGACTTGAAATCCGGCAGGGAACTGTCATATAGCACCGGAAAGTTAGCATAAGTTTCGATAAACGTCGTTGTCATATCATTGATCTCCTTGAAATTTAGCTAAAATATAGTATAAAATCAATTAGAGCTATGTAAGCGAGTTTACATTTCCTACTCACTTGTATTACATCTGACTTGGTCTCATCGTCGTCTTCACTCTCCCCAGAACAATTGCTGATCGAGAGAAATTTACATTTGCGAAGGTAACGTGCAGCTACTCCTGTCAATTGGGTCTCGTACTCCTTTTGCCTTGCCGCTGCGTATTGTTTAAACAATTGCTGTATAGATTTCTTTAATTCCATTTCATTGAAGAGCACGTTCACTTTTTTATCCATTGCTTCAATTATGTCAGAATAAGCTTCAATTTGGGCTTTCTCCAGTTTGAAAAATTTATCGTTCGGGTTCCACAAGCATGGATGTTTTTTGAATACCTCGATAAAGTACGTCACACGCGGATTTTGACGAGTGAAGGATATTTTTAACTGCAATTAAAAATTGCTAATTACAATTATCTGTATACTTGTATTATTTATGTATGTGTATACCTTGCGTTTTAGAGACATGGGATTAGTTCTGCTACGTTTGGGCTTATTTTCTTCAGATTCGTCATCAGAGTCTGTGGAATCGCCTTCGATATATTCATCGTCTTCATAGTTGTCGCTGTTATTTGAAGTCTCCTCTTCCTCCTTTTTCTAGTATTTTTTAACGTAAGTTTATGATTCCATTGAAAACGAATTATTTGCATTTACTTACTTGTATTTCTTCCAGTTCTTGACTTTCGGATTCATCTCCATAAGTTTCTGTGTCTTTGCTTTCTTGATTGGATTCGACACTAATAATATGAATACTAGACTTGGGGGGATCTGTGTCTGTGGGCGATTGTGGGTCTAACTCATGTTTGAATATTTCGTCGGTTTCCTATTCACGGAATAAGTTTAAAAGTAAATCAAACAACAAAAATGCTTGCAAATTGCTTACATAAAACTCTTCATCATCTTGCTGCCATGTGTCATTCTCCTCTTTTATGTCCACGATGCTGTCGTTGTCTTCGTAAGCCTCGTAGGGCTCTTCCATTTCATTTTCGCTTTGAGCGCCGCCTTCTTCATCGACATCATCGAACGGGTGGGCGCTGCGTGTATGGTGAACAAACTTTTGCCAATTCTCCAGATCGCTTTCGATGGAGCAATAAATACACTTTAATTTGAATATTGTGTTGGTGCTATTTGTTAATATGCTGCCACATATTTCCATTTTAACGGCTCTAAAAAAACAAAGACGAAATGATGTATTTGCACATAGTTGAATATGTTAAGCACTGCTGATTTCGGACTAGTGCTGTGCAAGGCTGAAAAAGAAAGAAATCGACTTCTGAACTTATCGATAATAAAGGCGCCTTTTTTATTTACACCGATTTATTTCAAATAAATAAATTAATTTTTACTGATTTTAAGCTATTTGAGTTTATTTATAGAAAAAGAGTAGTTATTTAATTAGTCGTTTCTGGAACTACAGTCTCTACTAATTTTTGTGCATTATTGCGGACAATATTATGCGTACGTTTCATGTGTGAGTTGAGACCGACAAATTGTGAAAACCTAGCTTCACATAGTTTACAAGCAAACTTTTTAATTTCCGAGTGTATTTGCCTATGTCTAATGAGTGAATGGCAACTAGTAAATCCTTTGCCACATGTTGTGCAAATCTTATCCCGGATATTTAAATGGCTCTTAATGTGGTCCGACAAATCAACCTTTTTTAGAAAGTCCTTCGGGCACATGGTGCACTTAAATGCTCTTATCTTTGTATGAATGGCAGTGACATGCAACTTAAGTTGAGATCTTAATCTAAACGCCTTGCCACACAACTCACAAAGTATATTATTTCCGGTGTGGGTGCGTATGTGCAGGCGAAGGTCTGAGTTAACAGAGAAAGTGCGCTCGCAATAGTTGCACTTGTGTGTCTTTCCAATATGAAAGCGTTGCACATGAGTCGATAGCTCAGCACGCCCTACAAAACTTCGATCGCATGATGTACATTTGAAGGGCAGCTCCCCGATATTATGTACCTTCCACAGGTGCGCTTGAAGCACATGATCCGAAGAAGTTTCCTGCTGGCAGTATTCACAAATTAGCTTTTGCTTGAACATCTTAGGTGGCAAAAAGGCACAGGCTTTCAAATAAAAAAGTTCCGATTCGTTAGTCGTTTTAATTGCATGCTTCGTACTCTTGTAGTACCATTGGCGGAGGCACTGTATGGCGAGGTAGACATCATCGCAGTTAATAACATAATGTGGCACTATAGTCTTAGCTGCCATTGCTTCATATGCCAGCTTACGAGAACTAATGCTTGAGAAATCCTTGTGCTTGCAGTCGTAAAGCTGGGGAAAGTTGGCATATAGCTGTATAAAGTCCGTGGTGAGCTTGTTGCGTTTACAAAAGTTTAACTGCAAGCAAGAGTTTAAAATAAACCATTCAAAGTTTATAGTAAAGTATAGCATAGAATACCACCTGAATTATTGAACTTTTAAAGGCATGCATTTGATATTGACTAGCTTTCAGAAAACTGCAGCTTGTATAATGATTAAAGGCCACAGAACTTGGTTTTTGGTTGCCGTTCATAACACGCTTTTCGACCATATTATACTGTAGATGCAACTTTTTAATCGCTGCCTTCAATGAATGCTCTGTGAAGACAACAGATATCTGAGCATCTAGCTCCATTATGAGCTGCTGATAGGCTGCTTTACATGCAATGTGATCCTTATATTCACTACAGCCAGGATTCCAAAGGCATGGCTGATTCTTATAGGACTCAATAAACTTCAGTGTGCGTGGATCTCTTCGAAAAAATGATGGATTAAACTGAAATATACGTCACATAAGTAAATATTCAACAGTCAGCAACGAATTTACTTACCTTGTCTGTAGACGAATTCGAACTAGACATATGTATATCCTCATCTTTAGTTGGTGCTATGGATCCACTTTTTGCTGAACTATTTTCACTGAAACTTGCATCCGACAGTGTTGAACAGGGTCTCGACATATCCGTCTCTGCAACAGTTGGCTCTTCGATGGGTATGATCCCTAGCTTTTCTTCCTCACTGTCTTCATTTACAGCTATTTGTTCTATATGCAAACAATCTGAGTTATCCGTCGCTTTCCAACCGTGCGTATGCCGAAAGTGGAGCACGAATTCCTGCCACTTGTCTATCTCCATGTCTATTGTGCAATATGAGCAACGCATCAGAAAATTTTCAAAATCACCGGCTCTACTCATAATAACGCCACAAGTTTCCATTTTAGTTTGAAAGAAACAAAATAAACCATATAGCAAAATGCAATGCAATCAGCCGTCTTGTAGAGCTGCCAGATAGTTTTACCAGTTCCGATTTTATTCCGTCAAATCAGCTGCTTTAAAAATTATCATAAGTGAAATGTTATAAAAATAATTTAAATAAATTAATACTTTTATTTATTTTTATTCTTTTTTTACGCTAACGCAGATATTGTTAACTTAAGAAAAATATATTATTAATCCAGTTTCTTAAGATAAATTTGCGGTCTGGAACTAGTTTTTATAGATTCGTACAAGCTGCCAAAAATAGCAGAACATCTGGCAACTCTATTGTGTTTATCAGTATTTGTTTACATGTTAGGCCGCCGTACTGGAGCTAGCTCTTGGGAATGGTTAAACGAAACAAATTGCAATGGAGGAACACAGAAGTCGCCTTGCATACACATTCTATATGCTAACACTGTTTCTATGTGGCGCGGTGCTCTTTTTAATAGGCTTCTTTCCGGCCTCATACTCCGTCGCAGAAAACGAGCAGTCTATACCGATTGACCGGCCAACAACACTGCATGGTGAAAAGTAAGTTGATTATCAGTTGCTATGTTATGTCAGTGTATGCTTTTTTAATGCCACATATGCTCACTTCAACAATCAATTGCAGACTGAATCCACCGCCTCCCAACTACCAGTCGTTTATACTATTCTTAATAGACGCTTTTCGCAATGATTTCCCCTCTGAGAACACTATGCCAGCAGTTTATGAGAGGGCGTGCCTTAAGCTCTCCCTGCACGTTGACATACCGACTGTGACAATGCCACGACTAAAGAGCATCACAACCGGCACATTGTCGAATTTTATAGACATTGCGCTCAATGTAGGTCACACTGAGCAGTTGGACGACTCTTTGCTTCATCGCCTAAAACGGCGCGAAGCCGTTGTCTCTTTTATCGGTGATCACACTTGGGTGCATCTCTTTCCAAGTGAATTCACACGTAAAGTAGCCAACAATGATTCGTTTTTCGTCAATGATTTCTATGAGGGCGACCAAAGTGTGACAAATGCTCTGGCGGAGGAGCTGGAGAAAACGGATTGGAAGCTCCTAATCTTACACTATCTAGGCCTGGATCACATTGGCCATGTTGAGGGCAATGAAAGTCCAAGGATTAAGATCAAACTCAAGGAAATGGATGATGCGGTAAAAAAGATATTGAATCATAAGGTAAGTTCAGCTCAGCTGCTTTAGGATTATTTCTCTGGAGCTTTAAGAGCTTAATCGAATGCTGATTATATCGCAATATAGCTACTCGCGTCTTCTTAAATGTATGGAAATAATTATACGTTATATTCATAGCATATGGATAACTATTTGCTGATGTTGACCGGTGATCATGGCATGGCTGATGGCGGGGGCCACGGCGGCAATACGCCCGCTGAAACCTCAGTTCCACTATATTTGTATAGCAAGAACTGTAGCAAATATACGTAAGTGAACTTACTATAGTGTATTACCATGCTAATTGTATGTATCTTAGTTCTAGCACCAAGCGCTACAATCAAATTGATTTGACACCCACGCTGGCGGTCCTGTTATCTGTTGAAATACCAACCATGTCTATAGGCTGTTTGATACCAGAGATGCTGCAATCATTAACGCTGGAGGAACAAATGTACGCCTACTTCTACAATGCACATCATCTGCTGAATAGGGCACGCGTCAAATTTGGGCACGACAGAGTCCGGCGTAGTGGTACGTTTAGTAATAGAGGATCGTCAACCAGCTGCTAATTATAGTCATTTGTAGACTACTATCATTGGTATCAGAATGCCACGCTGCTGCACAAACAATTGCTTACGCCGCTGCGGGTCGGAGATGGCACCGGAGCTAGCAATGTGCACTACCAAAATGCGAAGCTTAACTATTTGCGCGTGGCCCGTGAGATTTCCGCGCAGCTGTCCGAGTCGCTAGTGAAATTTGATTATGGATTTATAGCCGTGGGACTGACACTCACAACAGCCGTACGTAAAGAATAATAATCCTGTTGAAGCTTCATATTTAATTTAACTGTTTCTATTTTTCCTTCAACTGTAGAGCACATTGCACCTTTTGTTAAGCGTTTTGTTTCTGGATCTTGCCTCGGAGAAACTACGTTTGCATAGCTTTAATGTAGCTCAGCTGCTGCTCTCTCTGGTAATTGGAACTCTTCTGAATGTTGCCTGCCATCTGCTGGATATAGTGCTGACTAGCTCCTTGCTATATAGTTTACTCTTGCTGTTGCCTATTGTCGCCTCCATTTATCTAAGTATTGATGTGATCCAAGCTCTGATCAAAATTGCCTTGCCACCTCTCTACGCGCGACGCTTGAAACTATCAATTCCATTGCCGACCCCTCTGCTGTTATGCTTCGCTATACGCATTTTTACGCTGGGCTCCTCGTCGTTCATTGAATTTGAATACAAAACTTGGTATTATCTGGGCAACACACTGCTTCTGCTGACTGCTTTTAAGACACTCCGTCGCCGCATTACCAAAGCGAATGTGGAACTGGATGGACGACATTTGCACAAAATTGCCTCGGCATGCCTTTGGCAGCAGCGCAAGATCTTTGTGGTGCTGCTGTTGCTCATGCTGATGCGATATCTACATAGATTGTCGGCCATCAAGAGCACACTGATGTTATTTTCCTTAATTCTGTTTTGGGCACGCCTGCGCAAGTTCACGAACACACCGCAGACCGTATTCAACGGCATTGCCTTCCTACTAGTCTACTGTTTCCGTGGCTTGAATGGTCAAGTGAAGTTCGTGGAGCTGCCTTCGCATATGGTGTAAGTTATGGATATATTAGAATTGATAGCGTATTAACTCTCTCTCATTATTGCAGATCTCGCATCTTATTGCCCGTGCTGGTGCTATTCTGGTGCTGCGTAGCTCTCGTATTCGTGCTTGGCTATCGAACGGCACTGCCACAACAGAACAGCGGACAGAGCTTGCTGGACGAGCGCCCCAAAAGCAATCTGCTGAAGCTGCTGCAAACGAATATGACCTGTTCGCTGATCTTAGTCGCACTGCTGTATAAGGTACAAAATGTTGTGCTGTTGCCCACGCTGCTCATCACACTGGACGAGACATACAAACTATGCGATGCTTATGGCTCCACGGCTCGGAAGTTCTCCGTGCGCGTGGTGCATGTGTACAAAATAATCATGACCATTGTGGTGGCCAGGATGTTTTACTTTTATCAGGGCAACTCGAATAGCCTGTCGACAATTGATTTAAATCCCGGCTACATGGGTCAGACGAGCTATAATCCGAGCATAGTTGCCTTCTTCGTCACGCTGAACACCTACAGTGCCGAAATACATTCCTTCCTCTACCTGATTGTCCACACCCTGCGCGCGGATCTCCGGAGTGTTGGCATTATTCAGCTGCAGCCGCCGTATGCGAGGGCAGTCGATACGCTGGTGGTGCCATTGTATGCGGCGCTCGTATTGTTACCAGTTGCTTTTTACCTCTGTCTGATGTTAGTTTTCCGCTACCATCTCTTTATCTATTCCGTCTTTTCACCCAAAGTGCTGTACGACTGTTATACTGTATTGGTATTCTATTTGGTATTCCTATCAACGAGTTTGTACTTTAAATTGTTTAAACATGACGCTTAATTAAAATAATAATTTAAAAGCTTTAAAAATCTATCCCTAATTGGCTTCCACACGCAACGCGTAATGTATATCATCGGCGCTCACATTCAGCAAAATCTTTTGGTACAAATCATGTCGGGAGTGCTCAGAGATTATCAATCGCTCGGCACCCAGCTTTGAGCATAGATGCAGTGCACGTCCTGGTGCTGGAAGTGTCACGCCCATAAACGCCGCAATCGTTTCGATCTGTGTGTAAACTCCCATAAATGTTGTTTCCTCAACACCAGTCCGTGTGACCTCAGCTGCAACAGCCTGCAGAAAGATTTGCTCCAGACGCGAACAATTTTTGATGGCCTGCACTTTAGCACTGGCTATCATCTCGGCCAGCGCCTGCTGCACGTGTAGCATGGTCACGCACTTGATTCCACCCGGCTGTGCGTCAGCTGTATCAGCAATTTCCGTTGCGCGTCGGCAAATGTCGAGTGCCCGTCGTGCATCACCAGACACAGCGGCTACCTTTCGGGCCACCAGTTGCACTGCCTCTCCTTTGAAAGCCTCAGAGCCAGCCAAACGCGCCGTCACAATCTCCTGCAGCTGTTTGTGTGTATAGGGCTGGAAGGTGAGACGTGTGAGGCCCAAACGCGATGTAACCTTGCCTAAGAAATTACACAGAAATTAGTTACTGCTTGGAATGGATATGGAAAGCAAGATTCTGCTTACCCATTAGCAAACGCTCGGGCAGATCCATTGTATTGGCTATGGTGACTACGACCAACCGGGCCGCAGATTTGGTTGGCCAGTCTAGCAGATTGTAGACAACATCTTGCCGTCGATTGCACAGTATGTCTAGTTCATCCACCAGCAGCACAGTCGTCACACGACGCGGCGCCGGCGTAGTGAAACGCTTCTCCAGCAACGTGTGTGCATGTTCCCAAGAAACGGTTTTGCCCGTCAACTGCTTGTAGATCTGCACATACGCTTGCCGTGGCTCGGTCAGGCGCATGCCGTTAATCTCCAAAAAGTCAAAGGCGGGCAGCTCATCCTTTTCGACCAGATGCTGCAGCGTGCGAATTACGCCAGTGACAGTTGCCGTCTTGCCTGTACCTGGCACACCTGAGACGTACATACAGCCACCACACTGATCCTGTATCTTGCCTTCAAGAAAACTATAGATGTTGTCAAACTCCTTTTCGCGACACGGTAAACTCTTGGGCACCACCGAAACGTGGAGCTGTTCACGCGCCAGCTGCAACTGTGATTTGCGACGATCATCCACAGGCTGTTCGCGCTGCACCATGCTGGGACTCAACTCGCCTGAGCGTATCTTTTTGAGCTTCTGCGAGGGCGTCAAGGGAGCTTGCTCTTTCTGCTTTGTTACCGATGGCTGTTTGGTGGTGCTCGATCTTCGTGCCCGTGTGGGCGTCTTTTGGATTGATTTCTTAGGTGTGTAGTCTGCATCCACCACTTCGTCTGTGAGTTTTGAGCGAGTGCGTTTGGGTGTCGAAATAATCTCGTTGTCATTAAAGATGCGCTGCTCCACAATGTTGGACAAGTGAATGCTGCGCCTCGGCGTTCCCTCGGCTGCCAATAAATGATAACTTTAATATTATGATTACGTAAAGTAGATAGCTATTTACCCAAGCGTGTAGTTGCCGATTTTAAAATGCTTTTGCGACGCGTGGAGGGCGTCACCTCTGTGCCCACAGGCTCCAGCAGTTCCTTGGACTTCTTGGTAGGCGTATGATAAATATCGCCGTTGGTGACACCCAAACGCTTGCGTCCCGACTTGCTGCTGGGCGTATAGTTGACATCTAGAGGATCACGATCATCATCCAGAGATTCGAGACGAACCGATTTTCTGCGCTCGGAGACACGCAACTTGATTTTCATATCATTTGAAGGTGTCTTGGGATCTGGCGTTTGCTGCACAATTGAATAGTTCAAGCAGTCCGAATCGGCTGTGGTGTCGGCTCCTTTGTCCAAGCTCAAGTTCAAGTTGCGACGTGCTGCCGAGGCACGTGATTTGGGTGTCGCAACTTTTTGATTTTTTTCAGTCAATGGAGAGGCCATTAAATAGTTGGCATTGATCTCTGGCTCAGCTGCAGTTGGTGCTCCGCTCTTTTTCTTTTCAGATAGACGCACCACACTGCGGCCACCCACAATTTTAATGGGTGACACTTTGTTCTCGCAGTTGTAATAGTTGACATCGACGAATTCTACAGGTGTTTGACTCTCTGCCGCTGTGGAGACGCGTCTGCGTGAAATGGACTTGCGCGCTGAAGCGGAGGCAGGTTCTCGGACAGAGCGCCTTTTGCGCGCCGATTCCGCTCCATCGAGCTGAATTTCAAGCGGTATAAGTCGATATGTGTTCTTTACCTTTAGAAACTTATAGCGAGATACAAACATGGGACACTTGGCTGGTATTTTGTATTTACTAATAATCTGCTGGGCAGTCTGTTTGGAAGTCCCTTCAAGCACTAGACACTTACGTAGGATGCAGCCCAATGCCACGTCGTTGTCGTAATAGCGATGCTCCTCAATAATCTCAACTTCAAAGTCTATTGCCAAATTGTCCGCATCGAAGAACTTATGCGGTATGGCCTGCGGGCGGGAGTACCACTGTACTATAGCTCGACAGGATTCTTTGTGGGTCATTTCCCGAAGTTCGTATAGATGTAGGATCTTAGCGATGTCGCAGCCGTCTACTGTGTCGGGTTCGGCTGAATCTGCGTTGGCCACCAATATGTAATCACCCACTGATAATGTTAATGGGCCGTACACGCACTTTTGGTAAAAGTATACATTTTTGTGCTCCAGACCTTTGACGCATGTGTTTTGCTCGTGGCTGCCGATCCAAATGACCTGCTGAGCAGCGATGTTTGCATTTTCGTTATTAACCATCACGATTTGTATATGTAGTCAAGCAAATATTCGTTGTCAGCTATTTAAAAAATGGGTTGCGCTCTACTTAGTCTCTTTTTTTTACAACAATAAAATCAGCAGATTGCCGCGCTGCGCATTCATTTTGGCGCAAAAACAAATTCTAATCGAACGATCGTTAGCTATACCGATACTTTAAGCACGATGTATCGATTAATGTATTGTGAAGAGTGTAGCCCTGGTATTGAGTTCGCTCAACACTGAATAATTAATGAATCATCCTAAAGGAGAGCTTATTGGAAGCAGCAATGAAGGATTTGTGGACTTGCGGTTTCTTTTTGTCAAAAGAGCCATACAATGAAGTAGCCATAAAATGCTTTATGTGCGACAGCTTGTTTTATACCACACATCAATTTCAAAAACATTTGGCGCAAAAACATTCGTATGAAGAAGATGAAGAAATACTTAAGCCAGCCTCAAGACAAAATTCTAACTTACATGAAGATTTGCCTTTAAAACTTTCCAACACTGAGGTAACAAAATAGAATAAAACTTTTTTAAATATTTAACATGGCTATTCTTAAAATTAAAGACTGAAACAATGCAATTGGAAGAAGATGAGATAATACAAGAGCTATATTTTGAGGAAAATCTGAAAAGTCCAATTAGTGAAACTATTCTAGAGCCGGTAGACACATTAAAACAGCTGAGGCCTTGCAAGAAATTGAATAAAGGTGGTTTAAAGGCTAAGAAAGAAGGTTCAATGTGTGATAAATGTGGAAAAATATTCAAGGAGCGCTGTCAGCTTCAGAATCATTTACGCGTAGCACACGATAAATTGCGTCTTTACCTATGCAGCAAGTGCCCCAAGCGTTATGCTCGATTGACCCACTTAAATGACCATATGCGTTCCCATTCACAGCAGCGAGACTTTGTCTGTATCACATGCGATAAGACATTCCGGCGCTCTCAAGAACTGACCCGCCACAAGCTACGTCATCAGCAGGGGAAAAACTACAAGTGCTCGGAATGTGATGCTAAATTTCGTCAGCACTCTGGACTTTATCATCATTTAAAGATTAAGCATGCCAAGAAGTAGGCGACTTGGTAATGGAGAGCAGCGGAAGAGAGGCTTGTAGATTGGTATATTGGTATGCGTACGCTTTTATTTATGGTTAATGGTAGTTGAATATAATGTCAATTTTTTCTTGGGTACGTAATGAGTACAAATATCAAGCAAATCGAATCAAACATTTTTGCATTGCATGCATAACAATTTTTTCACTTTTTTTTGTATTTTTTTTTAAATATTTTATATAACATTTATTCTGAATTTTTTTTTTTTATTACTTTGCTTCTATTTAAATGGCATGTGATTTGTAAAGTCCAATCAAATAAATCAACATTGAAGCATAAAACGACGTTAACTACAAAATGCAAATCAAGTCGTTAAATTGTTGTTGCTTAAATTAAAATCAATCACAATCCATATATACATACAAAATATAATACTAAAAATGCTTAATAAATAATAATTTAAAAAAATTAATGAAAAATCACTGGTGGCTTTCAAAACGATTGAAAACTTATCCAAACAACTGACTCAAACTATTACAAGAACAGAATTCTTGCTACGAATATTAAGCACATATTTAAAGGTGTGTGTTTGCAGCGCTAATTTACGGCAAATGTCGTGGGTGTGTGTGAGTGTGTGTTTGTGTGGGTGTTTGTGAGTAAAACTAACAGAGATATTATTTTAAGTTACGATGAGTTAATGCTTTGATAGATTTTAAGATCTATTCAATATCGTGGAAGCGTAGAATAGCGCGTCCGGGTATTTCGGAATTGATCAGCTTCTGTATAACCTCGGCGGCCTGCTCGCATGGGAACACGGAGTATGGTGGCGGCTCGATCTTTTTGTTAGCCACCAGCTCCACTAGTTCAGCGAGCTGCTCCACGGTACCATTTGATATTGGTATTATCTCCTGCTGATACTCATTCGATAACCTAGAGAACTTTGGTAACAGCTTTTCGGCCACCTCCTCGCTGATGAGCACAACGCCGCCCTTGGACAGGCAGTGCATGGAGCGATGTAGACTTCTGGAAGTTGTGCCAAAGTCAATGACTACATCCACAGCACCGCCGCACACATCCTTGGTGCGCTCAATCAGCTGTGGCTCATACAGACACTCGTTCCACTGCACTACGCTGACACTGCAGATAAGGAAATGTTTTAATTAGTATAGAGACTTGGCTAAAAGTATTCATATGCTCACTTTTTGATCTCTGTAGCTAGACGGAAGCCCTCGTCCCTTAGACTAGCTACTGTGATGTCCACGTTGTGTGCACCAGTCGATGCGAAATGATAGGTTGCAATGCGTACTGCCCATAGGGCCAAGCCACCAGTACCGACTATCAAAATCTTGCACTTCTTATTGGGATCCGTTGCGGCGCGTTGGTTCAGGATATCCGTTACAACGGCTTCTGCTTTGAATACAGCATGCATGGCCAGCAATGCGCCAGTAGGCAGCATCGCTGCCTCCTCCATGGGCATACTATCCGGTATCGGGACAATGTACTTCAGATCGGGCACCACCAGGAGTTCTGCATAGCCGGCGGGAGTCTCATCGAACGGATAGACAATAACACGCTGTCCGATGCGCAGGCCACAGTTGTTGGCCTCTGTGATCTCTGAACCCAGCGATTCAATGACTCCCGCCACCTCAAAGCCCGGAAAGAATGAGCCCTCACGTATGCCCTGATGAGCCGGTGATGACATCGACGTCACTGACGGGCAATAATCGCTCAGCTCCGACGAGACAGACGATACGCTGGTTATCGAATTGGCGCGATCGCGGCGCCGATAGCAGGCGCCGGCGCATACAATCTTGATGCGGGCGCCATGTGCCGGCGTATCCTCGATGGGCACAAAGAAATTAAAAACACAATTCTTGACACCCGGTCCGGGCGATTCAATTGACACTTGGCGACACAATTTGTTCATGTTGTATTGTGGATGATGATCGGGATCTGTCGGCGGCAGAGCAGACGTCAAGGAGAGTGCGTTAAGCGACAAAGAGGTATCAGTTGTTCCGCTGCAAAACAGAACAGAAAAATTGGATTTATTTTATATACACAATATTTCTGTTGAATAATTATTACTAAGAGCAACAGCTCATGGCAAATTATACATATTATTCAATGCAAGTATATAGAGGTCGTAGCAAGATCAGAAAAATATATAGCAACATTGCGAGCTGTCAGTATAAATATCATTAAAATCAAAAAAAAAAAAAAATATTTTTAAGTTTAATTTATAGATTTGAAATATATAAATTTAGACAAAAATAAAATATTCACAAATGTATAATATAAAAGAGAAATTAAAGAAAATATATATATATATATAACAATAAAATAAAAAAAAATTAATATAATAATTTTAATTTGAAATTTGTTTTCTAAATAAAATAATATTATAAGCTAGCATCAGAATGCCATATGTATTATGACAAATTTTTTATCAGATTGTTTTTTTTCTGTATTTAAACACAAACGCTTTATCGTTTTGGAACAAGGCCGTTTTGCAATGAAAACTCATTGCTTTTCATTACACAACAAACAAACCGAAGTAAAAACGATTTTGGGAGATTGTTTGGAGAGCGACATGAGGTAATAAGTCCTTATGTAATAGACGGAAATGCGCAGATCATGATATTTAATTACGTATGTAAACAACTTATCTTTAGTTTCCTATATGAAATAATCTTGATTTCAATGCCAACAACAAATTGATTTTAATGTAAGAAAACAACAGTTTTTTTTTGTGCTATTGCTAAGTGGACACGTTTCTCAGGTGTGTATGTAAAAGGTCAACTGTACAGGTGTGCTAATATACAAATATATATAAATATGCAATAGAAAGATAATCTATTTATACAGTAATTTCGTTATGTTTTATTTATTAGCCATTTGGCGTGACAATATTTATTATTGATATTGATTAATTCGTTTGACAAAATGATTTAAGTGTTTGCACCTTAGCCCGTTAGGTTAAACAACTGGATGAACGCGTATCATAAATATTTAATATAGATTTGTAACATTAATTGGCAATCAGCTCATCAAAATCAATTTTTGTTCACTCTGATTAAGGAAATCGGTTAAAAACTTTATTTTTATGGCAGCAATTGAAAAGTCTATAAAATAACATGATATGGGTTTTACCTTAGGGAGCTTATCATATTTGTATGCTGCTGCTGGCTGCAAATGTCGACCGGCATATTTATTATTATATTAGCTTAGCTTTAGTGTTGTTTATATTTGTCTTTAATAAACCGTAAACTTTAACTTTTTATTTAGATTCTCTTCAAACACTGTTTACACTGCGATACACAGAGATTTTTCTTTTTTAATTGCGACCACTCTTTCCAGTACTGGACTTATCGAGCGCACTTCCAAAGAACAACTGAAATTTTACTGAGACGATGCGCGCTCTAAAAAGCAAATGAAGCCGGCAGCAGCAACGGCCGCAGCGACGGCGACGGTGTCAACAGTGGTGGAATGAGTTGAAAAATCCAAAAGCTATACACATACAGTTACACATATCCACACGTTCACGTACACCGTACTCACACTCTCACATGTCTACAACTTCTGCACATGCACGCAGTGCATGCACTGAGCGTGTACACTGAGATACATATCACAATTTTATTTGCTATGGATGCTTCGATAGGTGAACTTTTAATGTATTTTTAAATATGCTTACACAGAATGTAAAACTAATGAAAAACAAATTTAGCAAAATACAAATATAGTCAGTGAAATATCAGCTGTTTATATTTGTAATACATTAATTTTTGTCAGTGTATAGCATCCAGTTTTTTTGTTTATCTTTTGTTTTCATTCGTTTGTGTATATATCTATGTGTGTACATATGTCTGTAAATCGAATTAAGACTTCTGAGCAAAACAACTCGACGCAATCCGTAAACAAAATCAAAGTGAAAAATAAAAACAAACGAATGTATACTATATTCTAATACATATTTATCTGAACAGATTTATAACCAAAACAAATATAAATACAACTGCGTCGCGTGGACTTGTTGTCAAGGGGGTCCTCGACTTTTATATTTTTAAATATTCTAATAAATTTTAAAATATATGTATGCAAACGGTGAAATAAAGAAATCAAACGCCGAATTAGTCACGTTCCCACTCGCTGTGTGGGGCATTACGTAGTAAGAAAGCTATTGAGATAGAACCCGACCCATTGATAAGTTTTGTTTACAATAAGTAATATTTTATTTATTATTTTTTCAAATCAAAAACAAATAAACAACTTTGTATATACACAAATGCATCGATTATGCACACACTCACACAGCCATATTCACACGCATATACATAAAAGCCACAGCACTCATGCAAACGTATAGAAATATGTATATGCGCCTTTTTGTTTGTTAAAGCGAGTAAGAGCGATGTTTGAATGGAAATGAGGGTCAACACCAGCACTACCAAAACAACAACATCAACAAAAAGAGCAGCTACAACAGCCAGCAAACATGTGAGTTCTGCGTGATTATCACGCACTCGACGCGTGCAAAATACATCAGCCGGCAAACTGCTCGCTCTCACACACTTTGTTGCGCTCTCTCTCACTCTGTCTCTCAATCGCTCTGTCGCTTTAGCTCGCTCTCGGTTGGTACTTGTTTTGGTTCTCAGTCTCACCCTCAAACTACGCTTAGCTTGGATAAAAGCGCATTCGGGCGTTGGGCGAACGCTACTTTGCAAGCTATAGAAATGCTGGTCTAAAAACAGAATGCGGAGATAGAAAGCGCAATAATACACATATACACACGCACACACTTGCATACAAACATCTTCTTTTGTGCGTAAAACAACCTTTGTTCTTTGTTGCCACACTTGCCATACATACATAGTATATATGTGAATATGTATGTGTATATACATAAATTCAAGTATTAATATCTTTGCATCCTGATAATAAAAATCTCTGAAATCATTTGTCAGTCTCATGGCGATGAGGTCAGTTTTTGGCTGTAAGCATTTACGCAACACTTAAAATGTAAACATAATGAATTTTATAGCAGCCGCACTTTGAGAATGAATCTCCTTGTACATAGATATGTATGTATTTATAAATAAATGAAAATGTATGCATACATGCAGATCAAGTCGAAAAAGAGCGAAAGTCCCATAAAATGCGACATTGCGAAATGAATTTATGGCTCTTTCACAGTTACGCACACATTTATCCATTAATTTAGCTCAATTTATGTTTTCAATTAACTTTCATGTTTAATAAAAGAAATAATGCCAATGGCAGAGTAGATATGTCAATTGCCAACGAGATCAGCGCATGGAGCGTTTCGTCAAATGCTAATTTATTTATTTATTTATCATTGTTGTTGAGCCGGTCACAACTTTAATTGAAAATGGAATTCTCCATTCAATTTTCATAATAAATAAAAACAATGATTGACAATGCATTCGGCTGGCGCCAGCCCTCCTTAAAAATGTAGTCCACTTGCTTTTAACAACTAGTCGCCCCACTTGATTTGGCTTGCATTTGATTTACATGCTAAAAATTATGCAGCAATGAGACATTAAATTTTATTATATTCGTTTGCATTTAACCGGAATGAACTGTATAGCGCGACGTTGTATGCTATTTTTAGACCCTTTGTTGACGATCAGCAGAAATAAAAAAAAATATTAATGCCCAGCGTCCACGCTTTGTGATTATGATTTTTGATATGAAAATAATTTATAACTATCGAACACACATACATTATATATATTTGTACACATACATATATAGGTATTGTAGAAATTAACTGTGGTTTTCTTTTGTTTTTATTTTTTTGATTGGAACACTTTCGTTGTTGAGTGGCATATCCAGGGGCTGATAGGATGCCACGAGTAGCTTATTTATTTACTATGCACTTGATGGTCATTGGAAGAGTTGTTTATGCATGAGATGGCACGATTATTAGATTAGAATTCAATAATGTTTTATTATGGCGTGTACAATATTAGGTATGTATTATGTTGGCGTCCATGTTCAAATGTTTGTATGTATGTTGGTTCACGCAGACGCCCAGTTTCGACACGAATTACGCAGTTAATATGCTACGGTAACGGCATATGCCAATAACAAGCAAGGTAAATAGCCAAACACAGGAGTCTATGTATATTGTCTTAATGTATATATAAGGGTACAGAAGAATAGTAGCCGCTCTGTCCATATGTCACAAAGGAATTGCGTAATGTGACTTAATTATAATCGACTTACCTTATAAAAACTGTAGTTGTAAATCGACACAAACTGTGGTTACTAGTAGGATTTCCAGTTTTAAATTCTTTAATTTATTTTTTTTATCAAAATAGGGAATATTATTAATGTTAACTTTGCACAAGCCCTTATAGCGTTTATAAAAATGCAATTAATTTTTGCGCTACTTGTTTTGCTTGCAAATCCTTTCTTACTGTTATACACCACCGTTGCCGCACGGCGTACAGCTCAAGGATATATTTGACTTTGAAATCTCCTTTGCTAGATACAAACGAAACAGCAATGTAAGTGTAAATATAAGAAACGAGCCTGCGCACTTTAAGTGCTGAATGTTTGATTTTCAAACATAACAGTCAGGGTACGAAAAGCCTTTACAACACTGTTCGAGTATCAAGTTGGCAACACTACAGAAAATATGTTACAAGTCAGCTAGCTGACTGCTATGAACAGAGCAACAAAAAACTAGCTGCTATAAAAGTCATGCTTATTGAGGGCGCGTCTATTTGTTTGCTTTTTTATTTTCTGCACAATAATCAATAAAAATGTCAAGGAAGCCTGATTAAGATATTCTAATGACCATGCGCAAAGCGTCACGATTGATTTTCGCCTGCTTTAAAATATGACCTTCCACAAATATATCCGATTCGTACTGCAAATAATTAACGCATTTTTCCACATAGAGCAGAGATTCCTCCAACATTTCCTTGGGAGAGAGGTTCGACAGGAGTGACACGCGTCGCGTGTGTTCAGCAATTGCTGAATGCAGCTCAAAGCAAAGGGTGCCCAGCATACGCACTTCACCTGTAAAATAAATATATTAAGTATACGCTACTTATATTAAGTATACGCTAACTTACATGGCGCCAAGATCTCATAGAGTTCAATCAACTCTTTAGCATATTTGAGTTTCAGTTGCAGTTGCTCATCGGATATGACCATTAGCTCTTTTTGATCCTTGGCAATAAGCTGCACCTGCTGAATTTTCACCTCGCTTAGGTGATAATGCTGTGGGGGCAACCATTTCTCATAGTGCTTCAAGTATCTAAAGAAGTAGAATTAGAATTAGAACATAAATTATTGATTATTGTATTTTAGTTGAAAAAATCATACTTGAAGCCATTCTCTGCTGTTTTTTCCATACTTTGAACATCTTTGCCCGCGCGCTCCAAAATCCCATCCACATATTTTCGCTGAACTTGCTTCTGGCAGTCGCGACAGCTGAAAGCGAATAAAGTTAGCATAGTCAAGGGTGGTCCGAAACAGGATCTATTTGAATGGTTTGCTATTCATACCGCCAGCAGCCATGCCAGTCGTCCGCCTTGCTAGGCAGGAGCAGGCCCGTACACTTGCGATCCTCGCACTTGAGGGCGCTGTAGTTGGTGCCCAGTTCGGTGACGTCCACGCAGCGTTCGCAGGCACACTTGAAGAGCTTGGTCTGCATCAGATGGCGCTGACGATCAGCTGTGCCCCAAACAGCATCGGAGTAGCAAATACTAAGATTTGCACCCTTTTTGATCGCCTTTGGTGCCCAGAGCATGCAGTGGCCATTCTTATTGAAGCTCTTGGCCAGATTAGGCACGCAGGAGTTTTCCGTAAAGGAGGCCGTGTAGAAGACGGCCACGTGTGGCGGATCCGATGTGGGCACCTCGTGTCCATTGATCTGCAAAGCGCCCACAGCTCGCATGATCTCCTCCTCGCTGAATTTCTGGGTGCGAAAGAATCTGTGAAGGGAAAAGTTATGTAAATAAAAGAAATATATATATATATATATATATATATATATATATATATATATATATATATATATATATATATATATATATATATATATATATATATATATATTTACTTGGGTATGAACTGTCCAATACTGGCCAGATCCGCCTTCCATTGATTGGAGCCACGACGTGTTTGCTCCAATGATTCCAGCTGCTTAAATTTCTCTGCGTTTGCCGGATTCGTCTCGCTGATTAGCAAACACCTGACCGTGCTAACGCAGGTGTACAACGGATGCGGTCCATTGAACTCCTGTACATTTACTTTCTGGCCACGCGCCTGTGTCAGCTGGCATTCGGCTTTGTGCTCGTCCAACGCCTGGCACTCCGGGCCACACAATGGCCAGCCGCACTTGTCGCAGGTGATGTGATCGCTGGCCTCGATGCAGTTCAGGCAGCCCATGCAAACGGGTGCCGAGATTTGTGCCGGTCCACGCATCAGGGGCGCCTCCTTCAAGACAATCTCATAGGGCTTGATGTTACGTGTGGCCACCAAATGGCGACCCAGCAGCTCGTTGTGCGCTATCTACAAATAGTTCCGATTTTTTTGAGGTTAGAATTTGTCTATAGCTGGCAATGGAAATAGATTTGTGGCAAATGAAGCTACCTTAAATGGATGGCAGTTGGATTTGTGCGATTTCCAGTCCTGCTTTTGATGCTGCACGCAACAGTAGGCGACCTGATTGCAATTGGAGCATTTGTTCTTGGTCTCTGCCTGGCAGACATTGCACGAAGTCATTTTGCAGTTGATGCTAAAGGAAGTGGAACGTAGTAAACACTTCAATTATAGATTTATGGATTTTCTATTAGAAATTATGAACCCAAGCGCAATGCATGTGCATGCAGACACGTTTCCGACTGACTGACTGAAAGAGATGTGGGCCAAGAGAGATGGGCATGCTCTCGAGTGAAGAGCACAGGGCTCTATAAATAGACCGCATACAATTACTGTGCCAGACCCAAGCATTGAAGATTTTTCTTTTCTAGCAGCCAGCAGTCAGCAGCTCATATCTCCAAACAAAAAAGCATATTTAGAGAATCCAAATAATAAACATGGACACATCGCTGCATAAAAGTTACGTTGCTCTACAGTTTATAGCTGTATCGAAGTTGCTTAATATCCATTGGTTTCAACACCATTTCAGGTTTTGAATTTAAACTTTAATTGAATTTAAACATAGTTTTTTTCTCATATTTTTTTTGTTTTTGTTTTTTTTTTGGCGTTGTGTTTGTATCTTAAGGTATTTGATTGCGGCTTCAATATGTACAATTTGTTTTAGAGTTAATTAGAGAAAGTTAGTTAGGAAAACAGCGGGAGGGAGAAGTGGTGACATAGAACACAAAGCCGTACACTCGCTTATTGTAGAACTTCTTATAAATCCACTTATCTTTCATTCTTTTTTGTGTCGGGCCTGCATGTAGAACCCGTGACGTACCAGGACTACTGTGGTGTATATACATAATATTTTTTCGAAATCCATGTTTCCATTTATAAATACAATTTTTACATAGTTTATACATATGTATATATAGATATATATATGTAAGAATAAGTATATATATATATATGCAAATATATATATATATATGTATACATATACATATATGTAAATATATATATATATATAGCCTCCACCCCATTTGTAACAGTGAGGTATTTAACTACTTTGTATGCCTAAACTTTGCTTTTGGCCTAAACGTCGGCAGCGATTGACTCTCACAGAAAATGCTTTATTGCTTCCATTTGCACTGGCTGTCGATCATATATCAGTCTCCTCATTGGCTCCTCCATTCGTATCGTGAAGCATCACGAATTTCTGCAGCTTAACGTTTTCCTTGTTGTTATTGTTGTTGTTGCTGTTGCGCAACTTGTTACGCTCGCGTTTCTTATCTCGCGACCCATTGACCTGGAAATTATCGCTCTGGAATGGTATCGTGTATTCACTTTGAAATGCATTTCCTATCACTGTCAGCCTTAGATCCTTGTCCCGATTCTCATTGACGTTGTCAGCCTCATTCTTAGTCTCAGCTCCAGCATTCGAATGTGTATTGTAACGACCTGGAGTATAAATAGTACTTATAATATATGTTGAGACACATTTTCCTGCTTTATAACTACCTTTGGCACCAAACATATCGGTGTGCTGTTTAAGGGCATTTAGATTTCGTCCACGTTTACGCATATTCATGCGCAGTGCTGAAACTTTGATGGTCTTGGCACTCGCACGACTGCGCCTTGAGCTAATGTTATGGACGCCATTGTTTATTAACCCGTTGGGCATCGGTTCTGGATTGACTGTTTCGGCTTTCGCGGGCGGCATCTGCTCATCGACGGGTCGCAGTTCGGGCTCTGGCGACGATGAGGGCGTTAGACTGTGGGCCCTGCCCAAATTGCTTTCGGTATCAGAGTGATTATATTGATAAATATCAGCGGCAATGTCCTCGTCATCCTCGTCATCATCCTGATCGATTATCTCGATCTCATCAGCCTCGGATAGGGCGCTTCTCAGCAATATCTCCGGGCCACCGCCATAAATGCCGTGCAGAAATCGCCACAGCGGTGCATTCAACTGCGCATAATCTGATCCGGCACGCACACAACTGATGTTGGAGCCATTCTGAAAACTGGTGTCGGCAATGCCATCATTATTAATGGGTCCCGGTTCTTTGTTTGTTATGCCGCGCAGAAATTGCTGCCACGCACGTAGCCATGGCATGGCAATCGCATAGATGGCCGTGGCATCCAGTTCACTCTGCTGCACATTGTATTTGGTAAAGACGGCCAGTTCGTATTGTTGACGACGATAAAGGACATCGGCCGCTCGCTTACATATCTCGCACTCGAATATAATGTTAACGGCCGGACCGCCACCGAAACGATTATAGAGAAAATCCCACAGGGGCTGCGGAATGGGCACCGCAATCTGACTGATTAGCGCCGCTTTGGAATGTAGAATGCCGCCGTGTGGGCACAGCATATCCTGATTGTTGATCGGACCCGGCTCTGAGAACGTGGCCAATCGCGACAGCCACTCGCGTGTCACATAGAACTGAATATCGCCCTCATACAAAGGGTTCGATGTAGACAAGTTGATCGCCTCTTCGCGCACCAGCTTCATTTGGGGATTGTGTTTTTGGTAGAATAGCACATAGGCCTGACAGTTCTGAACCACATCGGGAGTCACCTCCATGACGAGCTGGTCATCAAACTCGTACCAGCGACCATTTAATGCATTGCGCGCATAACACGTATAATGGCCACCTCCAACGGTGCCGTGATGGCAAATAACAGAGCACAGATTGTAGGTGGGCACCAGCGAAGTGCAATCCTTGTGCATATATGGTCGCATGTCAAAGCCCTCCAGCGGAAAGTAGACTTGCGAAGAGATCTTCGAGCTGTACGACAGATCGTGCCTGAAACGCTTTAGATGAATGCACAGAACCTCCGGCAGATTGAGTACGCGCGAATACTTAATGCCAGTGCGTAGCTTGTTGCAGCGTTCGCAGCTGCAATAAAAAGCGGGAAATGAATACATTCTTCGCTTTGTATATTATATATCTACTATACCTGTACATATTGTCGCCTTTGAGCTCATCTGCACTGAAGAAACTGGCCATGCAATCGTAGAGTGTAACCGACGGACCAAATATCCATGACCGCACCATGTTCCACATCCAAGCAAACCAGCCCTCATTACTGCGCGCCGATGCCAAGTCGGCTGCATTAAGGCTCTGTACACTCAGACTGTGCGTCTGATGGAGCACATTCAAAAAGTCACGGGTTGGTATGGGCAGCGATAGGTCCTGGAATGTTTCCTCGCGTGTCGAGATGCGATCGCATGTTAGGCACTGCACAGAAGAAAGCAGTTTGCCGTCGAAAACATCGCTGATAATTGAATGAGCTGTCTCAACGGGCTTTGATTCTTGAACTGTCTTTGGGTTTTGTTGTTGCTGCTGGGTAGCGGAGGTATCAGATAATGGGTTGCTACTGCTATTCCGATGTGGGGATATATAGTACTCGGTCTTCATCAGCACTTCCGAAGATCGCTCCGAGATGCTACTCTCGCAGGTGTCGTACTCGCTTTCCGATGCTGTAGGCGTGTGACATGTCTTTGGAACATCATCATAATTCTCATCATCCGTTTCGCTCGCCTGCTGCTGCTGGCTTTGTGTCAACTGTTGCTGCTGTTGGTGAGGCTGTACTGGCTCAGGCTCGGTTAGTTCCTCATGTAGCTGATCCATAAAACAGCGTAGAAATTCTTGTGTATCATGCTGCTGATAGCCACGGAACATGGGATGCACCGATCGAATGCCATACAAAATTCCACGTGGCGCAAGATAATCTACAAAAAAAAGAAGAAATTTAGCGAGTCTTTAGAGTAAACTGCACATGCCACGTACCCTTTGGATCCTCGATATCCAGCCATATTTCCTGCATCAGGCGTTGATAGCTTTTAGCTAGGCCCGCGGGCTTGGAACGCGGTGTGCTCGCAATGTGCTCGACTAGATCACTGCAATTGATAAAGTAATGTGTCACTGGCGATAGATTGCTCAGGGCCTGCAGAGCCGAATTCATGTAACACGTATTTGCAATGTTCTGCAGGCCGACGAGGCCTGTGCCCGAACCCGTGGCCTCATCGTCGATGTCGTCACGCTTAGCTAACGAATTAAGTGAGCAGCTGAATAGTTTGCCCTTATCTTGGTATCGCATATTGCGCATGGACAGACTGTTGGTTGCCTATATCAATAAGAGTTCAAGGTATTAAAGGTATTGAAAAAATGAATAGTCATGTAATAGAGATCAATGCACAGCTGGCTCACCTTTTGACCCAAGTCCAATTCGGTGCAGAGCTTACTTTCTATGTACGAGCATTTTTGTGAATTGTTGAAACCCAAACTCATTATATGGTTCGCTTTCGAAAGATTTATAATACAATTTTAATTGAGAATTTTGATTATAGTTTTTTTTGTGGTTTTTTTTGAACGCTACGTTAAAAACGTGACTACTGCATTGACCAGGCTCTGTACTGGAAGACCGAAGCTTCCAGGACATGCGAATTGACCGATTGCTGTATCCACGAATTTTAAAGTACAACAAATTACCACTCGCTAAAAAATAAAAAAAAAATTGTTTTTATGCCTTCAGACAGTTCGCTCGAATATAGAGATGGCCGATACTTACGCATTTGTTACTGTGTCACGAATAGATATAGAAGACTAGTTCGTTAGGTGTAAGTCAAATCAGCCATATCGTTATCGTGGTTCCTAATATTTGAAAACTTTATTTCAGTTTATTTTCTGTTTAAATAACAAACTAACTGTTCAAAATATTATTTACAATAATCATTTTTTAAATATGGAAAAAGTGTGTGTTAGTATCTGATTGGCTGAGGATCTAACACGGGCTTAGTGGCGGCCAGTCGATGAAAGCAAACTTCCGATAAGATAGTCGATATCTTACAGGCGTTGTATGGTGTTAAGACCGGTCTAAATGTACACATCCTTCACAACATTTTGACTGATTTTTAAGCAATTCATGTTAACTACAGAAGCTTCTGTTAAACTTATATTTTTACAGTGTTCATGTTTTGATTGTTTCCAGTTACCTTCTAAACTCGAATATCTTATTTTTTTTATTAATAAAGTCAATCAATTAATTTCATATCAATCAACGAATGTTTTAAGGTAGTTGGTATTATAGTATACTCGACATATTACGAGTAAGCTCATAAAGAAAGTGACCTCCCTGTTAACAGCAGCTCAGTAAAAAGTTAAATTGATTTTTGGCCAGGGCACCAATAAATAAATAAGAACTAGAGCCAACTGAACTACTATGTAGTCGTTCAGTTCAGTGAGTCGTTCGATCGAACTTATTCCGAACGATTCGATACAACTCTAGTATACACAAAAGGTTTAAAATAAGTACTTTTCTTGTGCGATAAACCGCAAAGTGTATAAAGGACGTGTTAAAACGGCGACATAAAAGCAGAGTACACAATTGCAAACCGTAAAATGGAGCCCATATTATAGTTTCGCGTGAATCGGCTGCTGGAAAACGGTAACAACAGCCCTGCCCCATTGCTTCTCCCCTTGTATAACAGCCCTGTTTGCCAAGTGCACTGCTGCTCCTGCTTGGACACAGGACACACAAGTGAAAACTGTTTAGCTAATTGGAAATGAGTTTAATAAATAGAATAAATTAAGAATGACGTATAATAAAACGAATTCTTAAAATAGCAATTGACTTATGCGCAATGAGTGGCACAATATGATTATTAAATACCAAACATTTCAATTACAAGCTGTGTGTGCAGGGGCTGCGGTTTTTGAAGTACTGTACTAAAAAAATCGGACACTTATCAAAAATGAATTTCTAGTGGTTTTTCAGTTACACACATAGAATTGCATAGTCGGAAAGTCGAATCAGTGGCAGAGATAAGCAGGATCATGACCTTGGAAACGCAACCGGTTGGAGGTGGCCTATGCGATGGCAAGATTGCTGGACTATACGATCTAGAGGAGACTCTCGGCTCAGGCCATTTCGCCGTAGTGAAACTGGCTCGGCATGTGTTCACGGGTGCCAAAGTGGCAGTGAAAGTGGTCGACAAGATGAAACTTGACGAGGTGTCCAAAGCGCATTTGTTTCAGGAAGTTCGGTGAGCTATAAATTATTACTAATGATCCCACACATGCAGTCTGATCCAAAAAAACTTATCTCACGTTCTCTACAGTTGTATGAAGCTGGTACAGCATCCAAATGTGGTGCGTCTATATGAGGTGATTGACACACAGACCAAGCTATATCTCGTGCTGGAGTTGGGAGATGGTGGCGATCTCTATGATTATATAATGAAGCACGATACCGGGCTAAGCGAGGAGCTGGCACGCAAATATTTCCGTCAAATACTACGCGCCATCACGTATTGTCATCAGCTGCACGTAGTGCACAGGTAAGCATAGATAATACATAAAACGAAAATAGTATACACACGCTTTACGTAACATTTTCCATGGAACACAGAGACTTGAAGCCAGAAAATGTTGTATTTTTCGAAAAATTGGGTTTGGTCAAGCTTACGGACTTTGGGTTTAGCAACAAATTCTTGCCGGGCCAAAAACTGGAAACCTTTTGTGGCAGTCTCGCATATTCGGCACCAGAAATTCTATTGGGCGACTCGTACGATGCGCCCGCCGTAGGTAAGTGTATTTGTAGCAAAGTGTTATTGTGTGTGCCTGTGAGTGTGTTTGTGTGTGTGCGTGTGCCTGTATCACATGATAAGCTGTTTTTAATTATTGACATTATCTGTTAGATATTTGGTCGCTGGGCGTTATACTATATATGCTGGTATGTGGGCAGGCACCCTTTGAGAAGGCTAATGACTCCGAGACGCTGACCATGATTATGGATTGCAAGTATACTGTGCCCTCGCACGTGACACAGGAATGTCGCAGTTTGATTGCCACAATGTTGGTGCGTGATCCAAAGAATCGCGCCACTGTTGAGGAAATCGCTTCGTCGGCTTGGCTAAAGCAAACCAATGAGCCCGAATCTGTGGAACATTCACTGCCACTGATCAGCCGGGAGCAGTTAAGCGAAGAGGATCATGCCTTCATTATACAGAAAATGATAAACGGAAACATTGCGTCCAAGGAAGAGATATTGCAGTCAGTAAACAGCATAGCTAGCAATTGTTCACTCTACTAACTTATCAATTTTTCAAACAGAGCTCTGGATAAAAATAAGTACAATCATATAACGGCCACATATTTTTTGTTGGCTGAAATTCGTTTGCGCAGGCGGCGAGAGGAGGCCAACAAACAGAAACTACAAGAGTCGGGCCTGAAGTGAGTAAAAAAACATGCTATATATATATATATATATATATTTAAATAAATAATATATTGTTACTATATTGTTATATTGCTTATCTTTTAGACTGGGCGATGTAAATCGCAGGTTGACAGCAGATAAGCCGAGTCCAACGGAAAGTCCCAAAGTAGTTGTGCCTATTAGCATAAACGTGACACCGGCAGCACAATTTGGCAATGATAATGCCAAGCCAGTAAGTTAAAAAAAACGTAGATTGTTTATTTACTAATATAATGAATGCTCGTAGGACAAGCGCACTCGCAAATGCAGCATCGTGCGTGAGGAGGACGAAGAGGAGTCTGCTAATGAGGGCTGTGGCATTGGCAATGAGCTAAAAGTAGCCACAACGCGTCGTGAATCTATTTCGGATGGACGCCTCAATCGGTCGGTGCAGGAGCGTAGCTGCTCGTCAGCTCCAGCGCCAATAGCTGAAGTGCCAACAAATACACGCACAAAGATTGTTGTGTCCGTTGATGCGACTCTTGCTGAGAAGCTGAAGCAAATGGATAAATGTGCCAAGGTGGATGAGGACACATTAAGCGGCTTAAAGGAACTGGAGATTGGCAAGCTGAAGCCATTACCCAGCAGCAGCAAGAATCCTGTGCTTACGCATCGTCGTACCAAGCTAAATAAGATCCGTACACCATCGTGCAGCAGCTCGGAGGCATCCGATGATGATACGAAGACACGCAATAAGAAGAAGATTAATAAATTTGTCGGCGATACACCCATCAGATTTCGTATGCATCGGCGTGACTCGCATGACGACTCCAGCGACTCGCAGGATCAATTATATCCACCACCAGGTTCGAATAGTAGCGGTGCCAATTTCATTTCGAATAGTGGCTCTGGCGTTAGTGGCAAGAAGGAGGGTCAGGGACAGTATAAAGAGGTAAGATAACTTAAAATATCAACTTATTTTCAGCTATTCTAATTTATCTATCTAATCTAGCCAAATAAATCCGAAGAAACACGCAAATCTCACACACAGAAGAATAGGAAACAGCATAAGGAACATGTTGACAAACATTCCCAAGTGGAAAAACATCAATTGGTGTTGTTCGAAAATGCGAGCACAACATCACGAAGACGTCGTATACGCGAAAGCCAATCCCTGGATCGAATTACAGAGGCTCAGGAATACGAACTGCGCTTTCGCAGCTATATAAATGACAGTGGTGCAACAGCTGCAGCATGCCAACAACATATCGAGCAAAGAAATTCATTGAACAATTTAAACACATTCTCCGTTGCCGAAACTAAAGAGGAATATGATGAGGAGTTCGACATCAGAGCGGACAACGATACTACGGACCAAATTATGAACACATTGAATGCAGCCAAAGCAACGCTTCAGCAAAAGCAATATTTTAATGACACCAATTATAGTAAGAACTATAATAGTTATACTAACAACAACAACCACAATACTAACAGCAGTAGTAGCAACAACAATAATAATAATAATAACAACAACAGCAACACCAACAAAAAGAAATCCAACGAAACACCAAAAGATATTTATAATCTAAATTCAATCGAGGAAATCGATTTGATTTTGGAAGATAAAAGCCTTACCAAAGCAATACATGTTACCGGCTCTAAATGCTTTGTCACTATGAAGAAAATTCGAAGGCTCGGAAAATATTTTCCGGTAGTGAACTTTTCTTAATAGTTATCGTTAAAATAATAGCTGCAAAGTGCATTCTAAATCTTAAAACGTAGAAAATATATAGAAAATATGCATGTACGTATATGTATACAAAAAAAAATGAAAATGTTAAAAAAAAAATACATATGCGACAATTTAATATTAGTTGTAGAGTAATTTAATTTATTATGCAATCTTTAACTAGCAATAAAACAAAGGCACATTTTTTGACATTATGCTAAACTCATTTACTTATGAGAACCGTTGCCTAATCTCGAAACACCATTCGCACAAATAGATTTCGTGCATTCCCAAATAAATGTTTGTATTCTATGGCGATAAGTGTGTGCGTACAATGTACAAATCAACTCAAATAAAGTCAATAAAATATAAACCCTACGAAAATTCGACTCACTAAGTTTTTTTTACATTTTTGTCGTTTGAACTTAGCGCTCTTCACTTCAATCTATTGTTAAAATACATTGTCATCGATTGTAGCTTTAATCGATAATAGACTCCACCAGCTAGAGATGCACTATATACTGAATTTGGCAATCTCAAGTCGTTACCCTTCGATGGTTGTGTTAAATAACAAGTATATGAATGGCGCTCATCACTATTATGAAATTTTTGTGGAGAAAAAATTGAGAATAATATTACAAATAATATAGGCATAGTAAACTGTGTGAAAACTGTAGCCTCAACAAGCAATAATGTTGCGCATCTATCAGAACACATACCGGTAAGCATTGCACGTGGCAATCTCAAGCCGGTGGCAATTTTCATACGCCGATTTCGTCATCGCCTCTCCCATGTCGAATTCGCATTTGCATTTGCAGGCGAACAGCAAAAAAAGCCGTTGTTTACTCCACCAAAGTGGTCTGCTGTAATCATTCCACACTATGCAAGATCACTATGCAACCCCGCCGCAACGGTGCCGGCGACCAATGGGAACAGCATCATAATCGTAACCACGAGCATTTTCTGTTAGCTGGTAACCAAGCGAGAGGCTGGACAATACCGCCACACTCGCGTGGTTATGGCATGTTTGTGGTGCGGATACTCAAAGGGGCTCTCAAACTGCGTTACTTAGTTCTGGGCGGTGCCATCGGCGGTGGTGTTTCATTGAGCAAAGTAAGTAAAAAGAAAACGCTAGCTACCCATTGCTGTTATATAACGTGCAAATTGCAATTATGCACGTGCAGAAATACGAGGATTGGAAGGAGGGGCTACCTGATATGAAATGGCTAGAGGATGCTCTGCCTCAGGGTGAGAGATGGAGTCAGTTCTCAAGGAATCTCATTGAAGTAGGCAGCATAGTCAAGAATGCCATTGAAATCGGTGAGTCTAACCATAAGACCAGATTATATGTGTATGTCCACTCTCTCACTTTAAAATGCCATATCAGTCAGTTGGTTAAATTGGGGTCACAGAAGAACTGAGTTGTTTCTAACGATGCACCTTAATTCGCATATATTGTTTTCTTTTAACCATTTATTTTCACTCGCCTGCTTGTTAGCCGTTTGATTTTTACATTTGTATACACAAAATACTCTTCGCTAAAATTGGGGTTTGATTGTAGATCCGAGGCTCAAGCAGCTTGGCGAAGATAAAATGTCGGAATGGCGCTCATGGTTCGATAATCGCTTGGACGACGCAATCGAAGCGGCCGACTATCAAGGAAATCAAATTGTTGAAAGTAGGTTACACATTTCAAATCAATATGGTACGAACATTATGCATTTAAAGTGAGAGAATTTATGTTCGCCCCGCATTTTGATAAATCATATAAACACTAATTATCTATCGGAACTCTATTTCAGCCAAGGAGGATATAAAGTCGAAGGCAACGGTCGCGGCGCTAGGAATTCCTGCGGACGAAAGTCGTAAGAAATATGGTTAGCTGAAAAGTTGTGTTGAATTGAAGACTTATTTTATATATTTGGCACTTTGTTTTTTTTTTTACAGAGAAACTGCAAAGTCAAGTGGAAACGTTGCAAACTGAAATTATGAACGTACAGATCAAATATCAAAAAGAACTGGAGAAGATGGAGAAGGAGAATCGTGAGCTCCGTCAGCAATATCTTATACTAAAGACGAACAAGAAGACGACGGCAAAGCGAATTAAGAAATCCTTAATTGACATGTACTCCGAGGTTCTGGATGAACTATCCGGCTATGATACGGGCTACACCATGGCCGACCATTTGCCGCGAGTTGTTGTTGTCGGTGATCAGAGCAGTGGTAAGACGTCTGTGCTAGAGTCTATAGCGAAGGCGCGAATCTTTCCTCGGGGTAGTGGAGAAATGATGACACGTGCGCCTGTCAAGGTAACGCTGGCTGAGGGACCCTATCATGTGGCCCAGTTTCGAGACACGGATCGTGAATACGATCTAACAAAAGAGTCGGATCTGGCTGATTTGCGTCGCGAGGTGGAGTTCCGAATGCGCGCTTCTGTGCGTGGCGGCAAGACGGTGAGCAATGAGGTTATTGCCATGACAGTCAAAGGTCCAGGATTGCAGCGCATGGTGTTGGTGGATTTACCGGGTATCATTTCAGTAAGTAATAAATGGAACTTAAGAAAATCGAAATTCAACATTGATTGACTTGCAGACTATGACAGTTGATATGGCCTCGGATACCAAGGACTCCATTCACCAAATGACCAAGCATTATATGAGCAATCCGAATGCGATTATACTTTGCATACAGGATGGCTCTGTGGATGCGGAGCGTAGCAACGTCACTGATCTGGTTATGCAATGTGATCCTTTGGGTCGTCGCACTATCTTTGTACTTACCAAGGTCGATTTGGCCGAAGAGTTGGCTGATCCTGATAGAATAAGAAAAATACTGTCAGGTAAATTGTTTCCCATGAAGGCGCTTGGCTATTACGCCGTTGTCACCGGCCGAGGTAGAAAGGATGATAGCATAGATGCCATAAGACAATACGAGGAGGATTTTTTCAAGAATTCCAAGCTGTTTCAGTAAGTAGTGCACGCTTACCCATTGCATAATTGGTCGTTGCTATATCTTTACGATCTTTGCAGTCGACGCGGGGTTATCATGCCACACCAAGTGACGAGTCGAAATCTGAGCTTAGCTGTTTCGGATCGTTTCTGGAAGATGGTTCGCGAGACTATAGAACAGCAGGCCGATGCATTTAAGGCAACTAGATTTAATCTGGAAACCGAATGGAAAAACAACTTTCCCAGGTATATATGAAGTAGTCAGTCATATACATAGTAAACTCAATATGTATTAATTTGCTTATAGACTGCGCGAATCTGGACGTGATGAGCTATTTGATAAGGCCAAGGGCGAAATACTAGATGAAGTTGTCACACTGTCACAGATCTCAGCCAAGAAATGGGATGATACACTCACAATCAAACTGTGGGAGAAACTATCGAATTATGTCTTCGAAAATGTTTACCTACCCGCTGCACAGTCAGGTTCTCAAAGTAATATTCTGTAGTTAATAAGTATTTAGAGTTGTAAGCAACGCCACGCCCACTGCTTCGATTCGAGTGGCCGAAGTCCACATTCCATATATGTGTCTGTGTCTGTATCTTTGTGTGTTAAGCAGCCAAATGCTGCAGCAGGAAATTCAGCTTAAACTTACGTGTTACGGATCACCCAAAATTAAATGGGAGTCACACGCGATCGAAAACCTGTTTCCACACTGTTGAATCATATCTTTAATTTTAATGATCTCCAACACTCTTCTTTCATTAGCGCCATTTAATTGGGAAGCATTCCAAAAACAACTGTGATTCAACATGATTTTTATTTATACTTTTTGAAGTCATGCGTGAATAAGGCATGTACTTGTCTTGCCGGAAAGTGTGATTTACAGATTTACGATTTATGTACCGAAATCGTGTCAAGGAACACGTTTAACCCGATAATTAATCAATTAAAGCTGCGTTAATTTGATCAATGGACACACTAAAATCGAGCTTCCTAATTAGACGAATTTAAATTTAAATGCTAAATTTTCAAGTGCATTGGCCGAGTAATAACTGTGTTTTGTCGTTGTATTGTTGATCATTTAGCGTCTATTCTACGTTCTAGCCAAATACTGTGAGGGACTAATTTGTTGTCATTTTGTTCTTTTAGATTCCTTCAATACGATGGTGGATATCAAGCTAAGGCAATGGGCGGAGCAGGCGTTGCCTGCGAAGTCTGTGGAGGCAGGTTGGGAGGCATTGCAACAGGAATTCATATCGTTAATGGAGAGGGCAAAGAAGGCGCACGACCATGACGGTGTCTTTGATCAGCTGAAGGCGGCGGTTGTTGATGAAGCCATACGGCGGCATAGCTGGGAGGACAAAGCCATTGATATGCTTCGAGTGATACAGTTGAACACATTGGAGGATCGGTTTGTGCACGACAAAACGGAATGGGACCAGGCGGTTAAATTTCTGGAAAACTCTGTCAATACCAAGCTAGTGCAAACAGAGGAAACCTTGTCGCAAATGTTTGGACCCGGACCGTGGACGCGTTTTGCGCAATGGAAGTCTCTAACGCAGGATCAGCAAAAGCGACGTAGTGTCAAGGGTGAACTGGACAAGATATTAAAGAATGATTTGGTGCGTATGGCAAAGTAAGTTGAAACCTTATACAATTCAAAATTCATGTGTTATAGAAACACCTACCCAGCCTAAGCTACGATGAACTGACGACAGTGCGCAAGAACCTGCAGCGCGATAATGTGGAAGTGGACACGGACTATATAAGACAGACGTGGTTCCCAGTCTACAGAAAGTTCGTAGTCCACATATTCTTATTGTTTAGTTAACTAACAGAGATTACTTGTAGACACTTCCTGCAGCAGGCATTGCAGCGGGCAAAGGACTGCCGTAAAGCTTACTATTTGTACACACAACAAGGCTCTGAATGCGAGGTACTTCTGGCACGCAATTATCCCCAGACTTAGCTAATTATTTGTACTTTTACTTTCAGGTAAGCTGCAGCGATGTAGTGCTCTTCTGGCGCATACAACAGGTCATCAAGGTGACGGGCAATGCGCTCCGGCAGCAGGTAATCAATAGGGAGGCGCGACGCCTGGATAAGGAAATCAAGGCAGTGCTTGATGAGTTTAGTGACGATGAGGAGAGGAAAGCGCATCTGCTGACGGGCAAGCGTGTCCAGCTAGCAGAAGAGCTAAGTAAGTAGATGCTCACAGGGTATCCGAATCAAAAACTAATTTCAAATATATTGCAGTTAAAGTACGACAGATTCAGGAGAAACTAGAGGAGTTCATTAATTCATTGAATCAGGAAAAATAGGATATTTATGGTGTGCCATGACCAAAGACACAACTACGTTATCTATTTAATGTATTAATTTAAGCTCAAAAACAAAAAATACAATACGAAACGTTTATAATCAGTCACGTCTTGTTCATAACGATTTTTCCTTACAGTTTAGTTAATACGCTTACTTTGTGCAGCTGAAAGTACTAAGCGAAAATAAACATTGTTAGTTTGTATTTGACACGGCTTTTCATGGGTTTAGAGAGTAATGGAATGCGGACGGAGCTTGGATATGTTTTGGTTTCGAAGATACGTTAATACATTTTTATAACTACAAGTAACTAGACGTGAAGTCTAGTGTTGTCTTTCAACAATTGACAAATAGTTTTACAATTTTTCGACAATTCAAGAAATGTAGTTCTTTTTTAATTCAAGAAATTTATGAAAGCTCTGAAAAGAAAATATTCCTTAAAATTTTTAAAGTCGTTTTGATCAATTTTTTATATTTAATAATAATAAAAACATCATATTTTAGTTTTGTAAATTAATAAAATTTTGCATTTTGTTGTTGAAAAATGTATATAACTTTTAAATAGACTAAATAGTGTACATAGCTCTAGACTGTATGCTGTGTTGTTTGTCTGTTGGCTGTTCATTGTTCTGTATAGATATGATGTTACTTTCAAGTTTTCACACAGTATTAGTTGATAAACATGAGTATGTATATAACTATTTGCCTATATATGATTGTGTGTGTGTGTGTGTGATTGCCAGAAGGGCCAACGTTTTGTTTGTTTTCATAATCAGCTAAGGCGAAGCGTTGACAACGGATCGTGGAGTACGGTCTGGATAGTTGGGTGCAATGACCCAACTGCAACAACAACAATAACAGCTGTAAGGTTTGTATGTGTGTGTGTGGGTGTTTCGCTTGTCTTATAACTAGAAACTTACATATGTACAAACTATGTAACAAGTCTGGGGCGGGGCGGGGGAGCAATAGCTACCAATAAATTTAGTTGAAGTTCTTAAACTAAACAAATGCAACGTCATCCTCATCTCTCTTAATTTGGCAGTCGATTTGTGGCCCAGCCATAAGCTCAGCTGCTAAATATGATATAGATATAATCGTCATCATCATCATCATCATCATTATCTTGATCTTCTACGTCGTTCGGCTCACACGCAGCGGAGCGTTTTGCACTTATGATTGAATATATATCTATAAATTTTAGTTACAAATTGATCAATCAATACTAAAGCTTAATGTATGTATATATATACATATATAGATGTATCTATATATATGCATGTGTATGTATATGTATATGTGTGTATGTTTAAATTGAGGCGAGGCACTCGATAAAGCAAAAGGCACAAACATTACACTTAGAGTAAGGCTACTTAATCTAGATCTAGACAAATACGACGACGTATCAAGTACATGCTTCAAGCAGGCACTGAACAGCAAGCAATTCGTTCGATTTGTTGCTGCTGCTGCTACTGCTTTTTCCAGTTACTAATTCAGTTGCTTTTTCAGTTACTGTTGCCGTTGCTGCTTTCAATATCTTCAACAACATCGAGTGATTGGCAATTAGTGTTAAACTAACCACTTAATGGTACAAATGGGGCGCTATCAATAGACAATAAATGATTGGGGTTTCTGTTGCCTTTGCATCTCTAGGCCGTGGATAGTGCCTCGTTCTTGGCATTGCGCTTCTGCTCCCAGCTGGATATCCAGGTCAGAGGATAGCAGAGGAACGCAGACAGCAGTATTAGGCCGCCGGCAAAGTAGAAGGCCACATTGTAGCTCTGCGTAGCTGCATACAAGGCACCTGTCAGCGAAAAGAAAGCAAATCACATCCAATTCTTATGCAAGTTAACTCTAGTTGGTCCCTCCTGACTTACCTGCTATGGGACTGCCTATGGTGGCAGCCAAGCCCTGGAACAGCATAAGGAAACCAAAAGCATTCGTCAGTTTCTCCAGGCCAATCAACTCCACAGCGATCAGGGATCGCAGCGCCGAGAAGCAAGCGATGCAGATGCCAAAGAGCACAGCGAATGCCCATTGGGTGGTGGAATTGATGACCACGCCGCTGAAGATGGTGGCTAGGCCGCCGGCGGTGAGGGCCACATTGTTGAGCCACAGCGGCTTGACGCTCGGGAAAGAGCTCATCGAGCCGCAAACAATCCTAGCGAAAGTGTTGATCATGCCAATGCCAGAGATAACAGAAACAGCCGACTCCTTGGCCATGCCAGCGTTAACGGCACGATCCGTGAGGAAGGAGAAGGGCACAAAGAAGCCCATCATGGTCAGAAAACCACTGAAGGCCAGGCACATGAAGGCCGGCGACTTGAGCAAGCTGGTGTCCAACATCGTAGAGAGTGTGCGTCGCACTGCCTCCGGGCAGATGCGGCAACCCTTCTGCCTGTCCTCCAGCATATCCTGCTTGGTGGGCAGACGCGTGACGGACATGTGATAAGCCAACGAGGTCTGCGATTGATACTGCGGGATGCGTGTAAGCGAGCCGGTGAAGAAGATATCGTCTCTGTACATGGGTCGGGATGAGGCCTGCGACTGGCCATGATGATGGCCGTTCTGTTCATGATGGCCGCCAGCGCCGCGCTTAGCCAAATCTTGTGGCCGACGTCCGGAAACCGTGTGTCTGCGTGCCTGAATGCTGACGGGCTTGGCCTCCGTCTCCAATAGGTTATCGTTCTCAGCCTCCTCCTCGTTCTCGCCGACAGTCGTGAGTTCCTTGTGCAGATTGAAGGTCAGCTGTTGGGGATCGCCATTGGGCGTGGTTGGCTGTGACTTGCGCAATTGCTTTAGTTCCGTGCCCTTGTTGGCCTGGCCCGATGGACGACGCTCCAGATTCATGCCCTTGAAGATCTCCGCAGCCGTTGGATAATGATGGCGCTGCGAGGCGCCCATGTAGGTATTATGCGCCGAGTTGGGCATGGAGTAGGCAAAGCGACCCTCGGGCAGCGGCTTGGTAAACGCCGCCTGATGCAGTTGTGGGGTTGGAGCCACCGTGCTGCCATGTCCATTCAGCTTGCTCTTCTCCTCGTCGACAACGGTGCCATCATCGGTGACGCCCAATGTAATGGGCTGTATGGGACGGAAAGCGAGGCCAAAGATTGCGCACGACAAGATCATGATGCCCTGGATAGCCAGTGTTGTACGCCAGCCTGTCTTCTCCAGCAGCAGATCGGTCAGCGGAGCAAAGACGAAGGTGCCCACGCCGGAGCCGCAGAGGGCGACACCAGTGGCCAGGGCGCGCCACTTCTCAAAGTAAAAGCCAATGATGACCACAGCAGGTATGTAGACCATGCAGAAGCCAATGCCACCCAAGATGCCATAGACCACAAACAGAAACTCCACGCTGGTGGCGAAGTACGACAGACCAAAGCAGATCGATCCGAAGATGGCGCCGGCAATGGTCACCGGACGGAAGCCGAAGCGATTGGCCAGCGCACTGACAAAGGGTCCGGCCATCAGGTAGCAGCCGCTGAGCAGCGACGAGACGAAGGTGACATAAAACTTGCTCACGTGAAACTCTTTCATCAGCTCTTCCTGAATGATGGCCGAACAGAAGACGATGCCATCGATCACTGTGCAGCAGAGGAAGGAGGCAACCATAACCACCCACGCCCAGCCGCTATCCGGTGGCACGACGACCGCTGCTGTATCTGTCTCCTCCTCCTCTTCCTCTTCATTATCCTTACCCATATCCGGATGCTTGGAGACGAGAGCATTGACAGTCGCCAGCTCATCCTGCGATCTGGTATGCTGTGTGGGCATTGTGCAGCTGCATGGAATAAATAATTTCAAAACTTTTATTAAAAATAAATAAATAAATATTATATAAATGTAGTTATTAATAAGTATATATTTGCTGAAATAATTGTTATGCAAATGGTATTTATTTTTTGTATTTTTATCAGCCAACGAGCGCCCACACAAATATTCGCGCGTAGCCTTCACACAGATTGCGTATACGCCCCCTTGAACGGAAATACACTTTCCCTTTTCAATATACATAGCATGTATATATATATATATATATATATATAATATATTATGATTATAATTAGTCACGTGTGTGTACTCTTGCGTATTTGTAATGCATTTGTTGTTGTATCTCTGTAGTTGTAGCTGTATCTGTAGCTGTTGTATGACTATCTGTATCTTTAGCTGCTTGTATCTTTATCTATGCTTAGCTTTTGTTTATTTCAACGACGTCAATCGGTTCATTGTGCGTGTGTGTGTATCGCTGGGGGTGGGTGTCAAACGTCAACGTCCTCCTCCACCTCAGTGGCAAAGCCAGTGCCAATGTCAAGCGAACAAAAACAACGACAACAACTGCGTCAAAAGCTGCTTAAAACAATCGCAATAAAAAATAAAAGCAAAATTCCTGTTTTTTTTTATTTTCCAAAAATAATATACGTGCTTAAGCTGTTCGTCAATTTTCCACGCAGTTCGGCATGACAGCCACAATTTTCGCATACAAGAAAAAATCTCTTAAATTTTTTCCTCTGTTTTTTGGTTTTTTGTTTTAAATGATTTTTCCTTTAGATATTAATATATATAAATTTTTATATTTTTATGCATATATGCAAAAAGCCTAGAGTATTTTGAACATTTTTATATTTTTTAGAATATTTATATATATATATTTTTAATGTGCTTTTAACTCATTTTTTGTAGTTCATTTTCTTTGCACCCGCGCAGCAAAGCTTACGACCTTGATTCTTTATTTTTGGCCTTATCTAATCTGATCTGGATGCGAATACGAATGCATAGCTATTTGGGCTTATGACTGCTATAAACGTAAAGTACTGCAACATTTGGTTGCGACACATTTATTTGGCTTACAAAATGTTTGTGCTGTCTGAAAAAACAATCTGAAATGTGGATCAAGCGGTTAAATGTGCAGTGCTTATATAAATGTTATATATATATATATATGTGGGTATATATGTATATATACCTACAATTAAGATCTTAACGAATTTGTAAGGCTTACAAAATGCTTTTAATTGCTTAATCAAGAAATTGAGTTATGATGTGGCTTAGAATCATTATATATAATGAAGAAAGCTCGAATGTAATCTATTTGCTATGCTATAAAGATTTCCCTGTGTGGGCTTAATATTATTATTTATTTTGACTGCTTGTAAAGGTTATTTAGTATTTATTTTTTAAAAAGGGAATGTCTAAATACTGCAAATAAAATATTAAATATTAATCACACTAAAGCAATTAGCAACGACCACGATTTAAGGAGTTGGAAATCATATTTGATATATAGAATCATATTTCATATGTTCTTATATCATATATGTTCTGTTTCTGAATTCATGCTTATATGATATATATTTTATATCTGAGTTTCTTGATATATATATATGAAGAGTTACGTTTTATTTTAAAACATGATTGTAGCTCTTTGGGTAAAGTCTTTATCAGTCATAAATCGCGTAAGATATGATTTCTGCCTACTATCCTATATACTTCACTTCACACATATATATATATCATAAATTTCAATTATCGCCTGTCAGCAGACACACTTCAAGTCACCTGGCAAAATGTTAACCCTCATCCTAATTCTATAAGCCACCTATGTGCTTAGGTTAGTCACATCGCCTAGATAAGAGCTAAGATATATGATGTCGGAGATTTGTTTTGATTATATATATATATATTCGTATAACGCTAATGAGCTGTCACTTTACTCAGATTACCGCTATTTAGCATTATCACTTGGCAACCCTGCTGCTTACCGCATGTACAGTTATTTATATGTGGCTTAGTGCTGGCATTTTTTATTGCCTGGCAACCCCGAGCGTGAATGTTTTTAAAAAAATAAATAATACCCTGGCGATTAGCTGCTGATTAGAGCATTGTAAATAGTTTATTGTCTGCCTAATAGCAGCAGCAGCAATAGCAGTTCGTAAACTCTAGAATAAATATTATAAATAGCCTGAAAGTCATGGTATAAATCAATTGATTTGACCAGATTTGCTTTTAGCCACGATTAGATGGCCTCTAAAGGGATTTGTTGCTCTATCATGGCCCAAATACCCAGATAAGCCACTTGGCAACCCAATATTGACATGTGACTTGCTTCAAGCATTCGACTTCCTTGATTATGCCAATTTATGGTGCACCATATAACTCTCTATATATGTATGTATGTGCCATACTGAATTGTGTTTGTGGCCGTTTAAGATAGGCGTCGTCGAAACCCTTTAACACTTTTGTTTATTATGCAATATTATTATTATTGTTATTATTGCTGGCGCGAGTCTCGTATTTCATGATTGCTTTTTTATTTGCCCAACGGTCAGGCCAAAGTGTTCGCCGGCCAGTAGGAAATGGCTCAGCACATTGCCCGAAAGAAGCCAGACAAATGTTGCTGCTTCTTGGCGTTGTTGTTCTGTGTGTCTGCTCTTAACTGGCTTGCAGCTAACCCTTACTATAAATAGACCGTTGTCAACTTGTTGAACGAAATCGAACCATTTGGTTTTCGTGCAAAGTACAAAACGACTTCAGGACAGCAGAACGCGCCCAGTTGCACAACTCAGACAGACTGAGTCCATGCCAAAAGCGAACCCGACACTATGAATACCCTCTAAATAAACATGACAAGTGCATAGGAAATTTAACAAATTTGGGCAGAATGTAATGTGGTTAAAGAATTTGTTACTTAAATTAAAATATTTACATTTTATATCAAGATCTTTTTATATACCTTGAGATATATGTTTTTAACTATATTTTAGAATATTTAAAATTTCTTAGATATCTATACATGTCTCAATAATTTTAAAATGTTTCTATTGATCTTAGTGGAATGAGGCGTATGTCTATTCCTTTTCTATTCGCTCTATATTGTATTTATCACAGACAGACAGATCTTAATTTCACTCTATATTTTTAAGTATCTTACTCCAGCTCTACTTTACTCCTCTACTCACTCTCACTCTATCTTTGTCTCTGCCTATCTCGGTCTGTATCGCTCTCGCACTCTTCACTCTCTATCTCCACTCTGTTCCACTATTCTGTCTCTCCCTCTTTCTCTACACTCTCTCTACATTCTGTCTCTCTCCCTCTCTCTCCACTCTGTCTCTCTATCTCTTTCCATCACCTTCCCTATTTTTCTGTACTCTCTCTATACCTCACTCTCAATCACTTCTTCACTTTTTACAGAGTATCTGCCAGTCGTGCACTGCCCATCCTGTAAACAGGCTTATTTTTTATTTGCACTGCCGCGGCGCTGGGTTCGGCGGCGTTTTATGTCATTTATGCAGCACAGACAGTGGCTAGATAGTATGTGGCATGGAGCGGAGCTGTTGTCCTTAGCCTGGTTGTAAGCTAATCCCGCTGTGAGCAAACACGAGCGTCCATCCATCAACTAAAGTAGTCCGCTTGCCCCTGCAGACCATGTCCGTCGACATCCACGTCCACGTCCACGTCCACGTCCGTGGCTGCAGCTGTTGTCAGTGGCGTCTACCAAACAGTTGTCAGAGTCAATTGCGACTGTTGACAGCTCTTAAACTGATGCCCGTCGATTGAATTAATAAATATTATAGGTGAAAACATATGGCTAAAGACAGATGCCACAAGAGCGAGCGAGAGCGAAAGACAGACGCATAAATAGTCAGGCAGACAGACAGACAGACAGACAGACAGACAGCAAGTAGCATTGTTGCTTTTCCCATTGCTGGTTTTTCCTTTTAGCATAACTGTGCGTACATATGTAAACGTATCTATGTATCTGTAGTTGTGCTGTGTTTGTTTGCGTATCTCATTAATATCCGACTGTCTCTTTTCCACAAAACATGTGGCTTGCGCGTGTGTGTGCGTGTGTTCCACAATTTGTAGCTACATTAAATGATTTTCTGCTCAAAATATTAATTAGCTGATGCTTCTGTTTGAATTTCTTTTTGGTATGCCAACCTGTTGTCTGCGCCCGTATAAGGCAGCGAGCCACAATAGCCGTCTTTTGGCCTTCCCAATGGGGCGTGCGCCACTCCAAAAGTTGGCCCAAATTATTTGTGAAACATTTCAAAACAACTGGCGCTAGGGTTTGTCAGTTCATTGAACGGCCTTTCACCGAGACACAGACGCCAAGCCAAGCCACTAAGAGTCAGAGTCATAATCATAAAGTCAAAGTCTGAGTCATAGCTTAAAGTCCAAGTGTTGCGCATGCGCAGAAAGTGACGGAAATTTTAACAGAATTTATAATTACAACAGAGGCATCTTCAGCTTAAGTTGCAATTTCAAATTTAATTTATACGAATTAATAATGCCGAGAATACTGCAAAGAGTTATCGAGCCATATACATATCTTATCTTTACGCATAGTTTTAATTTTTAAGGAGCTAATTGTTATGAATGGAACTCTTTAAGCTTCAAAAAGAATTTCATCAATTATTTACTGACAATGATATGATATGATATGATATGATATGATGATTGAAGGTAGACTTAAAGGCTATTAATATTATATCTAGGCAATTCATATCAATTCTTCATTTGCATAGATTTAATTAGCATAGAGAGAATGGAATTAGGAATTTAATAATCAATGATTGATCTTGAGCTGGAGAGAAAGATAGATAGATAATATTTTGAAACTAATATTATCTTGAACTTTACGAAAGTCTACAATATTATCAGCTCATGCCTAACAAGATCATTTAATAACTTGACTCAGATTCCAAATCAGTCAAGAGTAATTTTTATTGAATTTTTTAATTACTGAATTAGATGAAGAAAAATTTGAAAATTTCAATTCTATTTAATGAAAATATAGCTATAGAGGCATATATAAATAAATATATATATATATATATATATATATAAATTATCTTAAGACCAAAGTTCAGCAGTCTGCAAAAGAATTCGAACTGTGGAATACTTCAGATAGCTGTTTCCTTTTGTTACATAGATTATACGCACGTTGCTTATAAAGCTTAAAAAGCATATATATTTATGTATATATATATATATATATATATATATATATATATATATATATATATATATGTATGCAGTATAGAGCAGATGCGGGACGCACTTTATCAGCTCCAGTTATTGTTGCTGCTGTTGCTCTCGGCACTATCGGCATGAACAAAGGCATGTCAACTCTTTGGTGGCACAGCCAGTGTCAATGAACAATTAGTGGAGCGATCAATGGTCGTCCGGGTCTCGTAGAACCGAAAAAGTTCATATATGTATATGAAATACGTAACATAAGCCCGACTGCTCTTTGTCGGAAGTGGAGCATGCGATTCGAAATCAATTAACATGTTTAAATTATGGAAAACTCAACTAAGTTTAGCATTTAATTGCTCAGATGCATTTGAGAGGCGCAAAGAGAGAGAGAGAGTGAGAGAGAGAGACTTGTCACTGATTTCACAATATAAATTCATTTTTGATAGGGTTATCTGCACGTGACATATGATGAGGCATAGTTGAAGAGATACAGACACATTTACAACATCAGATACATTCAGAGCTACAGATACAAGTTGTGTCCTCGTTGCTCTGACATTGGTGCCAATACACTTTCGAATTTAAAGCAAATCTGATAAGGTTTCAATATGAATATTATGCATACAAAAACAAATAATTATATTGCAGATACATTTGTGTGGTACGGAGAAAGAGAGGGACGTAGGGAGAGAGAGAGAAAGGCAGTTAGCTATAGAGACAGAGAGAGAGAGAGAGAGAGAAACGCAAACTTGACACTGATTTCTAAATGGCAGTGTAAAGTAGATTGATTTTTTATGGGGTTATCTGCACGTGCCTTTAATCAGGCGCTTGCTCAAGCTTCAATCAGAAGCAATAAAAGATACAGATGCTTTAACAGCTACAGATACAGATACGCAAGCTGCGTTGCCGTTTGCTTTTTGACATTGGCGCCAAAACGCTTTCCAGTTTACAACAAATCTGATAAGCCTGAAATGTATAAATATTATATTTATATTTAATAACAAACAAGCTGCAACTGCATTTGAGAATTGTCATCCAGCTGCTCGGACCACAGCCTTATCGCGACTATCAATCAACAGCTCAGCTCAGCTCAGCCCTAATCAACTGCAAATATGTAAATATTTTCTGAACTGATTAACGTAAAAGTTTCGTTGTCTGGTAATTATTTATATTTGTTCATAAGATGTGGAAAAATTTTTTGTGTGCACTCAATTTGTATGTATAGAAATATATATATATATTTATATAAGTATCTTTAAGGTTCCACACGCAAACGCGCTGAGGCATATCCAATAAAAAAAACTCTAAGAAAAAACCGCAAGAATTTTCAACAAAAAAAACATTAAGCCACGCTGGAAACCTCAGTTATTTGGCAATGAATGATTGACTGACTGAGTGACTGACTGACTCTCTGGCTGTCTGACTGGTCGACTGTCTGTGCCCGTGTCTCTGGCTCTGCTGCATTGTAAATGCGCAAAACTTGTTTACAGCAACATAAATAACTCAAATATATATAAATATATAAACAATCTATACTTAATAAATACATATTCCATGCCATTTGCTACTTAGCCTAGTTTGCTTTTGCTTATTAATTAATTTAATTGAAATATTTGCCAGACACATGCCACACTTAGTATGTAATTGGGCGTCTTATTTAATTGGGAACGTTAACATATGAATCAGAATCAGAATAAGCATTTCTATCTATATCCGAATCAGTCTTAGTCCCAGCTGCAGCGTCATTGGCAGTTCTAATGCTTCTTTAAGTCGAGCCGACGTCAGATCCTTTTGCTTTTGAATGAGCTAAGAAAATTATATCAACTGAGTTTTATATATACTTCTAGAGATTTATTCTGTATGTTAAGTGGAACAAAGGCTTTATTTATTGAGCATATGATTTAGCTGTTCGTTCATCTTTAATACATTTATTTTTTAATTATTTCCTTATAGCCAGTGCTCCAGAAATTGTCTGTATATAGAGACTTTGCGTTTATATATTTGTATATAGTATTCATGGACTAGATAGCTGAGGACTTAAGGAAAGGAAAGCTTCAAGAATCCAAAATCGAGTGAAGCAAGAAAATCATGAAATATTAAAACATTGATACAATTACCGAAATCGTTTGCTAGGTGCGGACAGGTAGGACAGGGCATTCTCTAGTCGACTACAAATGAATTTGGCATAATCTTACATATTTTTCTGCTTTATCTTCAAGTATATTATAATATATTATTACTTTTATTGCATCCGCATCTTGAAAATGATTTAGAGTACTTGATTTTCTATTTAATTTATAATATTCTTTATAAGCTTTTGTTTCTTTATCTCTGAGTACCATTTGCTTTCCCTCTTATATATATTCATTCACAAATTCTCGTCTCGATGGCACGTTTCCCATAAAATACCTTTTGTTTTAATTAGTGTAGGTGATTATGCATTATTTCTTATGTTTCTTCAAACTGATTATGCAAATGATATAATCGAGATGTCAATAACGGATCAACTAAAAGTTGACTTGTTTTTCAACCCAACCGGCAACCGGTTGGAAAGGAAAGTCAAGAAGTCGTGCGCAGAGATCAAAGACAGAGCAAAAGGCCTTGAACAAATGCCAACATATGTATAATATTATTTTCTTTTTATTTTTTTATTGTTTCCTATGCTGCCTTGATGGGTTTTCTATGGGTGAGTCAGCGCACAGTCATGTCTAGATAGGCGGAACAGTCGAAAAAAAGGCTGCAAGGGTGTGTCGCACTTTTTTTTATACCCTCAAAATATTGAGTTGAGCACATGGGCTCTTCTACGACTTATGTAACAGGCACAAGTAAGAAGAAGAGCAGACCTGTTTAGCTGTTGCCTAAATGTTCTAGGCAAATCGAATTATCAAAAATATTTCCAGGAAATTGATTAAGAGCGATATCAAATTTCGATCGCTGGGCTTATCGCGAACGTTGTGAGCGATTGAAGTGCCCAATTTGCTATACTGATTAGGCTAAGGTACTGGATAGCTCTGCAAATCTATAAAAAATCGAAGCAGAAACCCGCACAGCACTTGCTGCAGAGCATCTCCTAGTCGTATACGCCCAACTAAAGCCCACTTATTTGCTTTACTTTTATGTCTATTTATTTTTGCCTAAAAATCGGCTATAAAACAATTTTCGAGGTTTTTTTCTGTTTATTTTTTTTAGTGTAATTTGCATGATAATTGCTTTCAGCATTAAGATAAAAGTAAATTGCTGGTAAGAAGGGGTTCAGGCCAATTAGTTCTTGGTAAGGCATTTGCATAGCTATTGCACATATCTGTAGCTGTTGCTGTAGCCGTGGCTATCGCTGCAAAAGTATCGATCTAGACTTAAGCTGATTTTCTTCTCGGCTGTTTTTCAAGTTCAGGAAAGCAAAAACTGAAAAGCAACATCGGAACGAAACAACGTCAGCGAAAAACGCCCATAAAAGGCACTCGAAAGCCGTTTACGTGTTAACGTGTTTCTGGTTCCTGATTCCTGGTATTGGCATGATGACTCTTCAGGCTAAAGCCAGAGAAGACGACGACAACATCAAATGTACCTATATATATACATATATTAAAGTCGCGTCGCGACGCGTCTCGTCGCGTTGCATCGCATCGTGTCTTCGACTTAAAGTTAGAACATTAAAAATTTGTGACGAAGTTCCCGGCCGGTGTGCACAGAGTCTCAATGGAAGTTGTTGGCAGACGGCGCGACGTGTTTGTTGTTGGTTGTTTCTCTTAGCCAAAAAAAAACTCGTTTCTGGCCGCTGGTAGGGGCCATGCGACGAGGCGCGGTCATGTGACACAGGCATAAGGCCAAGTCTTTTTAGCCATTCATCTGTATCTGTATACTTAGCTGACGGTGCGCGCGCGTGTGTGTGTGTGTGTCTTAGCCCTCTTGCGCTTACCTTTTGATTATGTTGTTGTTGTTATTGTTTTTGCTGTTGTGGCGTCTGTTGCAGCTTTCAATTTGTTGAGTATTTGAGTTTTTTTCGCTTAAATTGGAACCCGGTTGCGCTTCTTGCTGTCTTGTGTTCGTTTTTTTTTTAGTATTTTTTGATCTATTTCTGGCCGCCTTGTCGTGGGCAGTGCAAAGAATTTCTTATGCGAGAAAGCGAAAGCAAACGTGAACCGCAGCACAGCACAAAAAAAGCGAAAGTTGACTGTAAAAAGCGCCTCAATTTAGAAACTGAACCGAACGCAAGACGAGGAGAGCGAACGCGCTTATAAATACTTCTAATATATATATATATATATATATATACAGTTATATATATGTATCTGTATCTGATTATCTGTAGCAGTTTAGCAGCTGTTCGTACGATCCCCGTATACTGTTCTCGATGCGTGCGAGTGTGTATGTTTCTATATGTATATTAGTTTTAGTACATATGTGTAGCATATGAAATGTGCGACCTGCCTCCGCATGCGAAAGGCACGCGTTTCAAATAAATTCGTTTGGATTCGTAATTTATGCTATATATATATATATATATATATATATATATTCTATTCTGTTATATTTTAGTTATTCTGTTTTGCTGTTTTTTTATTATTTTTTGTTTTTTTTAAGCTCTTGTTTTGATATTCTGTTCTCAGTGGCGCTTTGGCGCTTTCCAATACGTAATTGATCGCGCGCTTACCGACCGATCCGAGCAACTGACTAAAGATAACTAAAGGGAAATGGAAATGTGCTGGCAGTATAAACCACAAAGCAAAAAGCAACAACAGCAATAGCAGCAGCAGCAGCAGCAGCAGCAGCAACAGCAGCAACAGCAGCACCAATACAAACAAACAGTCCGGCCGCACAAGCACCGCAAAAACAGTACGCAGCAGGCTGCTTTGCGATACGAAGGCACATTCTCACGAGAACTGAACAACACACACACACACACACACGCACTCAAACGGACACACACGCTGTCACACGCACACATGCGGCGTGTGTTTGTATTTGATGTTTGTGTGTGTTCGTGTTTGTGTTTGCTTTCGGCATGTTGTTGTTGAGCTTGGCGCGTTCTTTTAAACGCACATTACCAGACAACGAAACTTGCATCGTCTCGCCCCACCTCACACCGCCTACCTAACCCAACTCTTTCTATACGCTCTACGTTATCGTACATACGGCGTCGTGAATGAAAATGACACAACAACAACAACCGCAGCAGCAATAATAGCGTCAAAGTTAGCCAACTAAAAAAAATGTTACAACAACAACCGGCAAAACTACAAAAACATGGCGTGCTGCCCAAGCAGAAACTGTGCGCATGTGTGAGTGTAACTGTAATTGTATGTGTATGTGTTTGCCTGTGCGTAAGGTACTCGCTCAAATGAACTTGCTGAGAGTGCAAGCTCTCTTTCTGTCTTACTCTCTCTCTAACATGTGGCCACTCTTGCCGTTGCTCTTGCTTTCGTCTTAGCGCTTGTCAGACAAAATGGCCTGCCAAAAAAACATTATAGCAGCAGCAACAACTAGCACACACACACACTCACGCACATATTGTACGTATACGCAATGTGATTTCGATTCCGATACCGATACCAATACAATCAAGAGTTTTGATTGTTGTTCCTTTTGCTGCTGCTGCTTCTTCCCAGAATTCTCTCAATTTCGATGCTGTTTTTCTTTGACTCATTTGTATCTTCTTTTTTTCTTAAGTTTTGTATCGCAGCCAAAAAGAAGTTTATTTTTTTGTTATATTTTGTATGGATATCAGGCGTGTTTGCCAGCCTGTGTTTATATTTGTATTAGTAATTATGGTACATTGAGTGTATGTGCTGTGGCTTTTTCCACTAACAAGTTATTTTGAATGAGATCCATTCACGTTTTTTTCATTTTATTTTGACTTTTAACAGGTTACCGGCATAACACACGCAAACACATACAAATAGATTGAAATAATTGCCAGAAATTATGAAATAGTTCAAGATATGATCTTTTTACCTTGTGGGTTGGCATGATTGGACAGAAAAGACAAGACATCTGAAAAAATGCGCAAATCATGGGAATCGGAATTGGAATTCATTAAGCGTTCTATGAACTTCAAATAATTCAATGCGCGCACATGCTAGCGACTGTTAAATGTGAGACCAAAAATAAACTCTAAAATAAGAGCTCTTATTTTACTTTGAAATATGCTTATCGCATGGCAGAGTTTTTTTTTTATTTTAATTTGCCTTTTGGTCACTTCTCGAAGTTTCTATGATATAATTTTGCATATGGGGCTTAACTTATCATACCATATAGTTGCTATATTATGACATATTGTATTCGGCACGTGATATAGTTAAATGCAAAGGCCTACCGGATGATTAAATACGCTTTTTCGGGTGCTTTCAATTTTGATTGATAAGCTACACGCGACAAAAACAACAAAACCCTTTCAGCTCCAAGTTCCTCAAATAGAACAAATTATTGATTGTTCCAATATTATACTAGATAAGATTATTAATTTGTTTTCTGCTCTTTCATTGGAGAATAGGAAATACCTTGGGAATAACCAATATATTATCCAACCCAAAAATATTCTTTTACACGTACTTGAATTTGAATTTCCTCCAGTACTTTTCCGTTGCACAATCTATAAATAATAAACGCCATGGGAAACGCAATTTTTTTATTATTTAATGTTAAAATTATATAATTTAAGAAACTCGTTAAAAGCGGCTGAAAATACTTGTTAATGAGAATTATCGAGACGTTTGCAAAATTTACTTCTAACGATTTGAGTCGAAAGTAAATATGAACCTTTCGATAGGATAATTTAATCGATAATTGTTTTCGATTTTTATAGCAGCTTACACGTTAAGTTATAACATCCCGATCTCTTATTTTTCTTTTTCACTTGTAAAGAGGCTCTGGTCGCAGTTTCAAAGACTTCGCGAACACCCTCCTGCATTTTTGCCGAACATTCAAGATACGCAAAAGCGCTCATTATTTCAGCCATGGTAGAACCCTGTTCAGTCTGCACTGGTTGTTGCTTTTGTAAAGATAATTCCTATTTGAAACGCAATAATCTGATTTAGTAAACATTTAGGATTCGCAGTTGATGCCACTTGCCTTAATGGTATCTGGATCATTGCGCAAGTCACGTTTGTTGCCCACTAAGATAATGGGAACATTTGGGCAAAAGTGCTTCACCTCGGGTATCCATTTATCTTGAATATTCTCCAGCGAATCAGGCAAATCAATGGAGAAGCACATGACAATAACATCTGTATCGGGATAGCTTAAGAGACGCAAGCGATCGTAATCCTCCTGACCAGCCGTATCCCACAGAGCCAATTCCACCTTGAGGCAAGAGAAAAAATACACATATTTAAGGCAAACATACACATAAACATATACATTTCTTATTGAAATAGCAATTGAAACGCAAATTCGATTTGCTGCTCCGAAAAGCAACAGAGAATTGCGATAACCTCGAAGTGAATCATACATTGAAATGTGGGCCCAGCATATTGCGAAAACTAAAATAAGATCTGTACTAAATAACACTCTATATTTATATATATACACAGAAGAAACATCAACCTAATATAAATAAATAGGTGCGTATACTTGCAGCATTGCTCATGCGAGATAACAGAAGCGTAGTTGTTCAGCAAATCAAACCTGTGATCCTTCAACTTCAACGTCCGCGACATATGTCTCGAAAACTGTTGGCACATAATCCAAGGGGAAACTGTCTTTGCAGAAAACAGTTAATAGACAAGTCTTGCCACATGCTCCATCGCCCACAATTACCAATTTTTTGCGAATTGAGCTCATTTTTAGTGCACTCGAAAAAAATATATTTGATCTGTAGCGTATATCAAGAGGAATCGGTGTTTGTCAAGGAACTGCGCGTTTGTTTAGTGAGTGTGCCTATATGAAATACCTTTTTGTTTATAAATTTTTGCTGCGCTACACACAGATGCCAAGGCGTATGCATCAATCAATAATATTGGCTGCTCTCTCTTTTACCAAATTCCAACAATATTTAAACCTAATTATACATAATTTTTAAATAGAATTGAAAGATTAACTTTCAAGGCAAGTATGCCATAGATTTGTAGAGTAAATGGCGTTCGAATAACAGTTAAGTTCATTCACATCTTATGGGTAACACTTTGCAGCAGGGTTGTTAACAAGAGTTGGCAGCGCTAAAAACTATCGTACTACTGGGTTTACCTTCTCAAAATATCGATATATTTGAATCAGCTCTACAAACATTGCGGTCAAGAAGAAGAATTGAGCTCTTCCTCTTTCTTTTATTTCCGCCATTGCCTGAGATAGTTGGAAAAATATGGGTGAGTGGTTAAAAAAGAGTGATTTTTGTGAGAAATACGCATATTACGCTGTTAAACAAAGTGTAAAACGAATTATAATAGTTGTGCAATAGCAAATGTAAGTGAATACGAAGAAGCCGGCGTTGCAAATTGTTCAAAACTCCCAGAATTAAAAGTTTGCAATTTGGGCTACAATTTTGTGTCTGCACAAAATCCGTTAATACTAAAAGAATCGTTAAGTATAGCAATTTAAAGAATTGTGTAACAAACACCTTGCATTGTAATAGAATTATTATAAGTGTTATTTGTACAAGTTTTCATATGTTCTGCAATTCACAACGATTATTCAAACTAACCTCAAAAAGACGCCGCTGCATTTGCAATTTGTTTACATTGTGTTTGTTGTTTTTGGCTGCAATGAGATGCATATATAAATAAATGAACGAAAACTAATTTGGTTGTTATTTGCAGGCAAGCCTAGAGGTCTGCGCACTGCTAGAAAGCATGTGAACCACCGTCGCGACCAGCGTTGGGCCGACAAAGACTACAAGAAGGCTCACTTGGGTACCAGATGGAAGGCCAATCCCTTCGGTGGTGCATCCCACGCCAAGGGTATTGTCCTTGAGAAGGTGTAAGTAACAGATTTATACTTAAATTGTTAAAATTTTTATTTAAATTTAACACATTCGATGTCTCGCAGTATATTTTTGTGTTTTGTTTATTATGAAAATCAAATCACAGGATTATACTGTGAGTTATCGGCTGTAACAACAACAAATTTAATTAAAAACATTCATTCATCTAATTATTTTATGAAACTAATTGAAACAATTCTCTCTGTTTGCAGTGGTGTTGAAGCCAAACAGCCCAACTCTGCCATCCGCAAGTGCGTGAGGGTTCAGCTGATCAAGAACGGCAAGAAGATTACCGCATTCGTGCCCCGTGACGGTAGCTTGAACTACATTGAGGAGAACGACGAGGTTTTGGTTGCCGGTTTCGGTCGTAAGGGCCACGCTGTCGGTGATATTCCCGGTGTCCGTTTCAAGGTCGTCAAAGTCGCCAACGTTTCCCTGTTGGCACTTTACAAGGAAAAGAAGGAGCGCCCAAGATCTTAGATGGAGATACATCTATCAGTTTCCAGAGTTAGGGTTTTACAAATCTAAATAAACAAACAAAAAAACAACCAAACTGAAATCTTTGTATTTGTTCCTTTGCAGATTGATAGAGATATCTGCTTCCAGCGTAATCTATCTGAATTGCTATTTTCTAAAGGAAAACTAAATTACTTGCCGGCAAATCTGTCCCAATCCATACATATATTAAAACATTTTCAAAGTTCCAAAATGCCAATGGAAAAACAAGCATTCAACAAGTAGTTGTTCGTGCGGCAATCTGGATAGTTACACTGCCAGAAAAAGAGGAAATTCTTTCTCTTTGGTACATTATTCATGATTTGTTTTGTTATAATGATGAGCATTTAATATTTGTATTATATATTTTCAGTTGAGGGCTTAATTATATGTATATGTATGTAAATTTAAATGCCTAGAGCCTTATGAACTACCAGTATGGATTAAAGTCAGCCTGTGCCAGACTCTTCGCTCTCGTCTCAAGGATATCCACTGGGGCCACCCCCGGCATTGAAGTTGTTTGGTCCGGGACGTCGCATGGGCCGGCGGCCACGGGAACGGTTGGCAAACATACGATTAGAGTTGGGTGATCCGCTAGGCATGTTTGGATCCTGGTTACCCGGATGCCCACCACGCATGTTGCTCGGCGAATCTCGCTGCCAGACAATACGTGCCGGTCTATTAGCATTGTTGTTGTTGTTATTGTTGGAATTAGTGCCACGCATCAGGGAGCGACCGCCACGTCGCGTGGGCACTGTGCTGCGCAGAGTACGAAAACGTGTGTTCTCCGACGGAGAAGTAGCTTCAGCTTCGCGGCCCTCCTCCTTGGAAAAACAAGATAGGTATTGATATATTTTGGGTACTATAATCAATTTAGATAGTTACCTCAACTTCAACAGCCTGTTTTTCGCCCTCTGATGAAACGCCATCTGCGCCCTCGTTATCCTCTGAGGGTCCTTCGGCCTGGTTATCCAGGTTGTCTGTCTCAACAGACTGACTGGTGCCCACATTGGGATCTGTGTGTGAATTTAAACCACAATTAGTTTTTTTCTTCTTCAAAACAATCTTTCTCAACATACTCTCATTGCTTAGCTGCTGGGACTCCTCTGCCAGTCCAGGTGCTGTCTCTTCGGCAAAGGCTTCATCTGCTTCGCTTGCGTTCTCCGCGCCTGTTGTCTCGCTTTCGTCTGACTTGTCTTTGGCCTCGGCAGCCTGACTGCTGCTGCTCTGCTCGGCGACCTCATTTGGTTTCTGTGGGGAGTTGGCGCGGGCGGCAGTGCAATCGACACTCGTGCCAGCGCTCTCATCTGCTGCTGCTGCTGCAGCTTCTGCCACAGCTGTACCGTCAACCTCCGCTTCCACGCATGCGGTCTGCTCACTAAAGTTTGATACCTGCGGGGAGCTGACAATCTCAACGGAGCTAAAATGCGAAAGAGAGAAATAAGCATAAGCCAGATCTAGAACTTATTTGACATACTAACCTCTCAGTGCGTCGTGCTGCTGCCGTGGATGTGGAGGGTGCTTGCTGCTTCCAGTTGGCCTCGGCCTGTGGCAATTGGAGGGTATTTGATTCGCCGCTGCCGCTAGTTATAGCCTGGCTTTGATTATTCTCTTGTGTGGAGACGGTGGCAGGCGAGTCCTCGAGCAATTGTCCTTCGACCTGAGCCTGCATCTGCACCTGTTCAATATCAACTTCGTTGTGCTGATCGGGTGCCTCGGCGCCTTCATTATCCTCCATTTCGTTGTCCTGTTCGTAGGAGTCCTCGTAGCCCTCTTCCTGCTCCGCATCTCCGCCATCGATGGGCCCCAGCACATCTTCCTCCTCATCATCAGAGTCTACGACCTGAATATCATCCTCTTGGTCACGCTGCGACGAAGTGGGCATTTGGTCCACATCCATGCCAGAATCGCCAATATGCCCGGCAGACAGCTCACCGCTGTGCATTGGTGTCCGCAGGCGCTTTGCCAGCTTCACAACCTTTTCGGGCACACCTTCCTCAGCATTGGTGGAGGAGTCGCCCTCCACATCACGTGGTCGCTTAGAGCAACCTGCCTGTGTGGTGGTCACATTGCTACTGGACGGCGTGTGGCGACTATGGCTGCTCACTACAGTGGATGAGCTGCTGCTGCTGCCTGATGTACTCGGCTGTTGTTGAATGCTCGCCTCCTGAACGCTAGGAACAGTTGGATTCTGTGTGGAAGTCGATGTCGTTGTGCTGCTAGAAGATGACGATGATGAGCCCTCCACACGTGGTGAGACGAGTGCCACTACCTGCTGCTGTGCCCCGCCAGCAAAGAGCTGTGCATCATTCTGTTGCGGATGCTGCACGCTTTCTGCCTCCTGAGAGCTCTCTGCCGCAGCAGTCGCTCCCATAGGCGGAATGGCCGCAACGGCCACAGCTGCCGAACTGGTCGAGGGCATGTAATCTGTATGCGATGATGTGGGTGACGACGAGGCCATGGATTCCAAGGTGGCGCTTCCTGTGGTATGAACCTGTTGCTGTGGCGGCACTAAAGCCGTGTTGCCCACTGCAGAAGAGCTGCTGCTGCTGCTACCCGAAGCAGCGGCAGCTGATGAAGTGGACGTCGATGTTGAAGTGGAGGTGGAGGCGCCTGGTTGCTGACTGGTGGGCAGTATGGCAGCCGTGCGACTGTTCTGCACCGAAATGGGTCGAATACTGGCCAGAGGCGTCTCACCACCACGCCAGGGAGTGACCGTAGCTGATTGCTGAACGGTGGCGGATCCGGACATTGGCTTCACGTTAGCTGTACGTGGTGAGGATTCGGAGATGTTGCCCTTCTCAACCATGCCCACAGAGCTGGTGGATGGTTTTGTAGACTGCTGGGAGCCCAGCTGGCGCTGCAGCTGATTGATTCTCATGTGTAGGGATTCATTTTCGCGTGTGAGACGCGCGTTGATATCCTTGTTGCTGGCAATGTGCTCCTGCAGCTCCTTCTCTAGACGCTGCACAGTCTCGTCGTAGCTGGTCTTGGTGCCGGCCAGCGTTGTTTCCTGGTTAGCCAACTCGGTCTTGGTTACAGTCAGCTCCTGCAGCAGGTGCTCGATCTTCTGCTTGGCCTCACCGCTGTCCTGATCTACGCTGGAGCGAGACTTGAGATCATCGTACTCCTTCTGTAGCTGCTCATGCTGCTCCTTGGTGCTACGCATGGTATTGTTTAGTTCGTCCAGCTCGGATCGCACCTTCTCCAGCTCGGCAACGGTATCGTTGCCGCCAGTCTGTGCCTGCAGGCCCGTATAGTAATCCTTGTAGCGCTTTGCCAGTTTGCGCAGCATTAGTTCCTTGCTGTCCTTGTCCTGTATGACCTTGTCCTTGGACTCGAGTTCCTCCTGCGCCTTTAGTAGCTCCTCCTCCTTCTGCAGCAGACGATTCTTTAGGTCCATTATGTCCTGCGAGTTCCGCGTGTTCGCCTGCTTGAGCGCAGTGGCCTCCTCCATTTGCTTCTTTCGTGCCTCATCCTGCAGCTGTAAAAGCTTGTTCAAGGCTGGCAGCTCGTTGTCCAAGCGTGTCTTGAGAGCAGCCAGTTCATCAGCCTGTTTTTTGCTGGCGTCCTTTTCGGCAGTCAGCAGCTTGGCTAGATGCTCGCGTTCTCCTTGCAAGCGCTTGAATTCCTCCGGGTTTCTGTTGCTCTTCTCAACCAGAGCATTGGCACGTTGACGCCACTTGATGGCCTCGGTGCGCAGCGAGTTGTTCTCCACGTTTAGTTCCTCAATCTTGGACGTTAGTTCCTTGTTGCTGCACTGCAGCGGGAACAAGTCTTTCTCTACACTGCTAATGCGCTCCGTCAGCTCGCTCACCCGCTTGGTCAACGTGTTGCGTTCCTCGCGCAGAATGCGATTGCTGTCGGTGATGGCATTGAGTGTTTCTATTTTGCGCAGCACCGCCTCGTGCTTGGAAGCTGAGACAACATCGGTTTCGCTCTTGGAGCGCTCCTGTTTAAGATAACCATTCAGCTCGTCCACCTTCTTCTGCAGAATCGTGTGCTCCGAGACGAGGCGTGCATTCTCTGCTTTTAGAATATCCAACTTGGCCGCGTACAGATCTTTCTCCTTGCGCAAGAATTTAATAATCTTCAAAAGCTGCTCACTGTTCTTCACATCATCTATAGCTGACGAGCTATTCAGATCCAAGGTGGAAGAGCTGTCAAGCAGCGAATCGTTGAGGTTGAGGGCTGCGTTTTGATTGGTCGCCGATTTGGCAAGCGCGGCTAGCTTTGTGGTCAGTGCCTCAATCTGATCGTGCAGACTGGAATTGAGCGCGTTCAAATCAGCTACACGTTTCTCTGACTCATCTTTCTCTTTCTGCAGTAGACCCTGAGCCTCGGAGTTTGCCTTTTTCAGCTCATCATGGGCCGCTTGCAGGATCTCCTGTCCACACTTCAGTTGATTGAGTTCATCTTGCACCTAGAAGCAAATTTAAATATGATTCAATATCTACTATAGCTTAGTCACGGCTGAAGAACGTACCTTTAAGAAGTCAGCCTTGAACTTGGTTAGCTCCTGTATATCAGCCGAGTGCAGAATCATCTCATTTGCATACTTTACTTCGACGGAATTCAGGGATTCGGCCAACGTAGAATTCTCTGCGCGCAGGGTACGAATAGCGCGACCCGAATCGGTCAACTTCTCCAGCACAGTCTTGAGCTCCTCCTGAGTGGTCTTCAGCTGATCCGATTGATTGGTCGACTTGCTCTGTTCGGTGACATTGGAGAGCAGTACTTCGGCCTCCAGATCGGTGACGCGCGTCTGTAACTCAGCCTCAGAATTCTTCAATTTCTTAATTTCCGCTTCGGACTTGGCTAAGATCTCGGCGTGCATGTCATGCAGTCGTTTGATTTCGGTCTCTGCGGATTGGGACATCTTGTAGAACTGGTCGCCGTGCTCACGAGCCTTGACCAACTCCTTGGAGAGGGACTCTATTTCGATTCTGGCCTGTTCGTAGCGCAGCTCGAATTCACGGGCCTTCTTGTTCGCTGCTGTGATTGGATTTTCATCCTTGGATGGAGTGAGGCTTTCCTGCAGCTTCTTGCTCAGGTCATTTACCTGGTTGACCTTCGCTGCGAGCTCCTCGCGAACCCCAATGAGTTCCTGATGCCACTTCTCAGCCTGCAGACGCTCTTCCTCCTTCAGCTTGTTGGCTGTTTCCGTTTGCCGCTTAAATTCGTTCACCGTTTCGCGGAACTTCTCCTCCTCCTCTTGGAAGTGACGACGCTGAGCGGATAGCTCGCGTACTGTATCATCGAGCCGCTGCTCGAGACGCAGGCGGCCCTCTGTCTCTGAACGTTCCAAATTAGCCTTGATGAACTCCAAATTGTTGAGCAGCAAAGCTTGACTCTGATGCTCACGGTTGAAGCCTTCCTTTTCGGCCTGCAGACGAGCAGTTGTCTCTTTGAGCACGCGATTCTCGTGTCGCAAGCTGTGTGTCTCTGTCTCGGATGCGACCTGCTTGCGATGTGCCGTCATTACCTCGTCCTTGAGCATGTGTACAGTCTGCTCGTGTTTAATGATCGTCTTCTCATAGTTCTTGGTGCGATCCTCTAAAGCCGCTATTTGTTGCTTATAAGTAGCGATGCCCTTTTGCAGCAGGTCCATTTGTTCCTTTTGGAACTCGGAGGCATTCATTAGCTTGCAGTTGACGGAAGTTAGCTCCCGGACTTCTTTGCGCATCGAATCGAATTGCTCCTGGACGAGTGCATCATTCTTGCGCTTTTCGCTGGTATAGTAGTCGTAGTTCTCCTTGAGAGCTGCGTACTTCTTCGTCTCATCCTCCAGCTGCTGCTCCAAGCTACGTATACGGCGTTCCAGCTTAGCTTCTGCTTCCAGCTTTTGTGTCTTCTCCACTATCTTTGATTGCTCCGCTTGGGACTCATCAATAAGTACGGTAGAGTCGTCTAGATCGATGATCTGACTGCCCAGCTTCTTCTGGGCATCAAAATAGAACTTCTTGTAACGCTCACACTTGGCCATCAAGGTGGAAATTGTGCTATTCTTCTGGTTGAGAGCCTCCTCCATTTCGATCAGACGCTTGGTGGCCCTCTCGAACTTCTCCGCGTACGCCTTCAACTGGAGTTCATCATTCTTCTGCTCATTGGCCTCCAGTTCCGTGGTTAATTCGCGGATTAGTGTAAGCAGTTTGACATTCTGGCCCTGTAACTCGACAATGGACTCGAATGTAACCAAATCTCGGCTGATAGCATCGCTGGAGTTATGCACGGTTCCTTGTTGTGTTTGACTGCGAGACCGATTCACGCCAGCACGCAGACAATTAAGCTCATCCAGCAGCAGGCAAACTTGGCGGCTTAAATCAACTTGCGATTGCTTCAGTTTTTTGTTCTCCTTAACGTGGCGTGTGACATCGAACTGTGTCTGCTCGAGCTCCTGTTCGAGTGCTAGCTTTTTGTCCACCAGCTCGTCCCGTTGCTGCAGCAGCAGTTGATGCTCCTCGGTCAGTTTGCTGTAGTCGTCGTCCTGTTTCTTGAAGACAGGTGCACGCTCATTGATCTCATCTACAATAGATTTGATCTGCAACTTTAGCTGTGCATTCTCCCGATTCTTTCCTTCCAGCTCTTCCGAGTTCTTGGCATACAGCGAGTACAGCTCGGTGAGCGACATGTTAGAACGCATCAGACGACTGGCAACGGCAGCCGTTGGCGCTAGCTTGCAAATGGCGCTCTCCAAGCTCTGCTCCTGTGCCTCCTTCAGCAGATCGTTGGCATGCGCAATCTCCGTCTTCAGTGACTCAATAGTCGAATTCTTGGCATTCAGCTCTTCGGCATGACTTTGTTTTGCGAGCTGGAACTCTGTCTCTAGCTCACCGTACTGATCCGTGGTATCGGTCAACATGCGCTTAAGATCCGAGATGCCCTTGAGCAACTCGTTGCGCTCTGTAATGTTCTCACATTCCGTGCTCTTATAGATCTCCACCAGCTTCTCTTTCGTGTCGAGTTCCTTCTTCAGTGTGTCCACAAACTTTTCGGTTGCCATATTGTGCTGGAACATTGTCTCATTGAGATCCTCAATTTTCTTGTTCATATCTTCAATGGTTTTCGAGTACTGTGCATTTTGGCCCTGGAGTATTTGCAGCTCGTCACACTTCTCCTTAAGCCGCACTTCCAGATGCATGGTGTTCATTGAATGATCACGTCGCAGATTCTGCAACTCGGCATTATTGCGATTTAGATCGCTACTGAGCACTTGAATCTCATTCTGCAACATGGCACGCTCACTTTCCAAGCGGCGCTCTTTGATGTCCAGCGATACCTCTTTGCTCTGCACCTCATCCAAACGCGCGATAGCCTCACACTTGGCTGTGATGGCAGCCCTTAGCTGCTGCTGATAAGTCTGCAGATCCTGCTTCAAGCGTTCCAGTTCGCCATTCTGTCGTTCGATCACCTTCAGCAGGGAGTCACGCTCATCGACAAAGGACACCTTCTCCTTGCGCAATGTGGACAAGTTTTGATCGTAGTTCTTAACCGATTCCTGCAGCTGATCACGCTCCGCAGACACTTGATCCAGCTGGTTGCGCAACTCAGCAACATTTTGCTCAAAGTTAGTAAACTTCACCTGGTTATCGAGTAGTTGGCTTTTCAGTTCTTCATTCTTTTGTTCTGTTTCAGCTGTTGAGAGAAAGAGGAAGAAGACAGTGGGGACACATTTCAGATATTTGTGTAACAGTTGAAAAATAGTATAAATTACATATATTCATGTTTATTTATTTCCTGTAAGAGAAAAAAAAACACTTTACTCACTGAGACGATGCGCGGCGGCTCGTTCTTTGCAATATTCATCAAAAAATCCGTCTATATACGATTTGAGTTTTTGCTGCATGCCGGTTGGCAGCTGTTCCAGCTCATCCGTCGCAAAAATCTGCGTCAGCGACTGCGGACCACTGAGATCCATGATTGGAATGCTTTTATTTCTTCAATACAATACTCAATCTACTTATTTTCTAAGTTTTCTGCACAAAAAACAATTTTGCACAACGACGCGACGTACAAGCGAAAATTGCAATATATTTGCCAAGTGTGTACACATTAATTAAAGTTATGTCGCTCAAATGAATAGGTCATCAAATAAACAAATGTACTAGTTCCTTGTTTTTTAATCACACGGAATATCTTTATTTATTATTTTAAATTTTTGTTTACTAATTATAAATAAATTTTCTTTGTTTGTATTAAAATAAAATTGTAACAGAAAAGATTATTAATAACTCAATAACTGAATTCCGAGTTTTCAAAATGAACCACAGTTCGCACATCTAATTTCAGTGTGGCCCTATAATCTGTGACATATTTTTTTACTTTGCGCTTTTCATACTTTAATTTGTGCCGGCTTTTCTTAGCATAAGTAAACGAAAAAAAAGCCATATTCACTCGCTCAAATATAACTCTAGGACTTACTTAGGCGATTTGCAGCAGCTCGCTCCTTGCAATATTCATCTGAAAATTTTTCAATGAACGCCGTCAATTTTCCTTGAATGTTCTCTGGCACAAGTTGCAGCTCCTCCGGCTGTAAAATGCTGCTCAACGACTGTGTGCCATCGAAGTCCATGTTGGTTTGTGTTGCAATGAATAACTTCAGAATTGTTTAATTAATATTTAGTTTAGTTTCCACTATATTATTTCGTCGGAAAAAAACAGCGCGCAACTCAGCGTTCTTTCACCATACCGACTTAGCGATGTACTGAAGACAGCTATTAATGCATAGATACATCGATAATTACATAGAGGTGGATAGTGCAAATTATCGGGATAACGATGTATCGCTAAACGTTATTTTAGTGTTGCAAAGTAATGGCAAACGATACAATTTCAAATTTTGCAGCACTACTTACGCGCGTGAATTAAATATTTTATAATGGACATACAAATATAGTAATATAAAATATTCTAATATTAAATATATTCTTATTAAATCGGTGATTTTTTTAAATACATTTTTGTTGTTTTTTGTTGTTGTAAAAGTACACGGATTTGTTGTTCAGTTACATATTTGACGTTATTCAAGAGTCTGCTTACCTGTCTCATACCTACCGCAGCGGCTGTTATTGCACACAACGACCTCATCATATTGGCTTACATAACCCAAAACGTTGAGCCAAAGCTAACAGACAGCAATCAGCATCAATGTGTGTGTCTCAGCTCTTCATTCAACAGAGACAGAGACAGGACCAGAGGTAGAGGTGGAGGCAGATGCAGAGGCAGAGTCAGCGTCTGGACCAACGTGTGCCGCGCTTCATCTCTGATAAGGGGCAACTGCACCTACAGCGATACTTCTTTGCGATCAGCGTACACTGAGCAAAATCGTATGGTCTGCAATCAACTGTCTGACTGTGGGGCCATCACAATTTCTTGCAGTGCAATGAACGGGCGATCTGCTTATCAATAATTTGTTTTCCTTTTTTTCTTGCTGCAGCATTTAGGCAGAGATTCGCTGGCGATAGCAGCTCAAGTGTCACACGCCCACATTTTTGGAGCAGCGGGCCAGAGGTTGCCGTTGCCGTTGCCGTTGCCGTTGCTATTGCCTGGACCCAGCTGCTGCGGCCTGCCCATGCAGCCATTTGCACATGCGCCACGCCAATAAACTTGTACCCTTTGATCCTCATCCACAGTCATCTCCGTTGCCGACTTGAACTCCCAACTCAAAGGCGATCGGCACACGTTAGCTGTGTTGTTTATTTTTGTTTCTTTCTTTCTTCTCTTTGCTCTGCCCAGTCTGTCTTCTTCCTGGACTATCTTGGCCTGGGCTTTGGCTCTGGCTTGGGCTCGCGGTCGGGCTCGGGCTCGGGCCCGGGCCAGCGAGCGCCGGCGGCAATTATCGCGATATGATAAACAAATATTTTTGCATCTAACCCACGTCGCCGACTGAGGCAGCACAATTTCTGGCATTCTGGCGCTTAATTATGAACTCTGTGCCGGGTTTTTTCTTTACATTTTTTTTGAATGTGTGTGCTTAAATGTTTATGCGTGAATGCACTTTTACCTGGTTGGTAAGCAACTGGCTGTTGCTCTTGTTGTTGTTGGTTTTGTTGCCGTTTGGCCAGGGCTTGGCCCAAGTTGCTGCAATATGCAATTTAGAAGCTTATCGCACTTTGGATACCAATCAGTCGGCATTTTGACTGCATGCAAAGTGGGTGGAGAAATGAAATAAAAATTAAATATGGCTCTATTTAAATATCAATAATTTGTACAGACACTAAATGAGGGTATTTTAAATTTGAGATACGATGTGTGACACCTAATAGGAAATATATAAATATTTGAGCAATTTCGAGTCAATGGGGCTAAGCACATTGCCCTTTTGGTTTATATGTAAATTTAATTTGATTTTGCACAAATGTATCTATTTGGTATTATATATATATATTATTGTATTACACACTGTTGATAGTGAAATACTCTTCAGGTCCCTCAGAGTTGGAGAGTAAAGATGAGAAAATTTAATGTGAAAAGTCGCAATAAATTCTCATTTCGATATCATCGATCTTATATATAATAAAAATTAATATTCTATATAAAATCTAATCATAGATTCTATACATAATTGATTTAAAGCTTCTAAAGCAAAAACTTATTTTAAAGATATTATCATCTGTGAAATTAAATTATTGTATCTTAAGAAAAGATGGTTTTGTGGGGTAAAATGATAGATGCTTATATAATTAATAAATAATTAATATATATATATAATAATATATATATATATATATATATATATATATATATATATATATATATATATATATATATATATATATATATATATATATATATATATATAGTTCATTAATATATTTATGTAATTCATAAAGAGTATTTTCTCTTCAGCAAAACAGTTTAAGTTCATCTTTTTACGAGTTTAGTTTCTTGAGTATTTTGTAGATTTTCTTACTGTTGCTGAGAGCTATGATTGAAAGATATCGTAACTAAAGGTCACTTATCTTTTGCAGAACAGTAGAAATACAAAATACAGATAGAAGTAGAGAACTAAAGAGGCATAGATAGAGAGAAAGATAGAGGGGTAGTCGATACATAAAGATATGTGACATATAAAACGAGGTTTTCAGTTTATTGAGATGCTTCTAAGATTTCCAACGTCTTCCAATTTAAGCCAAATATTTATTTTTTATTTCTTTTTGTTATAAAAATAAAATAATAATTAATTTTAAAACTCTTAATAAGTTATAAGCAAATATATGAATATTGTAATAAAAATTTAAAAAAATAGTTTGTTTTATTATTATTATTAATATGTATTGAATAAATATTTAATATTATTAAATACATTATAAACTGTGTTTTTTAATGTTAAAATTAATTCATATAAATAAAGTTGAAAAATATAATAATAGAAATAAATATTATATGGATATTCCGTTTGTTATATTATTTTTTTATTTGTTACATTTAATTAAACAAAAATGACTATGAAGGAAAAATTAAATATATTAAATAATTTTATAATATTAATTTTAGATTATAATAATATAAAATCCTAGATAAATCATAAAAAAAACTCTCAAAGCTTTTATCAAATGTCTTAAAATTCTTAGATCCGCTGATAACTTCATATAAATTTAGCTTGGCTACAAAGCAGCCGCATTTTACAATATTTGCATACGCTGCTCTATGTGTATGTGTGTGTGCGTGTGCATGTGGGGCTGGTATACAGACGAGCACACCAACACACACACACAACCGTTTGGGGGCCTCCACCAATTGAAACAAACCAAATGCAAAGTCGTCTCTCCCACAACACATTAAATGCCGAGAACAGGTTTTCGTGCTTTCGTTGTATGCGACAAACTGCCCCGAGCTCTGACAAGCGCTTGTAGCTGAAAATGGAGAGGGAGAGGTAAAGGGAGAGGCAGAGCGTCTCTCTGCTCGGAGACGTTTTAAAATACTCGCAAGCAACGAGCAGGAATATTAAATAAGTCTGTTTCATTTGATTCAAAAGAACTTGCCGCACGCCTGTTGCTCGGCCTGAGATCGAGCTCGAGCTCGGGCTTGGGCTCGGGCTCGGGCTCGGGCTCGGGCTATGTCTCTGGCTAAGGCACACTTGCCCCAGAATGAGACTGCGTCGTTTGCTTCGTTCCGCTTAGCTGGGCAACTGACAGTGCCACTGCCAGTGCCGCAGTCGCTGCCTGCTGCCGCCGCTGCTGCTGCTGCTGCCGTTGCTGTTGCTCTCTGGGGTCGAAGCGGCTCAGCTTCAAGCTGGGCCAAGACTGCGCAAAAGGTTTTGCTCGTGCGCTTTTTGGCCTTATGCATTCGACTGCGACTCGGCTCGAGATCTCAGTTCCGTTCACAGAGAGTGTCTGAGTGTGTGTGTGAGAGAGAGAGAGAGTGTGTGAGTAAGCGGGGTTCAAGCCAAAGTTTCGCCAGCTTGTTGCCTGGTTGCCAGTTGGAAGTTGGCAGTTGGCAGTTGGCTAGCGGTTCGTCATCGGCGTGGTTCATGTATCTCTGACTCTGACTTTTGGGCTGGCTACGTAGGCTCCGGCAGCAGCTGCGTTGCGCTTATAATCATAAATACACACACACATATATAGATACATATATATCTACATAGAGCGGCGTGTATCTGTATCTGTATATATCAGCTATAATAGTATATATAGGCCCGGTTATATGCCAAATGCGTTTGTGCTGTGCATTTTTCCCAAGTGTATTGTAAACTTGTGAGCCAACAACAACCACAACAACAACAACAACAACAACTTGCTCTCAGTTTCGTATTTGTTTTTTGTGAAATGTTGAAGCCCTTGATTTTAAGCACCAGATACGTTCATTAGTCGTCGCAAGACATTTCGTGATCGTAAACGCGTTTGTAAGCCAACCTCTTGATCTTGGCCAAAGCTGCCAATGGGAGCCAGCGGTAAAAACAGTTCGCAAACCAACAAATAAATGAAATCCCTCAAAAGAAATATCAGTGTAATAACAAAATATGCACCAAGTGTAAAGCGTGTCCAAAAAGTGTCTGATCTGGCTATAAAACAGCTAGATTAAAGGCTAAGCAAAAAGAAAAAAAAGTAAAATCTGATTGCAAAATTCTCAAGTGTGTGGAGTGCTTAATGTGGGTTAGGGCCTAAACTAGCACAAATTAAAGCAATACACACAACACACACACAACATATACACACACATACACCCGCACAACAAATAGACACAAATTCACACATGCCAACAACAACAACAACAGCGAATGCGCAAATTTATGGTTGGTTGTTGGGTTACCACGGCCAGCAGTCGCTTAGGGAAAGAAAAAAACTAACGGAATAATGCAACATTAAGCAAAATGCTGCTGGCCCTGCTAAAGCTAAAGCAAAGCCCAAACCACCAACAACAACAACAACAATCAGAACAACAACAACAACCTGCAACCATCGCCGCCGCCTCCGCCGCCACCGTCCTCGTCGTCGTCGTCGTCGTCGTCATCGCAGTCACCGTTACCACGAAACGTAGCCGTTGCTGTTGCCGTATAAAATGGAACCCTCATATGATCACGAACATCCACATCATCTGCTAACAAATTACAAGTAATATTTACATTTTTCCCATGCTATAAAAACAACAACGACAGCGACTACAACTACAACTACAACTACAACTACAACTACATATATATACATTTTTTTCTCGCTGTTTAATTATATCCAACCGTAGCGAAGATACATATCTTTCAAGATAATAACCATAATGAAAAATGGAAAAGCTGCGCTGGTAGTTGTGAAGAAATTCTCTAGATATGTCTACTCCAAGTCCGCTGGCTCTCCCAAATATATATACTATATGCACATATATATAGAGTTAGAAGGGGGCTTCAAATCTTAGTCACACGACAACTAAAGCGAGAGAGAGAGAGAGAGGAGCTATATACCTTATATAGTTATTTACGAAAAACTTTGCTTAGATTTTATTTTAGTTTTTTAAGAGTTTAAAGACAGCCCCCGAGACAGTCACTTGCACTTGTATGCGTATGTCCGCTGCCGTTTCACTGTGTGCGTTCTGTGTGAATATGTAAATAGTTAGTTAGTTAGTTAGTTAGAATAGAACCCCGCCTCGGAGTTGGTCAAGTGGAAAGTAAACCAAGAGAGCAGCGCCACACAGCTTGCTGGTCAGCAAGAAAGTATGAGAAAAAACCTTAAAGAAAAACAACAAAACTATGATCAAAATATAAAAATGAAAAAAAAGTTTGGTGGAGAGGTCAACATGCGGTTTCGCTCATTAAAATGATTTAGTTTTGATCTAAGCTCTCTGATAGCTGTGCATGATATTAACATAGCATTAGGCTTCAAACATTTAACTAACCTTACAAAGCATCCGGTTCAGTTTTCGTTATATATATATACATATATCTTATGCTTTATATATTCAAAAGAAAAAACCTTTTGAAGACTTCTTTGGAAATCGCAAATATTTTACGCTGCTCTGTCACATATTTTGTCACATTTTGCTTTTTTCTTTGGCATTTTTGATGGGCTTCTCTACCTTTTTGGCCTGTGCTCTATAAATCAATCTGCCTTATAGGTAGACACATCAATTATATCAATTGATTTGCATTTTATGAAAGAAACAATGCAAAAAACAATAAAGCTCCAGTTTATTAAGTCTAACACATTTTTACTATCTATAAAGCAGTTCCGTGCGGTTTCGTTTCGGATAAATAATTTTATTATCCCTGCAGAAGATTTGTTGCTAAACAAATTGGGTGCTAAAAGATTTATTTTTCCTTTAAAACTTGATTACCCAGAATTGGATAAAAAATAATAATTATCCGTTAATAGGCATATAAATCAAGCGTCGACAAGTTAATTGTTTCAGCCAACTAACTAACTAACTAACTGGTTAATTAATTAGCTTATGCACACTTCCCCTATATCATTATTTCTATATCAATTCTAGCTGGGCTATAATAAATTCCGTGTTAACAGCATTTTTCATGTATTTCACATTCATCAAGGAGAAATGGGGAATTAGAATGATAAACAATCTATAGATATGGAATATATAGATGTTTAAATCTGTTTCATAAATTAAAATATGAAAAAATATAAAATAAATAAATATAATATATATATATAAACATAATTAAACATATATAAGAAATATAAATCAAATTAATATAAAATATAAGAAAGTTGAAGTAAATTTTAAAAAATATCTAAAGATATTTTTCACATTTTTTCTCATGGTTTCTGTAATATAAAAATTTGATGTATTTACGTTATTTTTAAATTTTTAGATATGTATTTTCTAAAAATCTCATCTATAATTGATATAGGCCATTGGCCAAAAAATTTTCAACATCTCCTTGCAAAATTATTTAGGCATGGCTTGCAACAAGTACATTAATATATATATTAAATATAAATATTATATATATATTATTGTATACATATATATATCTCAAATTTATTATTATAATGAAATAATATACTTAATCTATATATATAAAAGTTTTGTCTGTAGAATTTAGAAAAAAAAAATGTCATATGTCATATATATGTAATGCCAAGCGAAAAAATAAAATCGTAGAGACGTAATATTAGGTACATTATTAAACTAGAATAGATCACTTGAGTCTTCTTAGAAAAAAGAGAGTATTTTAGTAAACAAGCGATAATATGATTTCCTGAGATACTTAGAAGAAATTTATCGAAGACTGCAACAATATATATATATATATATATATATATGTTTCTATGTATATATGTTCAAATATGATCTTTTAGAGCTACATCAATAATTATTATTACAAATCTTTCCCTATTTCCATAAAAAATATCTTCAATTCAATATTTGGGCTTGTTTCACACAAATTATCTGAAATTTAGCAAAGACCATATTTAAACTGCTCTACATATCGTCTGTATATATATCGCTGCATATATATACACCTATTCATGTAGCTAATTCTCAACCAGCCAAGCGCTGCGAGGGAGTTTATTGTGTGCGTGATAAAATCCATTACATTTCAGTACATTTTTCATGGGTCTCGTTTCTATATATATATACACACACACATATAAATATATATATATATATTCATTCTCTTTAAATGGCTTTTGTGTGTGAGAACTGGGTCTCGCGTTGTTTCTTTGGCGACGGCTGTAAACCTCATTAGCCGAGCTCATTCGCAGACGCGTTTCGTCTTCGGGTTGGATGCTCTCGGGCCCAGCAGAGAGTGCCACAGCACTAACACCACCAGCAGCAGCACCATAATGCCTTGCTTCATTAGTTTAATTATGTACGAGAGCAGGAATCTTTATATGCATACCAATACGACTCTCATACGAGCTGAGCAGCAAGTCTTAGGGCCCGGATCTGGCACTGAACGCAGCTCTCGCATCTCTCTGGTGGCCTCTCATTCGTTCGCAATGAGACAGGCCAAGTCGCGAACGCCACAGGTAGCTGCGTTTAGCTTTGCCAGTTGCTGCTCTTCTTGTTGTTGCTGCTGTTGCTGTTGTTGGTTCATTAAAGCAGCGGGCAATACGCGCTAAGATGGCGGTTGCCCAAGCCGGATGCTGTGGCTGTTTATGCTTATTGGTCAACAACAAGCATCTACATACACACACACAAACAGGCGCGCACGCACACACGCACACGCACATGCTCATGCATATGTATGCGTATCGACTGCGTCGTTAAGTTATTCCAGTACATCACACCTGGGCCGCAGTCGCCTTGGCACCACCACAGCCAAGCCAACGCCAACAACAACAGCAGCAACCACTGAGGGCCAGCTCTTCGCTCTTGTCTCTTCTGTCTTGGCATCTTGGCCTGGTCTGGACTGGTTTTTGTTGTTGTTGTTGCTGGCTTGTTCAGGCAAAATGAGTTGGAAAACAAATGTATGCGGCTCTTGAGGCGCCTCGCACCACCAACCAATAGACTGCAAATGGAGCAGAGCAGATGCTGCATCTTCCAGAGGCCACACCCACCGTGGCCCGCGCAAAACCAAAATGGCTTTTATTACCACAAACTTATCAAAACTGCGTGCCAGTTGCATATGGCCGGCAGCAGTCATAAAATGGCTCTTAATTAATGTGCTCGGGAATATGACAAGAGCTGAAAATAGTAAACATTGAATTGTAAAAGATGCACTAGATAGATAGATAGATGTCTTTAGAGCTATTTTAATATTTTATTATTATCATAATTCCCACTATTATTAGTGGACATGGCAAGGCTACTTGATGTTGCCCACTTGGAGACTGGCAGTAGAAGTTCTTATTCCTGTCAGTTCAAGTTGATTCACAGCTTTCAGCATGGGCTCCACTTATTTATTATCCTTATTATTTAATTTTTATTATTTTATTATCATTATTACTTTTATTCCAATTTGTTTTAATATTATTATAATTACTGCTGTGACAATCATACAGACAAATGTAGCATAAGCTGGTTGAGTTCAGATTTTTATGTTTCAGTTATTTGCCCTTCCCACCTTAGAGGAACTCAATCTGAAATGTGGAATAACTAATAATAAAGTCAAAAGTAGATTTCTTACAACTTTCAAATTGTATACATTTAAATTCATATCATAGAAATATATCTTATGTATGAGCATAAGTGTATGAAAATTCATTTCATTTGCTTACAAAAATTAAAATATTTTTATGACCTATTGGAAATTAGAGTGAATCAAACACACGTCGAATCTAATAGTTGTAGATGAAAAATTGCCATAAATATTATATTCTATATTATTAATATAAGAAATATTTATAATTATTATTTTACTATTTATTTATTTATTTTACTCACTCTAAAAACTATATAACAAGAGTTTCTTAATAATTATAAATTTAAAGTATAGAATATAGCTTAAAGTCAGCTCTCAGCTACAATAATATAGCTGTCAGTCATTAGATACACATTCCAACCCGGATTCTCTTGCTGTACTTAAATTAATATCCAATGGGAAATACATTTTTGATGTGTTTCGATAGAGAAAATTATGACTAAGCCTACAAGGCGGATGCTTAATATTCAAATGTACAATTAAATTGGGCTTAAAGCAGAAGTTTTGAAAATGAAAAACCCAAAATATATGAATAATAATATGAGGCAATTATAATCAGGATTAGTTGAATACATAAATATAAAAAAGTTATGTTGAGAATTTTTATATAAAGAAAAACAGTTTATTTTTTATTATTATTGTTGATATTTTAATTTGTAAATCATTTTAATCTATAGCAAAAAACCCAATAAATAAAAATAAATAATTATATATAAATATAAATATATAAAATAATATGATTTACAAAATAAATTATTAACAAAAATAAAAATATATTTAAAAATAAAGTTCAATTGTTTTTCTTTTTAAAGAAGTTTAAATATATATATATATATATAAATGTATATATCTCAGATTCATAATAGTTACAAAAAATTTAAATATATAAGCAGATATAGTAGTATTCAGCGGATATTCAGAGAAAATGCACTTTCTTTGCAGTCGTTAGAGTAATCTGCTTAAGCATATGTTATAGAGCTACGACCATATTCCCACGTGCCAGATATCTGGCAAACTATATATGCTTAATTCGAAGAGTATGCCATTAAAAATATTTAGAATTTTCACCAGCCCCATACTAGACTAGAAAGCAAATGCTTCGCAGCTATTTGGAACGTGTGAATAGACGATCAGCATGCAAGAGAGTAAATTGAAAATGGAGAAGGGGCTTATAGAGGAGGTCTTTAGAGAGACTCACTTTCGCTGGGTCTTTGAGATGTGTAAGATAAGATTGTAAGTGATCGTATGTAGTTACTATATAGTAGATAAAGAATATTTTTAAAACTGATCTAAAGATCTAGACGTCGGCTAAGTTAAGTGTCTATAGTTATCCGACTCATAATTAACATAGTATATTAAAATGTCCTATATCCGTCTATAGTTATCCGACTCATAATTAACATAGTATATTAAAATGTCCTATATCCGTCTATAGTTATCCGACTCATAATTAACATAGTATATTAAAATGTCCTATATCCGTCTATAGTTATCCGACTCATAATTAACATAGTACATTAAAATGTCCTATATCCGTCTATAGTTATCCGACTCATAATTAACATAGTATATTAAAATGTCCTATATCCGTCTATAGTTATCCGACTCATAATTAACATAGTATATTAAAATGTCGTATATGCCAAACGCCGTCGCCTTTTCGATTGTCTGCTGCGTGCCTCGAGAGGGGAGGCTGGGGCAAAAAGTTAAAAGGCTGTCTTTGCGACACGGCGACACATGAATCACAATATGCTAAAGGGCTGACACTCTCTCCCGATCAATGCGGCTTCTGAATGAAGTTTTTTTCTCGTTCTTTCGTTTTTGTGGGCTTGTTAAGGCCAGAGCCAAAGTTGCCTACTTTGCGGCAGCCGCCAAGTTGCCAAGTTGCCAAGTTGTCCGAGTTGTTCGAGTTGTCCGAGTTGCTGCTGCTGCTGCTGCTGCTGCTGCAACCGGCGCAGTTGAAGCCACCAGCAGAGTCCCCCGTTGCGGTTGTCGTAAACAAAACGTTGCACGCTCCGCGCTCCACGGTCCGCAGTCAGCGCGGACGTTCAGTACTTGGACAGCACAGACAGCAGACAGCAGACAGTGGACAGTGGACGAAGAGACAGAGAGACATAGAGACTGTGGACAGGGCGACATACACTGGAAAAGAGGGGACAGAGAGACAGCAGCGTTGGACAGAGGACCGCAATGTGGAATATGTGGCATTTTGCAAAGATGTTGACATTTTGCGCGCATAAAAATGCCAACTTACCGGCCACTGTATGTGTCCTATTTTAAAATCAGGGCCATGGCTAAGACGCTGCCCGGCTCAGCACAGAGCAGGGGCTAAGCCAAAGCCAAAGCCAAAGCCAAAGCCAAAGCCAAAGCCGAAGCCGCATCGTCGTGGATCGTGAGCGCGCGCTTAGGCCAAAAGCAGACCAAAAGCAAAAGCCACAGACCAGTTGGACAGGCGTACAGACCAGGACGGTATAATTTTGTGTAGCTGGCTAAAGTATTTAGCAGCAGCAGCAGCAGCAGCGGCAGCCGCAACCGAATATCAAAAACGTAACGATGTCACCAGGAACCCTCAATAAATTATCCAACTGAAGCTGAAGCTGAAGCTGTAGAGCTAAGCCAGGGGCTCAGCTTGGGCTGGGGCCCAAGCACTTGGAGTTTTGTGTCGGCTTTGCCTTTTGGGCTAAAAGAAAGCAGAAACTAGAGCGTCTAGTTGGGGCCAAGGTAGCCGGGACTCCTGGCCTGGGCTGTCTTGGCCCGTCCTGGCCTGGTCTGGCCTGGCCTGGCCTATGGAGCCTAACAATTAGGCCGCGCTCTTGTTGGTAGGCAAAAGAGCAGACGGCAGACAGCCAGACGGCCCGCCACCGAGAGACAATAGACCAAAAGTGTAGTGGGCAGCAATAAATTCAAACGGTAACAAATCGAAACAGGGGCCAAGACAACACGCACACACAGAGCCAAAGTCAGTGCCGAAGGCAGCCTCGAGAGCCAGTAGATCGAGCGGGTTCTCCCTTAGGGAGCCAGCCTGTAGCTAAGCTTTGGCAATATTTAAACTTGTCTCGTTTGGCTGCTGCTGCGGCTGCTGCTTATGATGCTGCTGCTGCTGCTTTGGTTCTGCTTGAATTCCTGGAAGCCGAATTACTTTGAAATGTGTCGATATGTCGCAACTTTTAAAAGTTATGCATAAAGGTCTGGGGGCCCCGAGCCGTAGCATACAGCTCCTGCTCCAGCTACAACTACAGCTTCTTTGCTTACTCTACTGCCTGGCGACGGTGGCTCGGTGGCTCGGTGGCTCGGTGGCTCGGTGGCTGCGCCGGTGCGGCCTCCTTTGATAATACAATAGCTGCACGCGCCCAATTTACATTTATGTCCACTGACATTAAGGAGCGCAAAACGTTGCAGGCCAGCCTTCGAGCCGGGAACCTGGTCCAGTTTTCAGCCCCACTCTCCCCCTTCCCCTGCCTACCCTACCCTACCCTGTTCACCCCCTCCCTCAATCTGCATTCGCCATTCTTCGATTCTCGTTGGTGTCTGATATAAACGCAAAGTTTATGCCTTTGTTTTCTCCTTCTTCAGCTTCTTCTGCTCGTTTTATTTTATTTTTTCCTTTTGCGTACCGTGAAAATTGCCAACGTATTTAGCAGCGATTTTAAATATCATTATAAGCCGGGCCCTGGCGACATTTTTTCAACTGCCCTACGTAATTTTCAACAGTAGCTCATAAACACAGTGAGAAACATGCAGAAACGATTTCATCTCTAATTAGGCAGTGTGATACCTTTGCAGGTAGCACCTACCCAAGGAGTTGTTGATTCTTAACAGATATACTCATGCTTATATACGAATAAATATTGTATTTATCTACTCTTATATCTGCATTGCCTGACTTATCTGTGCACTTAACGAAATTACAAATATATATCAATTATAATAATTACAATATATATCAATTTTATACGAATCATAGGTATATCAGTATAGCGAATTAAATACTTAATGTTCTCTTTATCCTTGTGCTCTTCTGCAACACCTCCATCGCATTTACCTTTTACTGCTGCTACTCTATTTTCTAATCCAGCTCTTCATGAGCTGCAAGAGCAGGTGGTACATAAGCCTACTCTTCCGCCTTCGCCTAATTTCGATTCTTGTGATCTTTCTTTGACTACTCGCTCTGCATTCTCCTCCTGATGCTAATGGATACGCTCACATTTCCACGCATATAGTCGTACATATACATATACGCACATAAGCATATACATACGTACGTATATATACACACATATACATATACACATACGTACTAAACTACATACATCAGTCACAACTTTTAAAATGAACACTTAAAAAAATAACACTTAACTTGATTTCGTGAGAATCGAGGAGAAGAGCACCATATGCAAATTGATATTTCTTCCAATTGCATAAAACTGATGGCAGTTATTTCGGTCGTACTTACACACACAATGTACTTCCTTATATACATACATACATACACACATACATATATACATATATACATATATACATATATACATATATACATATATACATATATACATATATACATATATACATATATACATATATACATATATACATATATACATATATACATATATACATATATACATATATACATATATACATATATACATATATACATATATACATATATACATACATACATATATACACACAACAAATACATGCATCACTACACATGTATGTAGATATAAATATATACACACACACTCAAACATACATCATTCATACATCATACATCACATTTTTCTAAAAGAATAAATTATTAAATCATTTATTAAATATAGTTTTTAGTTCAACTATTCGCCTTGTCTAGGATTGTCTACAAATCATATTTAAAATATGTTTTATTTTAAATAATATTCTATATCAATGCTAAGCCGATTGAATTTTCGCCTAAAAATATTGCAAAGAAATGAATTATTCATCTTATATCTTTCTTTTATAGCCCTTGAGCAGTTAGTTAAAGAGCTTGGAGTTAGCTGAAGAACTGAGAAATTGTTTATTATTATTTATTATTATTATTATTATTATTATTTTTATTATTATTATTATTAACTTCAAATATTATTGAACTCTAATGGAATGTGTATAAATATTTGTAATATATAAAATTCTCTCTTCTAATTTTAGTGCTAAAAAATATCCCCACGTGTCACGTACGCCGGAATATAGCCACTCGACGGTGGGCAGCGACTATCCGGAGCACGGCGTCTACTTATCCGATGGACGGCTGCTGCACGAGAGTCCCAGCGACAGCATCTACCATGTGAGGCAGGGCAGCGAGCACTCCTCGCCCAGCTTACACTCTCCAGCCATACAGAGCGCCGGCTACGACAACGAGCACTCGATGAACGAGGCGGCGCTCTCGGTGCACAGTCACAGTCACTCGCCAATGGTGTCCAGTGCGTATAGCGTGGGCGGTGGAGGCGGAGGCACTGCCTCACTGATCAGCAGCAACATACCGCTGCTGGGTGGTGGTGGCAACTCGGTGCTGAACAAGTTCTTGTCGCATCCGCACGCCGGAATAGATGAATGTGGCGCAGCACCCATAGAGCCGGCGTCCATGTGGAGCTACGACTACAAGGGCGACATATGTGCCTCCAATTGTGGCTATCTGGATCGGCACAAGGCGTTGGCCAGCGATTTGAAGTACAGACCAGGCGGTAACCAGTCAAAAAGTGCCAAAGAGTCGCGCATACGCCGGCCAATGAACGCGTTCATGGTCTGGGCCAAGATCGAGCGCAAGAAGCTGGCCGACGAGAATCCCGATCTGCATAACGCCGATCTCAGCAAGATGTTGGGTAAGTGCTCTCCAGATCCCCCAAATTGAGTCGAAGGTCTAATGCCCTGTCATCAACAGGCAAAAAGTGGCGCTCCCTGACGCCGCAGGATCGTCGACCGTATGTGGAGGAGGCGGAACGTTTGCGCGTCATACACATGACCGAGCACCCGAACTACAAATATCGGCCCAGGCGGCGAAAGCAATCGAAGCTGCGCACCCTGCAGCCGGGCAAGGATCAGCAGGGGGAGCCATCCGCGCAGACGGCAGCGGGTGGAGCTAAGAACACGCCCAAGCTATCGACGCCACCGCTGGCCACAGCCACCAGTGGCAGCTACAACACGCCCACCGACGACAGCCGCAACTCGACGCCCCAAAATGTGGGCGGGCTGTACGAGCAACCACTGAAGCCGAGCTATTCGCCCAGCTCCGTGGACTGCTACAGCAATGCGGACAGCACGGAGCAGATGGAATCACTGAATGCCAGCTGCAATGAATCCTCCCCAGTCGCAAATGTCGCCAATGTTGCCAGCTATGACAGCTCGCTGCTGCTCAAGAAGCTAACGAAGCCGTCGCCGGCGTCGTCCAGTCGAGCGGCCAAGCAACGCAGCGAGAAGCAGTCGAAGTTGGACGACAAGTCCAAGCAGCAGCAGCAACAGCAGCAGCAGCAGACCAGCCTGTACGCCTCCTATCCACTGACCAGCTCCGTGGCCGTGGTGGCAGCGCGTGGCATGTACGTGACGTGCAACAATCGCGGACTGCTGGATCACGGGCACTCGGTGAAGGGTACCTTCTATCCGCCCGTGTCCAGTGCTGACGACGATGCCGGTAACAGCATCACCACCATGCGCCAACCGCACTGCAATACCAGCTCCAGCCTGTGCACCACCATATCCAGCTCCAGTGCCAACGAGCTGAACAGCTACACGGTGGCCATGGCCGAGAGTAACTGCAGCAGTGGCGGAGGAGCGGCCAGCAACCTGCGACTCAGCATGAACGAGCTGGGCGCCGTGTCCAATGATTATTTGTCCAGTGTGAATGCCAATGCATATGGCATGCAGTACGAGGACTTTCTGCGCTACCAGACCAACGAGCTGGACTATGATCAGCTGAAGGAGGCGACGACAACGACAACGCCGGCGTCGTCGGACAATGGGGCGCAGAAGTGCGCCAAGTATCCGGACACCAATCAGAACTATGACGATTACGAGGCGGAGGCCTATAACAATGCCATGTTGCTCGCGGCGCCAGGGCCGCCACATACTGGTGCCACCACCGCCAGCTACTACACACAGTTGCCCTATTCGCTAACCAGCGGCGCCTGCACCGCCTTTCCCTTGCAGCTGGCGGTGCCCTTCCAGCAGACATCCGCTGCAGGCGGCGCAGCTGCCTATGGACAGCCCATGCAGAGCAGCTACCTTCACTATGGCAACTATTATGAAGCCAATGGTGCGGGTGCTCAGCTGCTGTCGCAGCAGACGCCGGCAGTAACGCCGCCGGCCTCGACCATGCAGCAGCACCATCATCATCCGCATGCCCATCATCATCATCATCATCCTCATCATCACTTTGCAGCCAATGGCGGCAGCTCCTCCCCTGGCATGGTGGGTGTTGGCGAAATGCTCTTCGAGCAGCAGCAGCAGCAGCAACAGCAGCAACAGCAGCAGCATCAGCAGCAACAGCAGCATCAACAGCAGCAACAGCCGCAGCAGCAACAGCAACAGCAGCAACAGCAGCTGCATCCGCGCAAGGACGATGAGATTAGCAACATTTTGGCGGGTGTGCGTAAAACCTGCTACAGCAATTAGTGGACGCGACTCACTGCATCCGCCTGCTCTGAAATTTGTTATATTTGATTGTAGAGTTTAGCGCTTGGTTAACGGTACGCATAAGTATTGCTCCCCTACCCCTGACCCTGCCCCCAATTCCTTCTTTACAAAATGTACTATATTTAGAGTTTTTCTATTATTAATCTATCCTATGAGATATGTTAAACTTAAGTTAGTTTGCATTGAAATAAAATCAAATTCGCTATGAAAATGTACCACGTTTTAATGCCTGAAATGGTTGAAGAATAAATTATCTATTTGCGACAGCCCTTGTACCATAAAAAGACGTGAAGAATGTACCAATATTTTGTGTACAAATTTTTATAAAACTAAAAGATGTTTGGTAATTTTTATATTATTTTGTATTGAAATATTTAATACAAATTTCAATATTTATTTTATATTTTGTGCAAATGATTTGTTGTGTATTTTGCGCTTTATTTCTTTTATTTGCACAAAGGTACGTTGTACTATTGCATCAATTCAAGTACCAATTTAGGTACGCTTTTTGCACAAGTGCCAAACACATTGGTACTGGTTCGCTTATCAACTATTTGCTACTTTGTACACTCTTTGCTCGTAAGGGTTCATGTCTTTGATAAATTGCAAAAATTTATATTTAATGTAAATAAAATAAATAAAAATAAAATAATGTATTTAAAAATTGAGTAGAATTCTAAAATTCAAAGAACAAAAACGAAGGTACATTTGACATTATACAAAATATTAGGCACATATCGAATGTTATCCAAGTGTGGACCACCTGACTTCATGGCAGCAATATACACAGCATCAGCCAGCGAAGCTGGCGACTGCGCACTGCGCCCTGTGAGCAGCTCGTAAGGGGGCCAAAGAGGCAAAGAAATTTTCTTTTCTTGCTGTGCGTTGCTGAAGGGCTAAAGGATTGCCATTTCAAAGTTACATAAAATTTCCATAATAATTTCTTTTTTCAAATAATTCCACATAATTCTGGTCGAGCTATTGAGGCGATGCACTGTTCCAGTTCGAGTTCGAGTTCGAGTTAAGCTAAGTGAGCCAAAGATGTGTAAAATTCAGATAAAAGCATACGCATAGGGCGCCATTTGTGCGCTGCATACGAAAATTGTGTTAAAGAGAAAAATTCCATCAACAAAATTTGCTAAAAGAAATTTAAGTTTTGCTTTGTTACTTATATATATAAATGTTTAGTTAAATGTGTCTTATGTTCAGTGCATAATCAGAAGCCCAACGGCCGCAATTCGACAACATTTGAGCATTCAGCAAAATCGATAAGCTTCAGCCTCAGCATCCGCACTATTTGATAGCCACAGAAGGGGGGCCGCCGTCACCCAGCCACCAGCCCAGCAACCACCCACCACCAACACCACCACCATTCGCATAAGCCACCCCACCTGATATTGTAGTATTTGTCGCAATCATGTCATTCATAACGAAATTGAAGGCGACTCCATTGCCGCCTTTGAAGAACATACTCAATGTGGCCATGCAAACGGCCAGACAGCAAATTCCAGAGCGCAAGGATTACCAGCAGCCACCCGGCTCGAGCGGCAGTCATCCACATCAGCAGGGTCAAGGTCACGGCATGTTTCCGCCAGGAGATGCCAATGGGGATGGCAGCGACCAGCCCACAGAGATGAGCTCGAATCCCTTTCGCAATGCCGGCAGCTGGTCGAATGAGGACGGCGAAGGGGACTACAAAAACGAATACCAGAGCACATCCTTTGTGGGCAATGATTACGACGGCAGATATCAGCAGACAGATGGATTCAGGTGCGTAGCAGTCATAAGTCTTTACGATGCAGCTGCTCATGATTAAATCACGTTTGCAGGCAGGGCAGCATCGCGTCGGAGGGCAGCTCGTTTGTGTGCGAGGGTGAGGGTGGCGGCGGCTCCAAGATCGACGAGTTCCAAGCGGCCTGGAATGTAACAAATGCCATCCAAGGCATGTTCATCGTATCGCTGCCGTTCGCTGTGCTCCATGGCGGCTATTGGGCCATCATCGCTATGGTGGGCATCGCGCACATCTGCTGCTACACGGGCAAGGTGCTCGTGCAGTGCCTCTACGAGCCGGAGCCCAGCACGGGCCAGATGGTGCGCGTACGGGATAGCTATGTGGCCATAGCCAAGGTATGCTTCGGCCCCAAGCTGGGCGCACGCGCCGTCAGCATTGCTCAGCTAATCGAGCTGCTGATGACCTGCATATTGTATGTGGTTGTCTGCGGGGATCTGCTGGCTGGCACCTATCCGCAAGGTTCGTTCGACTCGCGCTCCTGGATGCTCTTCGTGGGTATTTTTCTGCTGCCCATGGGCTTCCTTAAGTCCCTCAAAATGGTATCGACTCTCTCCTTCTGGTGCACCATGTCACATATTGTGATAAACGCCGTCATTCTGGGCTATTGCCTGCTGCAGATTGGCGATTGGGGCTGGTCAAAGGTCCGCTGGAGCATCGACATGGAAAACTTTCCCATTTCCCTGGGCGTCATTGTCTTCTCGTACACCTCTCAGATATTTTTGCCCACGCTAGAGGGTAACATGATCGATCGCTCCAAGTTCAACTGGATGCTTGACTGGTCCCACATAGCCGCTGCGATATTTAAGGCTGGCTTCGGTTACATCTGCTTCCTCACCTTCCAGAATGACACGCAGCAGGTGATAACCAATAATCTACACTCTCAGGGCTTTAAGGGCATGGTCAACTTCTTTCTGGTCATCAAGGCCATCCTCAGCTATCCATTGCCATACTATGCTGCCTGCGAGCTACTGGAGCGCAACTTCTTCCGTGGCCCGCCCAAGACCAAATTTCCGACTATCTGGAATCTGGATGGTGAGCTCAAAGTGTGGGGCCTGGGCTTCCGAGTGGGCGTCATTGTATCCACTATACTTATGGCCATATTTATACCACACTTTTCGATACTGATGGGCTTCATTGGCAGCTTCACGGGCACCATGTTGAGTTTTATTTGGCCCTGTTACTTTCACATCAAGATCAAGGGACATTTGCTAGACCAAAAGGAAATAGCAAAGGATTATGTCATCATTGCACTGGGTGTGCTCTTTGGTGTTATAGGCATCTATGATTCGGGCAATGCTCTAATCAATGCATTCGAAATTGGTCTTCCATTTTAAAAGAATTATTACGAAACGAAAACGAAATCGAAAGCTCTAATCAAACTACGAAAAACAAAGTCTATATATATATTAATATATATATATAAACAGATATATATTTGTTGGGTTTGTCTGGTCTGTATTCTTGGCAAGTCTTCCAAACAAACTAAAGTTGCCAGATGCAGGCCATGATGAATAACAAGAAACTTAGTCTATAAGAAATGAAACGCAAGTCTTCCAAAACAAATGCGAACAAATGTCTTCCAAACATGCTATATATATACAAAGATATATATATATACACATATTAAAAAATCCTAAGCTAATTTAAGTAACGAGTATTTGAAGAGATAACGGATATTATATTATTGTATGAACGCGTATATAGAGGAAATTGAAATAATATATCGAAATTCCAAAAGGAAAACAATAAACCATTATACAAAATTGAAATGTATGTAAATCTATTACCCCAAAATAGATAGAACTCATTGATTATTTATATACCAGCATATAGTATATATATACATATAGTTGAAAAGCGTTTTTTTAAACGATATTAATTATACAGTTACTGTACTTATACATACGATAATAGCCTTTAAAACGACACTAGCATCTTTTAAAAATTCTCAATAAAAACCATCATCTCACGTTGAACAAATATCTCGATTCCAATCAGTTGAGGGGCAAGAGATGTCTTTAGAATATTTTTCAAAAATGATATGCTTTATTTGTTATTTGTTAATCTTATAATTCAGTTTTTGTTTTTTTTTTTTTTCAGGTAAGTAGATATATTGTATAATAAAAAATATTGTCATGGAATCTTAGGCACTATGTGATATGATATGAAGACAAGACTTGACAAGACAAGACGTACGAGCACGATTTCATGTGTTAATAGTCAGTTAGTTGGAGGTTTTATAGAATTTATGATCGTGAGTACTTCTGGTAGGCTGGAATGCACCTTGCTTAATCTTATGAACAGCACAGGTCGTTGCTGGGGCAGTTATATATTCGCTCTTATAGAGACTGGAGCCAGTGAACTTGTCGTTGCCCAGACTGATCGAGGATTGATTACTGCGTCGTGTGGTCACAATACGTTCGCTCTGACCATGGATATTGTAGGATGAAGAGGAGGAGGAGGGGAAATCGATGCCACTGGACAAATGTTGGTTAGCACCGTTGCGATGACGCGTCACATGAGTATGGGACTGGGATTGGGACGGTAACTCAACTCCGCCCGAGGCATATGTACGTGTGATCGTTGATCTTTCCAAGTTCGATCGATTGGCCTCTCCGCCCGATATAATGCGCGACATGGACGAGGAAGAGGAGGAGGTCTTCACTTGATGCTCCTTGTTTTCCTTATGCACGCTACAACTGCGACGATCCGTGGTGTAGCCAGTATTCAACTCGGACTCCCTGTTCTGACGGTGGATGCTACTGTAGCTCTGGCGATCAGGCGAATGAGCGCTGCAGCTTGGCGATTGCTCGTGCAGATTCAGAATACTCTTGCGCTGCATTTTGCCATTTGAGGTCAGGCTGCTGCTAAGTGGATTCGAGTCGGTTGATATGTTCTTGCGATGGAAGATCGAGTTGGAAACATCTGCTTCCGAGGAGAACTCACTCTTCCTGTGATGGAAGTGCTTGGAAGAGCTGCCCGTACCATTGCTAATCACCGAGCTGTTGTCCACCACACGAGACGTAGACCCACCGTTGATATTATTGCCCGAGACTGTATGAGAAGTGGAACCTCCTGTTTCGCTGACGTTCCTCGTAACTAATTTGCCGCCAATTATACGGGTTGTTGAGCCACCGGTCTCGGTCACATTGTGAGAACTTCTAGTTTCACCCACGTTCGTTGTCACTAATTTACCAGAGACTATACGAGTGGTTGAACCTCTAGTCTCATTCACATTTTTACTAGTTGTGCTGCTCGAGACAATGTGAGAGCTTCCAGTATCGCCCACATTCCTAGTCACGAGTTTACCAGAGACTATACGGGTTGTCGAGCCGCCTGTGTCAGCCACATTGTTGTTAGTTGTGCGGCTAGTTACCATGTGAGATGTGGAATCTGCAGTATCGCCCACGTTCTTTGTTACAACCTTGCCAGAAACAATACGAGTTGTGGAGCCACCCGTTTCAGTCACATTATTGGTCACTGTCCTGCCGGTGACTGTACGAGATGTGGAGCTTCCAGTTTCATTGACATTGTTGGTAACTCTTCTACCTGAGACTGTATTAGAAGTTGAGCCTTCCGTGTGGGTCACGTCTCGGTCATCCTGGTTAGTTCGTCTAGTCGTAGTTGAGGTCTGAAGAGCGTTGGTGTCATCCGTAGATCCACGAATTTGCTCAGTTCTCACAGCTGTTTTTTCTAACACATTGAGATTTCGTTGCATCGATGTGGTTTCCTTGTGTACGTTCTGTGTGTTCTCGATGTTTGTTGTGGTCGTATTTTTGGACACATTCTCAATAACATTTATCTTAGCTGGTCGCTTCACATACTCAGTTTCCGGCTCCTTCTTTCCACGGCCACCGACAACTGTTGTGACCTTCTTCGTTGAAACAATAATTAGACCATCCACGGGGTTCTGGCTGTTGGAATCCACTTGCTTGACCGCATCCTTACCGGACACAAAGTTCATCTGGTTGGTTGTCTTCAGAATGGAAGTATCACTTCCCAAGGTGATGGTCGAGCTGTTGTGCTTGTATTTCTGTGTTCGCTGAACTCGGTCGACACTTGTTTTATTGGTTGTGGTTTTGTAATCATCTTTTCTAGTCACAGTCATAGGGCCTTCTAACTTCAGATTATCCACCGGTCGCTTGGCAGGCTCCCGTTTAACGTTTTCTAGCACCGTTGTGCTGTCAGTTTCAGTTCTATCCGTTCTTTTGTAGAATTCACCTTCGGTTTTCAAGTTATCCTTGGGTTTCTTTTGGACTGGCCGTTCAGCTGGTTTGAAAGTCGTTTTCTCGGGAGCATAGAATTCACCTTCCGATTTTAAGTTATCAGTTGGTTTTACCTGTTCAGGTCTCTTGACGTGATGATACTCTTCTTTTTTAGTAAATGTCATTGAACCCTCGGTTTTTAAGTTGTCTTTTCTTATAATTGTCTTTACCTTTTCAGCTGGCTTAAATGTGTCTTTTTCTGGAATATACATTTGACCTTCAGGCTTTAAGTTGTCAGCATACTTCTTTTGCTCAGGACGATCTGCTGGTTTATAAATAATTTTTTCCGGTGTATACATAACACCATCAAGAGGTTTTAGATTATCTTGCGGTTTCTTCTGCTTAGGTCTTTCCACAGGTTTAAACTTTGGCTTTTCTGGAGTATAGAAATCACCCTCAGGCTTCAAGTTATCCTCTGGTCTAACTTGAGATGGACGTTCACCAGGGCGGTACTTCGGCTTTTCAGGACTATAGAATTCACCTTCAGGTTTGAGATTATCCGTTGGCTTCACTTGTTCAGGGCGAACAACATATTGGTACTCAGTCTTTTCAACAAACGTCATTTCGCCTTCAGTATGCAAATTGTCCTTTCTTATAACTCTTTCCGTCTTTTCCGCTGGTCGGAAAACTTGTTTTTCAGGTGTTACAAACTCGCCCTCAGGCTTAAGATTATCCACAGGTTTCTTTTGGACTGGACGCTCTGCTGGTCTATATCCGGGCTTATCAGGCGTATAGAATTCACCCTCAGGCTTCAAGTTATCCTCTGGTTTGACTTGGGAAGGACGTTCACCAGGACGGAACTTCGGCTTTTCAGGACTATAAAATTCACCTTCGGGCTTAAGATTATCCGATGGTCTAACCTGCTCGGGACGCTCAGCTGGCCGATATCCAGGTTTGTCAGGAGTGTAGAAATCACCCTCTGGCTTCAGGTTATCCTCCGGGCGGAATTGTGATGGACGCTCACCAGGGCGGTACTTCGGTTTTTCGGGACTATAGAATTCACCTTCAGGTTTAAGATTATCCGTTGGCTTAACCTGTTCAGGGCGCTCAGCTGGCCTATATCCAGGTTTGTCAGGAGTGTAAAAATCACCCTCTGGCTTCAAGTTATCCTCTGGTCTAACTTGAGATGGACGTTCACCAGGGCGGTACTTCGGCTTTTCAGGACTATAGAATTCACCTTCAGGTTTGAGATTATCCGTTGGCTTCACTTGTTCAGGGCGAACAACATATTGGTACTCAGTCTTTTCAACAAACGTCATTTCGCCTTCAGTATGCAAATTGTCCTTTCTTATAACTCTTTCCGTCTTTTCCGCTGGTCGGAAAACTTGTTTTTCAGGTGTTACAAACTCGCCTTCAGGCTTAAGATTATCCACAGGTTTCTTTTGGACTGGACGCTCTGCTGGTCTATATCCGGGCTTATCAGGCGTATAGAAATCACCCTCTGGCTTCAGGTTATCCTCCGGCCGGACTTGAGACGGACGCTCACCAGGGCGGTACTTCGGTTTCTCAGGGCTATAGAATTCACCTTCGGGTTTAAGATTATCCGTTGGCCTAACCTGTTCAGGACGCTCAGCTGGTCGATATCCAGGTTTGTCAGGAGTGTAGAAATCACCCTCTGGCTTCAGGTTATCCTCCGGGCGGACTTGAGACGGACGCTCACCAGGGCGGTACTTCGGTTTTTCGGGACTATAGAATTCACCTTCGGGTTTAAGATTATCCGATGGTCTAACTTGCTCAGGACGCTCAGCTGGTCTATATCCGGGCTTATCAGGCGTATAGAAATCACCCTCTGGCTTCAGGTTATCCTCCGGGCGGACTTGTGATGGACGCTCACCAGGGCGGTACTTCGGCTTTTCAGGACTATAGAATTCACCTTCAGGTTTGAGATTATCCGTTGGCTTCACTTGTTCAGGGCGAACAACATATTGGTACTCAGTCTTTTCAACAAACGTCATTTCGCCTTCAGTACGCAAGTTATCCTTCCTGATGATTCTTTCGGTCTTTTCCGCTGGTCGGAAAACTTGTTTTTCAGGTGTGACAAACTCTCCCTCAGGCTTAAGATTATCCACTGGTTTCTTTTGGACTGGACGCTCTGCTGGTCTATATCCGGGCTTATCAGGCGTATAGAAATCACCCTCTGGCTTCAGGTTATCCTCCGGCCGGACTTGAGACGGACGCTCACCAGGGCGGTACTTCGGTTTTTCCGGACTATAGAATTCACCTTCGGGTTTAAGATTATCCGATGGTTTAACTTGCTCAGGACGCTCAGCTGGTCTATATCCGGGCTTATCAGGCGTATAGAAATCACCCTCTGGCTTCAGGTTATCCTCCGGGCGGACTTGAGACGGACGCTCACCAGGGCGGTACTTCGGTTTTTCCGGACTATAGAATTCACCTTCGGGCTTAAGATTATCCGATGGTCTAACTTGCTCAGGACGCTCAGCTGGTCTATATCCGGGCTTATCAGGCGTATAGAAATCACCCTCTGGCTTCAGGTTATCCTCCGGGCGGACTTGTGATGGACGCTCACCAGGGCGGTACTTCGGTTTTTCCGGACTATAGAATTCACCTTCGGGCTTAAGATTATCCGATGGTCTAACTTGCTCAGGACGCTCAGCTGGTCTATATCCGGGCTTATCAGGCGTATAGAAATCACCCTCTGGCTTCAGGTTATCCTCCGGGCGGACTTGTGATGGACGCTCACCAGGGCGGTACTTCGGTTTTTCGGGACTATAGAATTCACCTTCGGGTTTAAGATTATCCGATGGTCTAACTTGCTCAGGACGCTCAGCTGGTCTATATCCGGGCTTATCAGGCGTATAGAAATCACCCTCTGGCTTCAGGTTATCCTCCGGGCGGACTTGAGACGGACGCTCACCAGGGCGGTACTTCGGCTTCTCAGGGCTATAGAATTCACCTTCGGGCTTAAGATTATCCGTTGGTTTCACCTGTTCACGGCGAACAACATATTGATATTCCTCCTTTTCCACAAAAGTCATTTCGCCTTCAGTACGCAAGTTATCCTTCCTGATGATTCTTTCGGTCTTTTCCGCTGGTCGGAAAACTTGTTTTTCAGGTGTTACAAACTCGCCCTCAGGCTTAAGATTATCCACTGGTTTCTTTTGAACTGGACGCTCTGCCGGTCTATATCCGGGCTTATCAGGCGTATAGAACTCACCCTCTGGCTTCAAGTTATCCTCATGTCGAACTTGAGATGGACGTTCACAAGGGCGGTACTTCGGCTTTTCAGGGCTATAGAATTCACCTTCGGGCTTAAGATTATCCGATGGTCTAACTTGCTCAGGACGCTCAGCTGGTCTATATCCGGGCTTATCAGGCGTATAGAAATCACCCTCTGGCTTCAGGTTATCCTCCGGGCGGACTTGAGACGGACGCTCACCAGGGCGGTACTTCGGCTTCTCAGGGCTATAGAATTCACCTTCGGGTTTAAGATTATCCGTTGGTTTCACCTGTTCAGGGCGAACAACATATTGATATTCCTCCTTTTCCACAAAAGTCATTTCGCCTTCAGTTCGCAAGTTATCCTCCCTGATGATTCTTTCGGTCTTTTCCGCTGGTCGGAAAACTTGTTTTTCAGGTGTGACAAACTCGCCCTCAGGCTTAAGATTATCCACTGGTTTCTTTTGGACTGGACGCTCTGCTGGTCTATATCCAGGCTTATCAGGCGTATAGAAATCACCTTCTGGCTTCAGGTTATCCTCCGGCCGGACTTGAGACGGACGCTCACCAGGGCGGTACTTCGGTTTTTCCGGACTATAGAATTCACCTTCGGGCTTAAGATTATCCGATGGTCTGACTTGCTCAGGACGCTCAGCTGGTCTATATCCGGGCTTATCAGGCGTATAGAAATCACCCTCTGGCTTCAGGTTATCCTCCGGGCGGACTTGAGACGGTCGCTCACCAGGGTGGTACTTCGGCTTTTCTGGACTATAGAATTCACCTTCAGGTTTAAGATTATCCGTTGGCTTAACCTGTTCAGGGCGCTCAGCTGGCCTATATCCAGGTTTGTCAGGAGTGTAAAAATCACCCTCTGGCTTCAGGTTATCCTCCGGGCGGACTTGTGATGGACGCTCACCAGGGCGGTACTTCGGTTTCTCAGGGCTATAGAATTCACCTTCGGGCTTAAGATTATCCGTTGGTTTCACCTGTTCAGGGCGAATAACATATTGATATTCCTCCTTTTCCACAAAAGTCATTTCGCCTTCAGTACGCAAGTTATCCTTCCTGATGATTCTTTCGGTCTTTTCCGCTGGTCGGAAAACTTGTTTTTCAGGTGTTACAAACTCGCCCTCAGGCTTAAGATTATCCACTGGTTTCTTTTGGACTGGACGCTCTGCTGGTCTATATCCGGGCTTATCAGGCGTATAGAAATCACCCTCTGGCTTCAGGTTATCCTCCGGCCGGACTTGAGACGGACGCTCACCAGGGCGGTACTTCGGCTTCTCAGGACTATAGAATTCACCTTCGGGCTTAAGATTATCCGATGGTCTAACTTGCTCAGGACGCTCAGCTGGTCTATATCCGGGCTTATCAGGCGTATAGAAATCACCCTCTGGCTTCAGGTTATCCTCCGGGCGGACTTGAGACGGACGCTCACCAGGGTGGTACTTCGGCTTTTCTGGACTATAGAATTCACCTTCAGGTTTAAGATTATCCGTTGGCTTAACCTGTTCAGGGCGCTCAGCTGGCCTATATCCAGGTTTGTCAGGAGTGTAAAAATCACCCTCTGGCTTCAGGTTATCCTCCGGGCGGACTTGAGACGGACGCTCACCAGGGCGGTACTTCGGTTTTTCCGGACTATAGAATTCACCTTCGGGCTTAAGATTATCCGATGGTCTAACTTGCTCAGGACGCTCAGCTGGTCTATATCCGGGCTTATCAGGCGTATAGAAATCACCCTCTGGCTTCAGGTTATCCTCCGGGCGGACTTGAGACGGACGCTCACCAGGGCGGTACTTCGGCTTTTCTGGACTATAGAATTCACCTTCAGGTTTGAGATTATCCGTTGGTTTCACCTGTTCAGGGCGAACAACATATTGATATTCCTCCTTTTCCACAAAAGTCATTTCGCCTTCAGTACGCAAGTTATCCTTCCTGATGATTCTTTCGGTCTTTTCCGCTGGTCGGAAAACTTGTTTTTCAGGTGTTACAAACTCGCCCTCAGGCTTAAGATTATCCACTGGTTTCTTTTGGACTGGACGCTCTGCTGGTCTATATCCGGGCTTATCAGGCGTATAGAATTCACCCTCAGGCTTCAAGTTATCCTCTGGTCTGACTTGGGAAGGACGTTCACCAGGGCTGAACTTCGGCTTTTCAGGACTATAAAATTCACCTTCGGGTTTAAGATTATCCGATGGTCTAACCTGCTCGGGACGCTCAGCTGGCCGATATCCAGGTTTGTCAGGAGTGTAGAAATCACCCTCTGGCTTCAGGTTATCCTCCGGGCGGACTTGAGATGGACGCTCACCAGGACGGTATTTCGGTTTTTCAGGGCTATAGAATTCACCCTCGGGTTTAAGATTATCCGTGGGCCTTACTTGTTCTGGACGCTCGGCGGGTCGATATCCAGGTTTGTCAGGAGTGTAGAAATCACCCTCTGGCTTCAGGTTATCCTCCGGGCGGACTTGTGATGGACGCTCACCAGGGCGGTACTTCGGTTTCTCAGGGCTATAGAATTCACCTTCGGGTTTAAGATTATCCGTTGGTTTTACCTGTTCAGGGCGAATAACATATTGATATTCCTCCTTTTCCACAAAAGTCATTTCGCCTTCAGTACGCAAGTTATCCTTCCTGATGATTCTTTCGGTCTTTTCCGCTGGTCGGAAAACTTGTTTTTCAGGTGTTACAAACTCGCCCTCAGGCTTAAGATTATCCACTGGTTTCTTTTGGACTGGACGCTCTGCTGGTCTATATCCGGGCTTATCAGGCGTATAGAATTCACCCTCAGGCTTCAAGTTATCCTCTGGTCTGACTTGGGAAGGACGTTCACCAGGGCGGAACTTCGGCTTTTCAGGACTATAAAATTCACCTTCGGGTTTAAGATTATCCGATGGTCTAACCTGCTCGGGACGCTCAGCTGGCCGATATCCAGGTTTGTCAGGAGTGTAGAAATCACCCTCTGGCTTCAGGTTATCCTCCGGGCGGACTTGAGATGGACGCTCACCAGGACGGTATTTCGGTTTTTCAGGGCTATAGAATTCACCCTCTGGTTTAAGATTATCCGTGGGCCTTACTTGTTCTGGACGCTCGGCGGGTCGATATCCAGGTTTGTCAGGAGTGTAGAAATCACCCTCTGGCTTCAGGTTATCCTCCGGGCGGACTTGTGATGGACGCTCACCAGGGCGGTACTTCGGTTTCTCAGGGCTATAGAATTCACCTTCGGGCTTAAGATTATCCGTTGGTTTTACCTGTTCAGGGCGAATAACATATTGATATTCCTCCTTTTCCATAAAAGTCATTTCGCCTTCAGTACGCAAGTTATCCTTCCTGATGATTCTTTCGGTCTTTTCCGCTGGTCGGAAAATTTGTTTTTCAGGTGTTACAAACTCGCCCTCAGGCTTAAGATTATCCACTGGTTTCTTTTGGACAGGACGCTCTGCTGGTCTATATCCGGGCTTATCAGACGTATAGAATTCACCCTCAGGTTTCAAGTTATCCTCTGGTCTGACTTGGGAAGGACGTTCACCAGGGCGGAACTTCGGCTTTTCAGGACTATAAAATTCACCTTCGGGTTTAAGATTATCCGATGGTCTAACCTGCTCGGGACGCTCAGCTGGTCGATATCCAGGTTTGTCAGGAGTGTAGAAATCACCCTCTGGCTTCAGGTTATCCTCCGGGCGGACTTGTGATGGACGCTCACCAGGGCGGTACTTCGGCTTGTCAGGACTATAGAATTCACCCTCGGGCTTAAGATTATCCGTGGGCCTTACTTGTTCTGGACGCTCGGCGGGTCTGTAGCCTGGCTTATCTGGAGTGTAGAAATCACCCTCTGGTTTTAAGTTATCGCCAGGTCGAACTTGAGTTGGTCGTTCACCCGGCTGATACTTTGGCCTTTCAGGAGTATAAAAATCGCCTTCCGGCCGCAAATTATCTTTTGGTATCTTTTGAACGGGGCGATCCGCAGGTTTATATCCTGGCTTATCTGGTGCATAGAATTCACCTTCTGGCCTCAAGTTATCCTCTGGTTTGACTTGAGATGGACGTTCACCAGGATGGAATTTCGGCTTTTCAGGGCTATAGAATTCACCTTCGGGCTTAAGATTATCCGATGGTCTAACCTGCTCGGGACGCTCAGCTGGCCGATATCCAGGTTTGTCAGGAGTGTAAAAATCACCCTCTGGCTTCAGGTTATCCTCCGGGCGGACTTGAGACGGACGCTCACCAGGGCGGTACTTCGGCTTTTCAGGACTATAGAATTCACCTTCAGGTTTGAGATTATCCGTTGGTTTCACCTGTTCAGGGCGAATAACATATTGATATTCCTCCTTTTCCACAAAAGTCATTTCGCCTTCAGTACGCAAATTATCCCGTCTGATTATTCTTTCTGTTTTATCTGCTGGCCGGTACGTTGGTTTCTCAGGTGCAACAAAGTCACCCTCGGGCTTGAGATTGTCAACAGGTTTCTTTTGTGTGGGACGCTCTCCGGGCTTGTAACCAGGTTTATCTGGAGTGTAAAATTCACCTTCAGGCCTCAAGTTGTCTTCCGGCCTGACTTGTGATGGGCGTTCAGCTGGGCGGAATTCAATTTTTTCTGGAGCATAAAACTCGCCTTCTGGCTTTAAATTATCTGCGTGGCGGACTTGACTTGGACGATCTCCAGGCAGATATTTAGGTTTTTGAGGACTGAAAAATTCTCCTTCTGGTTTCAGGTTGTCTGTAGGCTTAACGTATCCAGGACGAACGACATATTGATATTCCTCTTTTTCGACAAATGTCATTTCTCCGTCCATGCGCAGATTATCTGTGTGTACAATTTTTTCGCGTCTTTCGCCTGACTGGTAGGGTTCCTTTTCTGGCACTATAAACTCTCCCTCGGTCTTAAGATTGTCTTCGGGTTTCTTTATCACAATGTAATCTACAAATATGTCTTCAGTTTTCTTAGGAATGTTATCATCTTTCTTTGACCAAGTGTTAGTACGTATCCTTGAATAAGTTTCGTCAACATTATCTATTAAAAGGGATATTCGATCAATAGGCTTACCCCAAGGAAAGCTAATTTCAAACTACTTACCATCTATTTCAACTATTTCTGTGGACTTTGTAGTGCTCGTAGAGCAATGATGACGACTAGAATAAAATAGAATAGCAGACATTAGTATAATTTTATAGACATAGATAACTAATCGAACTCACCCGCAAGTGCATATCTCACAGATACATTTCTCACTGTGTGTTGTTTTTCTGTCCTTGTCGACTCCACGCTACATTGAGTATCAAATTGATAAGCTAAGGGATTAGGAATTACCATTGAATGTACTTACAGTTCTTGAATCGTTTAAGCGTTTTTTGTCGGTGCGCACATAATCGATTTCATCATAAATATTCTCAGTAATATTTTTGTGTTTCGATGTCTCGTTCAGATTCAATGTGATATTTTCATTGTTCTCCGATATGGATGTATTCTTTTCGATTTCCACGAACTCATCCACATAGATTGTTTTCTTGGGAGTCTCCACAATTTTCTCAATGACATCCGTGTGCACCTTCTCATCGAGGACACGCCAATCGTTAATGCTTGCATCGAATATCTGAAGTATAATTAAGTGAAATTAATAGAACGAATGGGATATTACCAAAAGAAAACACCACCAAAAAAGCCAAAGAAGAAAACACCCTGAATAGCTCTGGGCTATAAAGCATATGTGTGGCGCTTACCTTTGTCACCTCTGTTGTGGTCGTTATGTTCGCAACATCGGTGTTATCTTTTTCGATTTCCCGAGCAATGTCATTCGGCACAAAAGCTTTCGAATCTGTGTACGATTTCTCGTCGACCACAGTCCACTTGCCCAGCTTGGTGTCGTACACCTTGGTGGTGTAAGTTGTGGTCGTTGTGTTGATGACATCATCTACTATTTCAGGGTAGCCGACATCATTGCTGCTATCCACGGTGCGCTCGTCCACCACGCGCCACCGATTATTGCGCCTGTCGTATATTTTCTTCTTGTATGTGACTTTGGTGGTGCCATCGGTGTCTCTGCTCACGTAACGCTCAAACGTGGGCACCTTCTTGTTGCTGCCATGTGTGCTGCCATCGCTGTACTCGGTCCAGGTCTTTGTTTTCACATCGTACACCTCCTTCTTGGACGAGGCCGTTGACTGCTTTGAGCTGCTTTGATTTATTGTGCTTTCACGACTATTGACCTCCTTACTGCTGCTCAGTTTGGTCTGCGATGACGTCGTCTTGTCCACATCAAAGTTAACAGCTGTTGTTCTTGTCGATGTTGATGATGTGTTGTTGCTGGCCAGCTCATTCAGTGTCGATGACGTCGCAATGTTTGTTGTGGTCGCAACCGGTTTGCGTTGCGACGTCATCGTTTTGGCTGTTGTTGTTGATGACGAATCAGCAGAGACACCCACAGCAGCTGTTTCGAGCACCGACTTTGGCACGCTCTGAGATTCGCTAGTGTTGGTGTTGATGTTGGTGTTGCTGTTGGTGTTGATGTTGATGGTATTGGTGATCGAGTTCGTGTTGCTGCTATCGCTGACAACCTGTTCGGCCACATCAACATATTTGCTGTTCGACAATGTGGATGATGTCATACCGGTAGCTGCTCTCTCGCTTGCAATGAGCGTTTCGCTGGCATCGCTGCGCTGCTGGCTGGAACTGGTTGTGGAAGACTCGAAGTAACTGGAGCTGCTCGCCTGCTGTCGGCTACTGGACATTTTTGATGTGGACGCATACATTTTGGATATGCTGCCATTGCTGGCCGAGTTAATGATGCCAGCAGGAGTTGTGATTTCTACCACCTCAATGGGTACCGAGAATACCGGTTCCTTTTTCTCGCTCTCCAGCAGATCAATTGACGCAATGATCTTTTCGTCAGAGAAGTCCTTAAAGATTTTGGAGCTGCTGCTGCTGCTAAACAGCTCCGATTGCTGTGTCTGTGATTGAGATTGCGATTGAGTTTTCTTCGCTGTGTACGAGCTGGAACTGTAGCTTTTGCCACCAGCTGCCAGCAGACTTTCACCTTCCTTCAACAAGGTGTTGCTGCCCGAGCTGCTGATGGCAAGCGGCGCCGCACCATACGAGACAGATTCATGCTCCATTGACGACGAACTGGTGTTGGTCGTTAGCGTTGCCGTCGCATTCGGTCCCAGTTTTTTGGTTAATTTGGTCGCCGAGGCCGATGCCGTTGTGGTTGTGCTTGATGTGGCTGGCGGCTGCGACGTCGAATGCGTCGTCGACTGCGCCACTTGTTTCTTTTTATTACTTTTTGATACCATTTTGTTGGCTTGATTTTCACACAGATGAGGTAATCACTGACTATGTGGAATGAATATTGTTGCACTTGCACTGGCCTTACTTATTTAGTGGCTAAGCTATATTAAATTGTTGTTCGTTTCTATTTCGTTGTTGTTATTAATCACAATTGTCGCTTCGTTTGGCACTACTAAAAGTATAAGTGGTTTGTATATTATTATTATAGTGTGTTGTCTTCTAATTTCCACGGGGAATGTCGAAATACTTATTTTTAAATAATGTATTTATTATTCACGACAAAAAAACACACACACACACACTCACACGCACACACAGACGCGTATGTATGTATGCGCGAGCCACAGTTCAAGTTGAAAAAAATGACAAACGGTGGCACTGGCGCACGCACACACAAACACAAACAAACACACACACACACACACAAGCACCGATAGACAAAGAGACGGCTCAACGTAACGGGCGACAGTTGAATGTGTGAACGCAAGCGGCGTGGTAGCGGGAGAGTAAAAGCTTAACACGCACACACAGAGTCAAACAGAAATACTTAGAAATTGTAGAGATAGAGACGTTTTATTCGCTTAGATGCTCAATTGGGCAGATTCGTGTGCATATTTCGTATTCGTGGGAGCACTTGAGAAAGATCAACAACCGTCGCGAAGCACAACTCAAAACGTACTGATCGGCGCTGCGGTTGTCTGGAACCGCTTTCGACCGTATCTGCTGTGCTCTGCCGGCCAAAAAAGCGGCAGCGCAGCAGCAGCGCTCTGTGGGCTTTGCTCCATCGCGTTGGAAGCTTTGAACGCCTGCGTGCGAGCGAGCGAGAGGCAAAAGGCGCTACGCTTCGCCTTCGCAAAAAGCCAGGCCAGATCGGAGCGTAGGTTGGCCACTCCAGCTACAGACATACATATGTGTCTGTGTCTCTGTGGTTAGAGACTCAAATGCGTAGGCTATGGCTATCTGCCGCTGAGACGGCGACGGCGACGGCGACGGCAACTTCTTTATTTTACTGCCACGCAACGAGCCAATAAAAACAAAATTTGCTCATTTCGAAAGTAGCCGCAAAGCAAACCAACACAAACAGCTGCTTGATGAGCGCCAGCGGCGTTTCTCACTTGATAATTTTACTTTTTTTATTACAGCTAGCGTTTCTATAGATAGGTATGGCCATCTCAGTCGCACGCCGGCTCGGGCTGGGCATCTCTATGAGGGCTTCAACTGTTTTCCAGAACGGGCCAAAACAAAATTAGCGCACAGACCAAAATTGGCCGGGTTAACAGTCGTCGTATTTGTCTGACGGATGCACAATTAAAATGAACATATATTATATATTAATATCGGATATGTATATATATGTATATTTAGCTGATGATTAGTCAGCTTTGCATTTACTTTAAATGTCTGGCTTTGTGGAGACGTGGGCGCATCCGTGCCTATAAAGCGATTGAGCTCAATAACAGCAGACTGACAATATTTCTCTGTATAATATGCATTCGCGAGAATTGATGCTGAATTTTATTGCTCAATTGATTTATAACGGCCTTAGGTGGGTGTAACTCAAAATTATGCTACAACTTGTTGTGCCCATAAAAAGAGCTTTCCAGCTCGTAGACTAAGAATTCATACACAATATACTATATATATAGTTGAAAATATATTTCTCTAGCAGCCAGAGCCCAGGTTGAAGTTTAAGTAATTCGACCTCCAAAATGCAGCGTAGACAAAAGTCAAATCTTAACGAGAAAACTTGAATTCAATTGTTACTTAATTTTGCAGCGACTGTTAGCTTATGACGTCACCAGCAAAGACTCATGTTCATGCAAAGCTTGCGGAGCAATCAAAACTTGTTTGCCGAGACACACACACACACATAAATGCGCACACATACGCATACACTGAAATCAAAACAGATATTTAAAAAGAGCAAATAGAAAAACAACAATTAAGTGGCAAACAAAAGTCACACTGTGGGTAAAAAAATCATTTGAAATTCAAAGCACGCTGAATTCGCTGCGACCCGAATTCGCCAAAATTGATTGTATGTAGTACATGGCATGCAGCAATTGGAACTGGAACTGCCATTCGCTGCAATTCTCCAATTCAGAATATTCCAATTAGACTTAAGCTTCATGCGCTTGGCAAAATGATGACATCTTTGCATGTCATGGATTTTTCCTTGGAATTGAAATTGAAATGACAACAAAAAAAAAACAACATTGAAGGCGAGCAAGAAACGAAAATGTATACGGCACTTGTTCAAGCACAATTAATTTTAATTTAATGCCTAAGAGAATAAACAAGTGAAAAAATAAAAAAGCCTATATTAAGGTACAGACGTGTCCATGTCAGAGCCTTGTATGGGCTCATGCCAAAAATGTTTTGGGTTTTAACTTCTTGTCGGATAATGCACTTGCATGCATAATATAATGCATACATACATATACATATATGTATATACGTACGTACATAAATATATATATATATAAATATATATGAAGCCAAGTCTTATAAGGTTGGCTGATTCACTGATGTAATCGCGCTCAGTTTTTCTATATAGCACTAAATCATTTCAAGTAAAATGAAACTATTTAAATTATGAGCAAGTTGGGACGACTTTGGTCGGATATTGAGCGCCATGAATGCTAAATGTTAAATGTTTGCTACGTGCCTTAATTGCTCGGATAGCGACCATATGGCCAAAACCTTTTCTTTTTGGCCAGTCGCTTCGTGACTTCATGTAAAAACAACGCTAATTATTTTTCATATTAAGTCAAAACGATTACTCAGTTAGCTTTCAGACAAGCAGTCGCCGCGCGAATACCCTGTAAAAGCTAAGCAAACAACCTTCTCTAATAGTATTACGGATTTGCCGCGCCTCCTCAAGGGGAGTAGCTGTGAGACGTCACAGCCTAAACACAAGTAAATCGTATGTTTCAGAAACAAAGTTGGGTGTGTTAGACCCAACCTATAAGGCATAAGTAGCTTGATCATCACTGCTATATTTATCTTATCACATTACAATTTTTGGGTACACATAAAAAATATTGATAAATGCAAGAAACAAACTTGATTTACATTGATCAATCTAAAGAACTTGGGTTGAATTATCCAAAAGTTTTCGAGCTTTGCAGAAATATTGAATGGGCCAAGGAAATATTTGATTGGATTCTTAAATCTTAGAACAATATACCCAATTGAAACCCATTTACTGGGCAAGAATGATAAACATTTTAGTTTTATTGCACAGCAAACTGAACTACTTCATATACATATAAGCCGCCTTGTATCTTATCTAGCTAGAAATTCTATGTGTATTAGTCTAAAGTTCTTGAGAATGTCATACATTTAAAGACATATAAGTATAAATATATATAAATATATATTTACTTAGTTCACTTTTAGTTACTTCTCTGTCAAGAGAGGAAAAACCTGTTTTTAGGTCTTTAAGCAGTACTCTGATCAATTGTTGATTCACAATGCTGTTCCATTGAGTCGCAATAATTCCGTTTGCTTGTTTAATCAGCGTATCTATAAATAAATTATTAAAACATTTGCAAACAGCGGGCAGTTGCCAACTTTTTGGGAATTATTTATATGGTGCTTTTCTTTCGTTTTCAATATGTGAACACATATGTTATCTGATAGCGCCTGTTTGACTAATCGCTTTATTGCGAATGTTTTTGTGATTTGTTTTTTTGCAATTATGTCTGACATAAAAGATAGCAAACACTACAGGTATCTGAAATGAAAGAAGTTTGATTATTATTTGGCTTGTAGCAAAAGAATCCAGTTATAGCCGAAACACGAATTGGCCAAACATAAAAAAATTCCCCAAGGCTTCAAGAAGAGCATTATGGATGATAAATTCAAATAAGAATCCAATTGGTATTCTGGTTAGCAACTAAATTTTGCTTATAGATCCATCGGTTTATGGGCTTATAGTTTACAGAACTATCCATGGAAATGATTAATATTGATCAAGCTTTTAAGCTTGGTAAACTTAGTTTCGAAACGTCGGATATAGCCTTCTTCAGAATAAGCTCTTCATGGCAAGAGATGTTATAGCAAATACTCTCTAAGGTTCTTTATATACAAAAGACTTTCGAAATATCTGCATTACACTGTGAATTCGCCCTTTCAATTATTTGCTTCCACTAATTTCTTGCTTTGTTAATATTAACGCAAAACATGCAAGTTAACAATTACAGTTACACATTCTTTTTTGTTTTTATTATTCATAGTCGTATTTTCTTTAAGGCTTACATATTAAAATATACGCTTAAGATTAGGTTCATCTATTTATTGGATTATGTTATCGATTTACTTGTTGCATTTTCAATTAACGCATTCCTAGTTTTTATTTTTTAAGGTATATGTTTGTTTTCTGTTTTCTGCTTTCCGTTTTGTTGTTACTTTTTGTATATATTTTTACAGTTTTGATAATAAATTTGTTTGTTTGTTTTTGTTACAAAAAGCGTGCATTGATTGATGGAATCTGCAACAGCGAAGGTGAGTGTATGTTGTGAGTGTGTGTTGTGTGTGTGTCTATGTACTAATTGTTTTTTATTTTTCATTTTTGCTTTAATTGTGTTCGTGTGTTGTCTATAAATTTGTTATACAACTAATATTTTACTTATAGCTATATTTATGTACTCATATTTTCCTTCGATTTTTATATAATTCTTTTGCTTTTACTTTTACTTTTAACTTTACTCTACTTTTATGTTGCTCTGTTGTGTTTATCAGTAATAGATACTAGTATTCTTTAGTTACTGTGCCAGGCACTGCGTCGCCCACACTTTCAATTAATTAATTCTGTTTTAGACCTGTTTTGCTTTTACTTAAGTTCTAATTGCATGTTAATTTTTCATTTTCTGCGATTTTTCTTCTTTTATGTACAAGCTTTGAAAATTGTTGTTTGTGTTGGACAAACGCCCACGACCACGCCCACAACAAACATGATCGAGACGCCAGAGTGCTGTTAGCTAATTTACGTATTACATTAGAATTATAATTGTTATTAAAATAATAATTGTTTTGCTTTTGTTTTGTTTTAATTTGCGTGTTTAAGACTAAATTTAGTTGTAGTTTTTGTTGTTGTTGTTTGTTTGCTTAATATTTATTTTCTGTTTGTTTTCTTTTCTCTCTTTAATATGTATACACAGTTTACAATTAGGCGATATATATTAATACACACTACACACACATACATATATATAACTCTATATACATATGTGTGCATACATATATGTGTGTGTGTGTTCGTTTTTAAAATGTTTCAATTAAAAAGTAATTAGGTAAAAACTTTTGCAACTTAGACGAGGTTCTTGTTTTAGATGCGACCAATACATCACAAAGAAATTATAACAGTATAGTTACTAATTACAGTTACAATTGTATGTGTGTGTGTGGGTGTATATATATATATGTTTATATATGTAGCTAGTTGTCTATTTAATTAATAGCTAATTGATAACTAAAGTAATACAACTAAGGGAATCGCTTAACTCTTATATACGCACAAGGATCTCTTCTCTTATATTCACTTTTAGCTGTTGCGTGTGTATGTGTGTGGCTTGCAAAGCTGCCCTGTTCATATTTTATATATCTATTTATAAGTTTGCTGGTGTGCGTGGGTGGGTGTACATATGTATATGTGTGTGTGTATGTGTGTTTCTTTTGAGAGCGGGAGCAAGCCTTCGCCTTCGCCTTCGCCTTTGCCTCGCAATTGCAATTGCACAAATTGGCTTTGTATATTTACAAATAGTTACATCAGAAATGCTCATCATAATGTTATCAACTCTCGTTCTCTTCTTCTCGCTTGCTGCTCCGCCCCTTACTTTCTCTCTCTCTTTTAGTTTACTCTGCATGCATGGAGCCCTGTTGTTGTTGTTGTTGCTGCTGCTGCTGCTGCTGTTGTTGCTCCTCCTGCAACACGTTGCGACAGATCTCGTATTTGATGACTTTGCCATGGCCATGGCCACTGGATACGATTTGCACCTCCACCTGAGCAGGTTGTTGGCCAGCAGCGGCGGCGGCTGCGGCTGCAGCTGCTGCTTGTTGCTGCTGTTGCACGTCGGCCTCCTGTAAAAAGTTGCAAAACTTTAGAAAATCTTTTGTAAAATAAAAGCCAAAGAAGTCGCTCGCTAAATACCAAAGTAAATATTTATGTATATAAATAAAAACTAAACTAAAATTAAGCTCAAGCAAAATATCAAAGGGGGCTGTCAAAAAACGTAACTAAGATTTAAAGATAAATTATTATTGTTTATTTATTTTTGTTTTGTTTTATTTTTTTGACAAGGAATATTTTTTTTTTTAAAGAAATAGAACAGCAAAACTAGGAAGAAATCTAAAAACAAAAACAGTAAATGGTGGATTTAAATAATAATGTAAAAAAAATACACAGAGATAAAAACAGGCAAAGAATTAAAGAATTATACACATTTTCTAAATATACACATGACAATTGTACAATTAGTTATATATAGTTGTTGTTTATGGGACAATATTATCTTGATAATTTGGAATATATTGTTGTTTGTTTGTATACACACCTAAAACGCGCACAGTGAAGCCTTTTTTGCGTACACGTACTACAAAAGATTGTAACGATTGTATTTACTGTAGTATTTGATCTATGTATTATTTTGGTTTTATTTGTTTATCAATTTGTTTTTGTTTTTTTGTTTAGTTCCTCAAAGAGTTTACTACACACACACAAAAACTAGACACACATATACTCACACACGCGCACAGATAAAACTTATACAAATACAATTTGCTTTGGTATTTACGAAACAATCAGCTGTGTGTGTGTGTATCTGTGTGCATGCGTGCCCGTGTGTGTGTGTGTGGGTGAGTGTAAGTAGTTTTCTTTAGCTTTTTATTATTGTTCAGTTGATCTGTTGATCTATTTCTTTATTGTTTATTTAGTAAGAAGTAGTTGGTACAACAAGCTGCAAGTATTCGAAGTTAAAAAAAAAGAATGCATTTATCATTTTGTTTGTGTGTGATTTTCATAGAGGGAAGACAACAAAAAGAACAGTGCAAAACAAGAGTAACGAAATATATATATGCATTCCTAGTCCGTAGATATCTAGCTACTGATCTGTCTGGACTATTGAGCACTTTAGATATAAAAATTAATGAAATAAAATTGAAGTCGAAAATATGAGTTTATTTTTATTTTTAATAAAAATATTTAACTAACTGAAAATATTCAACTGTCCGGATTAGTCAAGCTATACTGTATTCCTTTTCATTGTGTAGTTAATAACTTGCATAGAGATAGAAGACCCCGAAAGTATAGCGTATTCTCTAACAGACCGACATAAAAGCCTTTGCCGAGACGTTCCCCCCCGACTTGAAGAAGCATATTTTTTTGTCGCTTTATTGTTGATACTCGGTAACAATTGCTTAGTTAGTTATTAACTAAATTAAATTGCATAGCTTAGAGGCTAAACTAACTGCTCCCACAAAATATATTATATGTAAGACTAAATTAATTATAATCTATGCCAGTTTATATATTTTTTCTTTCATTATCTTCGTATAAATCAAGCAAATTAAAAAGCACAATTGAAATAATTGACCATATCTGTTGTAGTTATCTATGGGGTCGGGCTGGGGGTGGGGGAGTTTGAGGGCTGGGCACTTAGCATACCTGTTGCTGCGATATGGCTGGCTTTGTTTCCAAATGCTGGCGCTGATGCAGCATCAGATGATTCTTTTGGAAGAACGCCTTTCCACATTCGCAAACATGAGTGCGAACCGTGCAGCCCCCGTTTGGATGTCGTCGATTGTGCTGCATTAGACCGTGCTTGGCAGCGAATCCTTTGCCGCAGCTGGCGCAGAAATGCGATTTAGGCTTGTTGGCCGGCGACACGGTGACAACATGTTGCTGCTGCTGTTGCTGGACGTGCTGCAGATGCTGTTGCCCGTGCACGGGCATTGTGGGCACAGCTGTGACAACGGCTTGCGGATGGGTCGAATTGGCGGCCTGCACCAGCGTGGTCTGTGACATCACCTGACCGGTTGATGATATGATTTGCACCGGCACCGGACTCTGTCCCACCAGATTTGGGTTGGCCGTGACCACAGTACCCGGATTAAGGCTAGCAGTGCTCAAGAAGTGACCAGGCAGCGCTGCTGTCAAGGCGCACAGATCGGTCATCAAACTCTTGTCGCCCGTATGCAGTCGCAAGTGCAAGGCGAGCGCCTCGCGACTATTAAACGCACTGCCACATTCACTGAAAATCGATGAGTTTTCATTAGTTAATCTTCAAGTTGTGGTAAACTGCAAACACCTACCGGCAAACGAACTGTGGACGCGTTACACCATTCGCATCGGTTGTGGAGACGGTGAGCAGCGTTGAATTAGCTGGATTGCTGACAACGGTGATCGTCTGTGGATGTCCAGGATGATGATGTGGCTGTTGAAGCTGCTTAAATTTTAGATCAATTACAAATATACCATAAATTTACTATCGAAATGTGTATTCAAATTTTCATGCAAACCTGCTGATTGGCTATGATGGTAGCGCTGCTCGTATTGGGATTAACACCATTGTGCGCTGCACGCACATGCTGATGCAGCTCTGCTTTGGTGAGGAAACCTTCGCCGCAGCTAACGCAGGGATGCGCCTGCTCGCCTGTGTGTACGCGCCTGTAAAGCAATAAATAAAATGACTTAGTTGATATTTAATTTGTATACAAGTTGAATAGCTCACCTCATGTGGGAAACTAGTGTGCGCTTCTGTAGAAATTCTTTGCCACAAACTGTGCAGGAGTGTGGTATCTTGCCGTGTATGCGACCGTGATTAACCAATTGAAACTTTCGTGGAAACGAGGCTCCGCAATCAGCGCAAACAAATGGATTCAATGAACCATGAAAACTGCGAAGCAATGAAATCGTGAGTTTAGTTTAAGTAATAAGTGAGATTGAGTAGTTGCTCACCGCGAGTGCATAATCAGGTGATTCTCCTGTGCGAAACTCTCACCGCATTCCTCGCAGACGTAGGGACGTTCGCCGGCGTGAAATTTACTGTGCGTAACCAGATGACGTTTGAGGGGAAATGCACGTCCGCACTCCTGGCAAACAAATGGCCGTTCCCGGCTGTGGACGCGCGAATGCGTCAATAGATGATGCTTAAGCGTAAAGCTCTTCTTGCACTCCTGACACTGATATGGCCGATCAGTTGAGTGAAGCAGTAGATGCGTATTCAAACAGTGCTTGTGCGCAAAACTTTTGCCGCAATGGGTGCAAATATGTGGTCGTTCGCCTAAAGAGTACAAATATAAAAAAACGAGAAAGAAAAAGGGGGCAGAGCGAGAGTTTGGGGTTAGACCTGCTCATAATTTCATAGGTATGTGCTAGGAACAAGAACAACCACCTGTGTGCACGCGTGCGTGTGTTGTCAAATGATGTTTGAGCAGAAAGGATTTACCGCACTCGTCACAACTGTACGGGCGCTCCTTTTTGATGGTGGCGTCGGTCTAAAAAAGAATAAAGAGACCACGAAGAGAGAAAAAGACGTTGATTACTATGCGAATCAAGGGGATTTATATATATATATATATATATATATATATATATATATATATATATATATATATATATATATATATATATATATTCTATATTTTCATTTTTGTTTTGTTTAAGTGTTTAAGTGTTTGTGTGTGTGTAAGTGAGTGTAACATAAATGTTGGGCTTACTTCGCTGAAATGCATTGATTCCTGTAGTTCGGTCTTTGGGGACAATTCTAATGTGCCTGGCTCCAACTTTAAGTTGGGTGCGTCGCCCTGCGAGTCCTCGTTCTCTTCGAGTCCTTGTATTACTTTCTGTACTTGAACTGAAATACCAGGAAGTATGTCACCTAAGAGTGTTGTTGCACCGCCAACGGAACAATAACCAAATGGAATTCAAAGGAAGATATATCAAAAATAAAAGAGAAGAAAAACAAAGAAAGAAAATCAAAAGTACGAACCAAACACAAACTCAACAGAACAAAACAAAAAAAAAAAAAAGAGAAAAACAAAAAGAACAAAAAAAATTGAACTCAAGAAATTAAATTAAAAATATATTTATATATTTTTAGAAAAATGAAAAACATAAGAACGAAATCTATTAACAAAAATTCAAATTTTAACCGCCAACAATTACGGTAAGCAGCAATGCAATGCAACGCAACGTAACACAACGCAACGTGACGTCACGTTGCGTAACGTAACGCAACAGGTAGTAAGCAACGAGAATACCGAATACCAGTACCAGTGCCAGAGAGAGTCAGACAGAGACAGAGAGTGTTGTAGCAGTAGGAGCGTTTTGGAGGAGAAGGAGGAGATAATCGAACACAACACAGATTTGAGATGCTTACTTGGTGTCGCGCCCGGCGCCGTCGAATGATGATGGTGGTGGGCTCCGTCGCCAGCGGTGAGTGTGTGCGTCTGATGGTGGCCGTGACCGGCTGCAATGGCGCGCTTGATTAGGATCTCATTGCATTCCTCTTGGGTGAGATGCAATGGTCCAATTGAGCCAAAATGCGACTTGGCCGCAGCGGCGGCACTCGAAGTGGTTAATACCGTTTGTCCAGTTTTTGTGTCAACAATGCTGCCATTTGTCAATGCATGATGGTGTGCAGCAGTCGTCGGATCACCTCCACCTGCTGCCGCAGCCGCAGCTGCTGCCGCTGTTGCCTGATCGACCAAAAGATCTAATACGCCACAGCCCGCCGCCCGCCGCCGCCGCCATGTGTATTTTTTTTATGAGTGAGAGTAAGTGAATGACAGTGTATGTGGGAGGAAGGTGGGGAGGGGAGTATGAGTAGGTGGGATGGGTGTTGGTGTTGGTGTTGGTGTTGGTAATGCGTGACAGCAATACAAGAGCAAACACAGCGACAACAGAGAAAAAGAGAGAGAGAGAAAGACAGAGATCGAGAAAGTGGATATTACAATTTGTGGAAGTGGGTTACAGCGAGCGAGCGGAAAGTAGCAAATAGAAGTAAACAAAGAGAGAAAGAGAGAACAATCGATTAGCGGAAACCCCCTAACAATCGATATATACAAATCGATTACAACACATCAACAACGCGTGCAACACTAATTAATTTGATTTCTCAAACAGATTGTTTTAACTGATTTTTAACGACAGCCACTTACAGTTCTTATCGAGCGAATTTATGCTCAACACCTGTTGACCAGAGTCCTGTTTTTTGACCACCGTCGACGCGGCGCCTGTGGTAATTACTCTGTGGATGGATAGAGATAGAAATAGAGAGAAAGTGGGAAAAGAGAAAGAGAGAGAGCGCATCGAAGCGGCCGAGAAAAAACGAGGCTTAGTTAAAGCATTTTAACTTGTTCTAGAGATAATTTGTATCTTTAATTTTTTTATGATTTTGTATATCATATTTATTGTTTTTGTTTTTCTTTGAAAACGCACCTTTGTGTTCCGGGCGCAAACGAGGAATCGTTCACCACGAACATGCGACGAACGACATTGCCCTTATTGCTGGCGAGTGCACCTTTAACATCCTTTTGTACGGCCAATGATCCATCCGTGGATAACAGATAGGGCATCTAAAATGGGTGTGTACACATTGTTTTTTCAGTATAACTGGCAACAGCTGGCTATTTTGGATTTATGGATGCACCAACGACTCTCCACATAACGGATGATGGATGATGTTATTTTTTTGTATATCATTTTACTTGATTCGATTTGATTGGTTTTGGTATTTTAATTGTTTTTTGTTCATGTCTGTTGTTAGTTTGTTTGTTGGTTTGATTGATTGATTGATTTGTCCCCAAAAACCGAACAGATTACAGGAAATGCAAGTGCAAGTGTTTTTCAGCGTTGCTCAACACTGAACGCCGTTGCATAACACATTCATTAATCCAATATACATAGATTTTGGGTTAGGTTAATTAATCTAATTCTATGCTAATAATTAGTACAAAGTACAGTTGCCACTGCAATTGATTCATGGTAGTATTTTGTATTTAATGTTGCGCTTTGTTGTTTTGTTGTTCATTTTGTCTTATTAACACGCTACACCTGCGCAGCGCTGCGGCGCGGCAACAGTTGATAAAAAAAAACACAATACCAAATGAAAGGAAAGCAAGCAGCGGTGGCGGAGGCGACAGCGACGTCGGCGAAGGCAGCAGCGGCGGCAGAAGAACAAGAAGAGGAACAGACAAACAGCGACAGCAAAGCGCGCGCTTTTTCCACTGCGCTCGAGCTATTTGTATGTGTTGGTGTGTGTGTGCAAGTGTTAGTGTGTGTGCAATTGGACTTTTGACAGTTTGTTGAGCGCCAAAACGTAAGCAAGTGTAATCAAAACACACGCACGCACTGCACGCACACGAATATACCGAACTGGGTGTGTATGCGTACGTGAGAGAGCGTCGTTTTTGGTATGCGTGCGTTGAGTATGTGTTAGTGTTGAATATTCAACGAACGGCGAATTGACGACTGCCGCACACATGCACACAAAATGGTCGCCAGCACAGCACAGCGCGGCGAATTCGAACACAACGAAACACTATCTGACAGTGTATGTGTGTGTATTCACAAACGTGCGCAAAATAGGCAGGCAGAAAACGCAGCGAAATAGGGTTGCACTCTCATGCCAACGAAAAAAAGGTACTGCCAATTGTATAAGAAATCGTTGTACAAAAACAAAATGAACGCACAAAATGAACAGAAACGCAACAAAAAAAATTTATGATTAAAACCAATATGCAATAAATTTATTTTAAATTAGATGAATAGAAAACTGTGTATACATATATATATATATATATATATATATATATATATATATCGATTATATTCGATTGCTTTTGCGAACGCCATACTACTGTAGATTTCGCCCACCACACGTTAAATAATTAAGCCACATGTTTAATTAAATTCCTATTATCATGGGAGAGTGGGAAATGTATTGCAATCAGCTGCCACCGCGTGTGCAGCACAACGTGCGTATTTTTGTTTGTTTGCATACACACATAATCTACATGCATACGTATGCTATGTATGTACATACTTACGCATACTTTTTACAAATACCAAATTATGAATGTTTACGAATGAAATGGAAACGAAAAAATTTCGTATAAATGTATGGTAAAAGAATTCTAACACACTCGCTCGCATTCGCATGACCAACGCAGTTACATAAAAGTATATGTAGCTGGTTTTTTTCTTGTATTTGAGCCTCCACGTATGTATGTATATCGTACGTGTATACATACACGCGCACAACCCTGCATACGCATATACACATATATATGGCTGATGCACTTATACATACAGAGTTCAAAACCAACGAGTGAGCGAGCGAGCGGACGACGTAGCTGTATCTGTATTAGCGATGAGAGCGTGATATTTAAACTTATCAGACAATTACCGATTAGATTGTATTACTTGAAAACTGTTTCAATTATGTTATCAAAATTAATACAATTATGTTTAAAGCTGTACTAAATATGTGAATTTCGGAAAATAGTTGGTATTTGTTTTCGTTTCAGTTAAGCTATACTACGGATATTCGTTCTATTCGTGTTGAAGACTACATCTTAAGGCCATCTCTAGCCAATATGCTTGTGTGTATGTGGCGCTGTTGTTGGGGCAACAGGAACGTACAAAGGGGGAAAGAAGAGAAGACACAACACGATTTGCTGTGGGAAAGCAACAGAAACATTTATTACGTGGGTGGCGGGGGGTTGTTGGCTAGCTAGCTCGTTGGGTCGATTGGTTATTTAGCAGTTTGCATTTGCAAAAGCACTCGCATTCGATATTAAAAAAAAAAAAAACAATGAAAAAAATGATAGAAACATATTTGATAATATGCAACGAAGGGAATTCGAAGTATACATACAAATTGAGACTTCACTTACCGATTCCCCACTGACAGTGTAGTTAATATTTGGCGATATCTCCAAAACTGATTCTGCGGCACGGCTGCCGTTGTCTGTAAAACCCCAAGTGTAGCCGAAGGGCGGCGGATTGCTCTGTGCAGCGCACATTATAAATGAAGCAAAGCAGAAAAAGGGGGAGGCGAAAGAGAAAAAAGCGCAAAATTTCCAAACGCAAATGTAATTGCACTTTTCTGTTGCTTGTATTTGTATTATATGTATATGTATGTAGTTATACAAAATCACGTACAAAATACTAGCCTCCTGCTGTACGTCAACGTCGCGTTTTGGATGCAATTTGCAATATTTCTCTCTTTTTCACTATTTTTGATCGCGACAAATATGCGACGAAAACGAACAACGAGTACGGCGACGAACTACACACACCGAAAAGAAAGTCAACTTGCTTCTGTGGCTGAGGCGGGCGCCATTTTTTTCCGTTCCCTCGAAAAATTCACTTCGTTGGCGTTGGCGTGCTTCTTGCTGCTGCTGCTGCCTCAAATTTAATTCAATTCATTGATAAGCGCACTTTTGAATTTGTATGTGTAGGTGTGTGTACGCGCTGTGTATTTATGTGCCGTATTTGCAATTAAATTTATAAACAAAATAAACGCACACAGTTTTTTTACCCCCAATATTAATTCACAGACACAGACACCACTGAAAAATTCCTTAGTGTTCGTGTTCGTGTTCGACTGCTGACGCCATTTTGAATGAGCGGTCAGTGTGTACACATACTGGATGGGTACGCAGAGTTGCATAAGTGAAGTGTGTCTAATATTGAACGATGTCGTTTTTTAGCACATATTTTTGGTCCTTCGAATATAGTCCTGCCATAACCTTTACTTTCCGCAATCAACTTTGGAGTCTAAAATAGTCTGTTCGATTTTCCCCCATATTAAATATTCCGATAACCGATAATTCGTAATCGGCATGCCATTCTTTCATACTGTTTTCATAACACATTTTCTTGCTTTGGTAAAGTTTTGAATAAATCTTGAAATGTCCTTATCACCTGCCAGTGGCATTGGCCGCTTTTATAAACATTCTGCCAAGATAATACGTTTTGTCCGCCACGGTTGTGCAAATCGCCCATTCTATCACATTGTTGTCATGGAGGTCTGAGTTAAACTTTTAAAAATATTCTATTGAATTTGTTAAAAAAGCGATTTTACAGCGTCGCAAGAATCAACATCAGCCTGTCATTGAACAAGTTGGCTCCTATGACCCGATGCCAAATGCGACAAACGAACGTCTGGTTGCCTTAAATACGGAACGCATACGGTACTGGCTAGGAAAAGGTGCTCACATGTCCGACCCAGCGGCGGAGCTGTTAGGAATTGCCGGTCTACTGCCCGTACATCCACGCACCTATATGAACGCTTGGCGTAATCGCAAAGCAGCGGCAGAGGCAGCAGCAACTGAAGCCGTAAAGTCTGCCGAGACGGCATAGTTGTGCATTATTAATACATATATTAAACTTCCTAATAAATAGTTAATTTTGTGTATTCTTTTAATTTATGTTAACAAGCCGAGATTTCACTATAAACACATCTAATGCGAGTCATCAAATGGGGGTTTTCAAAACCAAGTGGCATGCGCCCAAAACAACAATCAAGTACAAAATTAAATGTGCAGACAATCATTGCGGTCCAATATGATGCAAACTGACGGCGGAGACTACAAAAATGCTCAAGGAAGTGATAAAGACGTAATAGCGCCTTTAGTCATCCTTTAGCACGCTGCCAGCCTTCCTAATGCCATCATCGATGATTTTGTCAACAGCTGAAAATAAAGATTAGGAATTAATTTGGCATATCTTTGACATCAGGTGTATATAACTTACAAGCATGATGCTTCAGGAAATGTGGGCGCACCAACTTGTTGTAAATAATAACAGACCCATTGTTGTCCACTGGCAACATGCACCAAATGAGGAAGCCACACTAAAGAATGGATAAAACAGATTCAGGTCAATTACCACACTTTGGTTTGAAGACTTCAACCTCACCTTAAACAGCCAGTAGAGTGGAATAATGTTGGTTAGGAGATGGGAGAAAAATTCAATGACCGTGAATATACCAAAGGTCACCCAGTAGATAAGCCATTTGGTATCATCCTGTTTAGTGCTCGATTCAATGGCATGAATGGACACATAAGCTGGATAAAGTACGCCAATTATGTTGCACAAGAGCTGTGCACCACAGCCAAATACCAAATAAAGAGCACAGAAGGTGGCAGAAACTGCAAATGAATTGAAAGGTTTCGTTAAATGTTTTACATGTTAGCCTTTCCTCTTCTACCAATCCGCAAAACTGGATTTTCTCTGAAAATCTCAATTAGTTTGGACTCCAAAGCTTCGAAGGCCATGATCTATGGCTGATCTCTATCTCCTGCCTGTGCTGTATGTTGGATGTAAAAAACACGATTGCCCTTTTCTCGATCGCAATTTGCTGCAGCGATTCGCCTCTGTGTAGCTATTATTAACCTTTCAGCTCTTGTCATATTCGCACTTGATATTTGGCCACGCGCATTGTGCGCCTATAAATTATAAATGTTTTGTACCTAAGCAGGCGATCTGAACCCAAAAGCCCAGCGGCCAGTGCTGTATTGCATGCCCGGTCGAGCGGACGCAAATTTGGATATCCACCCATTTTTTTTTCTGCTTGCGTGCAATTTGTAAAGGTGTGTAATTTTTTTATCGAGCATTTTATTATAGTTAGTGACCTCACACAGCCTCAACTAATGAAACTCGCGACTGTTATACTGCGATACTCATAAATATAATATGTGTTGACAGACGAAGCACAAGCGGCACACACACACGCTCGCTCATACATACACACACGCATATACATGGGTAGGCACGCTCTAGCTACGCATTGGGCGGCGACTCACCTGAACCAATGTAGACCACAGGCACTCGAACATTTTTGCGAGCTGTATGACGTTGTTTAACTTCCATAATATAATCCCAAAGCCACATTTAAGGCTTTTACATAATTGGTGTTAGCACTGGTAAATTTTACACATTCATACGCATATGTACACAAACACTCATGCACAAGTTCATATATGTTTGCATGCGTGTCCACCTGGTCTGTATACACGTGTGCAAAATCGCCACGAAAGCACAAAACCCGGTCAAAGTCGAAGCTGAGCTTGACCTCTGAGGTTTTCAATTAAAAATAAACGTTTTTTCAATTATAGAAAAAAACAAACGATTACTGAATGTGCGCCACAATGGGCAGAAATTACGTTACTGCAGCCAGCTGTGTGTGAAGTAAACAAAAGAAACACAAAGTTTATGGAAAAATATATACACACATACACGTATGCAGTTTACACATATGTACATGAGAGAGAGAGAGAGGAGTGTATATGTGTCTGTGTGTGGAGCTGTAAAAAGTATGCAATTCCCAAAGTAATCCCAGCCTGCTTTTCTAGTATAACAATTGTGCTTATTTTGGCGCCCTCATGTGATATGTTTGCCTCAGTGCATTATAACAGGTTGCGGTTTCTATTTATAAATTAGAAAAAATTCCACTTAGTCACGTTGAGTAGCCACGTAAGGCGGGGGAAAATGCGTCATGGTCTAGTCCTGTTGATCTATCGCGAACGGTTTTGAGTTTCGCTGGAGACAGGACTCACCAGCAAATATGTTCACTCTATCGATGCCACTGCGCTGCTCCAAAATATCAAAGGTTTTGGTCCATGGCTTCTCAGGATCCCGTAGTGATATTTTCAAGTTTTCTTTGTAATTATCGAACCAATGGGGTATCTGGGAAAATTGTGAACTCATTTTCTAACTGTTAATTTCAGCAACTAATTGATTTAATATGCGTCGCCAACTAGTTTCATCAGCGTTGTTTCAGCTTCTCGATTCACACAGTCTTTGGAGTTGCTACAATCGACCGACCGCCACATAGAGACACAGCCAACTTACAGTGACGCAAAGTTGAGCAACGTTTAAAATTATTTGAATCAGATAAATTTAACAGATACGTTTCTTTTAATAATTTTATTTAAATAAATGTAAGAAACTAAAAAAATTCATTAAATGTAAACAAAATAACGATCTTTATTTAATAAAAGTATTGCACAGTTACAGTTACTTACTAAAAGGATACTATTAGCTTACTGGGGCTAACGGTTTTTTAAATATTAATTTTTCTCACTTTTTTACTTCTTACAATATGAAAATAAGCATTCCTGTTGATCTATCGCGAACGGTTTTGAGTTTCGCTGGAGACAGGACTCACCAGCAAATATGTTCACTCTATCGATGCCACTGCGCTGCTCCAAAATATCAAAGGTTTTGGTCCATGGCTTCTCAGGATCCCGTAGTGATATTTTCAAGTTTTCTTTGTAATTATCGAACCAAAGGGGTATCTGGGAAAATTGTGAACTCATTTTCTAACTGTTAATTTCAGCAACTAATTGATTTAATATGCGTCGCCAACTAGTTTCATCAGCGTTGTTTCAGCTTCTCGATTCACACAGTCTTTGGAGTTGCTACAATCGACCGACCGCCACATAGAGACACAGCCAACTTACAGTGACGCAAAGTTGAGCAACGTTTAAAATTATTTGAATCAGATAAATTTAACAGATACGTTTCTTTTAATAATTTTATTTAAATAAATGTAAGAAACTAAAAAAATTCATTAAATGTAAACAAAATAACGATCTTTATTTAATAAAAGTATTGCACAGTTACAGTTACTTACTAAAAGGATACTATTAGCTTACTGGGGCTAACGGTTTTTTAAATATTAATTTTTCTCACTTTTTTACTTCTTACAATATGAAAATAAGCATTAAGGCACAAATGTGGCATATAGATAGCCTTAGTTAGCAGGAGTTTGTAACAGGGAATGGAGGACTATCTCTTTGGCGATTCTTTTTTTTTTTTTTCAACAATTAACTAGCAAACAATTATATAAATTTGTACTTAACGTTACACAAAGATAAAGACTAGCACACTCGAGAAGAAGAAACATCTTTTAGTTTGTACTTTTCGCGTACAGCAATCAGCTCATCGAAGAACAGCAGCACTAAGGTGGAGTGTGGAGCGATACGCAGATAATTGGCCCAAAAGCCCTTATACATACCATAGATGCCCTCGGTGCGGAAGATCTTGACGAAACAATCCAACCAGCCATTATAGTAGAGGCCACGCCCCTGCGCATCAACGCCCTGATTATAGAGACGCGTACTAATTACATCGGGCGGAGTTATAGCCACGGACATAAGTGAACCGGCAATTAAGCCTGAGCAAAAGGAATTCAACGTTGGCTGCTGAACTAAATCGTATTCTATTAACAATGTTTTAGTCTTGCCAAATGTTGCAATCTGTGCACCAGAGCCAACGGCAGCTCTTGGCAAGGCAGACAAAGATCCACGCCAAAGCCCAACTATGCCGCTCTTGCCATAGATCTCCCTGAGAGCGCCGCTCATGGATTTGTGTGCATGCTGATGGCCAACAGCAATTTCCTTGGCTGCCTGCGATTGCAATTGTGTCTTGATCTACATTGTAAAAAGTATAGAAAGATTAGGTGCGAGTCTTATCTATGGCGGAATTCGTTACTTTGTTTGTCCAGACATTCAAATTAAGGCAACAATCAACGAGAACATAGATAAGTTTCGTCTTTATGTCTGTCTATATATGATCATGCCTTTATGTAATAGCCACGCGCTCTTACCATGAAAAATGGACTAGAAAAGTAGGAGCCCACAATGCCGCCCACTGCGCCCCACATTAGACCCAAACTAAAGGAAACTTCGCCATTTTTCTTATGCATCCACTTATTCTCCATGGCCTTTGTGTAAATGCTTAACCTATGGGGAAATTGACGAATATAAATTAAAGGCTCACAAATCAATGTCAATTCACTCACCTGAAGGAGTTGATTATGAACTGAAAGTAGAGCGCAGGTGCAAGACCCTTTTGCAGACCCATCAATCCATCATTTTTGGCTACTGCCACAAAGGCCTGCAGGACACCTTTGTACGGCTCCACGTAAGAGCCGCGTGCTGCGAGCTCGCCTTGCAGTTGGATGCGGGTTTTGATCACCTCGATCGGATTCGTAAAAAAGGTGGCGCCCACAGAGGCCAAGCCGCCCAGTACAAAGTCCGATGTGGCCATTAAATTAGTGTTTGCCTTTGCCTTGGCGTTGAGGTTGTTAGACTAGAAATAGCTCAGCAGGATTTTTCGTGAGACGTTTATCGTCCAGGCATGTTACGAGGCGATGACAACAACGGCTCAAAGCACGAGCATCCTCGGAGATTCTTTGTTATGATGTTGCGCAGATGTTGACGTCTTCAACAGTTGCCGGCGTCTAATTAGTAAGAAATAAATATATATAAATAATCTTTCCACACTTGTGTTGTGTGTGGTTAGTAATGTAATGTTAGAATCTGTGGCCATCCAAAAAACTTAACATTGTCTGTAATGGTATAAACGCGGTCTCGTTAATTTCTAGAAGACTGCTGTTACTTGCATTTAATATTGAATGTACAATAATAAATCTATTAAGCTAATGAAATAATTACTCAAATGTGAAATATTCTCAACTTCAACTAAATATTTCGAGTTGTATGTCGCAAAAACTAAATTAAACAGATTAATGTTATATATCGATATTCCTCTCATCATCGCCCACTTTGCTAATGCATTCCGTTGGAAATAATCGTCAACAACATTTGTAGGTCGATATATAATTCCACCGATAAGTCTATCAATGCAATAGCAGCATGTAGCCCTCGGTAGCCTTGGTAGTTTTTCAGCCCTGGCACGGATGCAAAACAATAAAAGTTTGGGGACTCTTTTAATAAAACGTTGCAAACAAACGAACGTGAATGTCTACTTTTATAATAAATAGAATATAGCAAACACGCAGGGCGTGTCGCACAAACTCATACATAGCACAAACGTACTCGTGCTGGACGTAATTTTAACAAAATGATTAAATGCTCAATATGGTCACTACTCAAATTAACACTTGCAATTGCGTTTTATGCACCAGATGCAATTGATTGTTACAAAATAGTTCGTCTGCAGGATAATTTGTGCTCGGACAAACTCATCTATACGTTGTCCAAGGCCTTCCGCGGCGATCCAACGTTACGGCTAACCGATGAGCACGACTCCGCTGCAATTATAACGCAAACTTGGAATATATCGCTGCCCAGTGGAGGGCATTCTGTTAATAAAATCAAATATGATTGCCAATTCCGTGTTCAGACCAATGAGCGTCCACCGCGTGGTATTTTCACTATTATCACGAAGCTAAAGCTACGTAGCGATCCGGTGACCAAGAAATGCATAGACTATATACAGTTAAGCAGTGGAAATCGCTCGCCCAGCGAACGGATTTGTAGTGACATATCAATCAATGGACCTGCAGGTCGTTTAATGTTCGATCAGCGAGATCGCGATGCTCATATTCATATTTTTATTAATCGCGATCGGCATATATTAGCGGAGCCACTTGAACTACACATGGTTCTGACGGCGCATTCCGAGTGCCAGTTTGCTGGCGATATTCTCTGCAATCCAAAGGATAAATACTCATGCATATCGCGTCATTTTGTGCAAGACAATATAACGAATTGTATGTATCCTTGCCGGGATGAGGGTACCTGCTTTCACGATGCTATTCCGCTCGAGGAAATGGACACAACAAATGTGGCCCTATCAGCAATAACATCGCTCATCTTTACTATGGTGGGCGTCGGTTTTTGTGTGTGGATCTGTTGGAAGTATTGGAACTGCATTACAGTTCAGCAGCACGCCCACGAAGCATCCGCCGCACGCTTCAATCAGCGACGTGCCCGGGTAATTAAAAATCAAGCATATATAAAATATATTTCTATAAAATAATACCTTTGCCTTTCAGTCCGATGTGCCCACCATTGAGTTGCCCTCTGCACCTTCCTACAATAGTGTGTTGGGCCACGATATGTCGCCAGTATCGCAGGGACGTCATCAACAGCAGCCGGCCACGCCCAAAGATCTGCCGCCTAGTTATGAATCACTGTTCCCCGATAGATAAGGGCTGTCCAAAATGCATTAAGCTGATTGCTCCCGTTTTTGTGCCAGGCAGATAAGAATCAAAAGTTGTTGGCGCCAAACTACACACACGAACTCACATTTATTGCAGAACAATTGTTGTAACAGTTCCATTCCTAAATAGGTATTTGTACAATTACATTAAAAGTAATTGTAATTAATTACACATCATAGGCAATTAGCAGAGATAAATGCAATGTATATATGCACATTTGTTCTAGTAATAGGTCTGATTTTATGTTGTCTATATTCAATTAGAATTAGCCACGAATAAGATCTTGGGTAAATGTGTTCAAGCAAGCTAAACTAATCAAGTACAACCAACTACGGCAACTCAATTTATAATTATTAGATTCCCCTGTTTTAGTTTTATTTTTATTTGTAAAATTTAAATGTATATAAGAATGTTTTTATGTATAATAATAGTTTCATGTTCAGTTTTTTTTAAATATCAAATTCTGTAGTGCACTCCGCGAATTCAACCAATCTCTTATATAACTCGAACACTAATGAAATCTCAATCAATTAGTAATGAAATTCTATTAACTGTAAGGTAAACTACAAACTAAAATAGTTAGCGAAAATTTGGAGATTCCATTGAACGAATTGTAACATAAGTATTAATCAATGATATTCAATCTATACGATATAAATGTATATCTATATATGTATGTCTGAAATAGCTGCAATGGTATATACAAGAGATTAGCGGCATTACATCTAGTTGTACCTGTATCATATACACATAAATGTTTACCTATATACACACGCTTTTAAGCAAATGTAAGCAAAAGACAAAGAGTACCACATTAGAGAAAATACATCAATTATGTTATTGCAGGCCTTGGTCGTCAATTGTTTAAACAAATGTGTAAGCGAAATTGTATTATTTAAGGAACAGTATTTACTCAAAATATGTAACCGATTAAGAATAAACACTAACGGTCAATTTAAAGCATTCACAGAAACACACTCACAAATACGTACTAACTATAAATAAAACAACTAAATGTTTGAAACTGAAAGCGTATTCCTGATGGCTCAATGTGGGAGGGGAGGAAACCATGCTTATGCAAAAAAATATATATATGTATTTACTGTAATACTTATTTAACAACTGGTTGCTGCTGGTTTCATCACCTGGTGACACAGAGCGAGAAACCGAATGACTCAGCCACGTGCTGCCCAAACAAAAAACAACTACGGCCAAAAACGAGTTGTAATCAGTCAAGAGTGGCTTACAAATTGTTTTTAATGTGCTTGTGAATTCGGTTAATTGTGTTTGTCGAAAGCATTTCTTTTTTATTTTTAATAATATTTAGTCGTATTTACTGGCAATCACACTTCTAATCTTAATACTAATACCTATTGTTATATTTTTATACTTATACTTATACTTATACTTATACTTATACTTATACTTATACTTATACTCGTTTAGCAGCCTTGCTTTCAGTGCAGCCTGTTCCACACGCAGCTCAGCAGTTTAAAAAACATAAAAATATTGTGTTATAAGTCAAGACTTGAGAGTTTGCAAACAACACTTGAACTTCTTTAACTACTGTAGCGCTTAGCAACTATCCAATGGTTAATTGGCACAAGCCATTTATAATAAACTCTCAAATGTATTTAATGGCAATGACAAACAAATGTTAATGCCGAAAACTAGACATTGGCATTGACAGAGTTCAACGTCAGGTAGCAGTTGAAGTGAATCAATTATGAAAAGCCTCAAGCAAATCAATCAAATTTGTTTAATTTCAAGACATTCGAAGTGTGGATAATTTGTAATAGACCAACTGAAGTCAATGCACGACCCTTTAACGTAACGGTCAAGTTGAGGGCTAGCTGGGAACTACCTCAATCTGAGCTTTGGCAATTGGTATATATTTTAACTAATTATTGCCTGATTAAATCAGTAATCAGATCATTGTTAAAATTTTTTTTTGCTTTATCTGGAAGAAGTCGCTGCCGAGATAACGTATCGTAACATATATGGCAGTACAATTCCGTCTCGGCTAGAACGCAATTACTGGCCGACTCTAATTAAGCTATGTCCACATTGAGAATCAAATCGTTCGCGGCAGAGTAATATGAAGTACAAGCAGAAACCCGTTTCCAAGCCATAAATGCGATATATCTAATGACAGACGGCAGAGACTTGATTGTTTCTAACTGACGACAGAAGCGTGAAAATTTACAAAACTCACGATATGTTCTTTACGCTGAAGAGTATATCTAATATATGATCGAATCTGTTGGCAGAGAATGAATGAAGGCTTTTAGTTTATTCATATAAGATTTTTAGTATTATGTGTTCAAACACATTTTATATTTTTGTTTATATGTGATAGAAAATAATTTCGTTGCGGCTACACTTAAATTGCTTTGTCTTTTAACAGATTTGTAGCTGGTTTTCCACACTTTAATTTATAATATCTATTTATATTTTGATTACTTATTTAAAAATTGTGTTAAGCTCAAGGAAATAAAAATAAATATATATTATGTTATAAATATTAGATTTTAAACTCAATTATGTTTGACATTTACAAATTAATTTGTTGCTAACTGTAAGTTCACCTTTGGTAGGGAATTTAAGGTGCGCAGCTTTTAGTTCAGATACTTTATTTATTTCTGGTTAGTTTTACAATATACCAATTAGCATGTCTGGCGTTTCAATAAGATTGCGAATATGCTCAAGGGCCACGCCCACAAAGCTGGCCAAATGCGGCTGAATTCGCATCGTAATGCAATTTTATTTTTAAGCAAAATTCAAGAAATTGTGCGAATAAACGACAAAAGCGACAAGAGTAATGTAAACGTGGGTATATATATGCTTCAAACGGGGTATATGTGTATGTAGGGTGGCATATATAATTATAAATTACATGAATATGCGTGTGTGAAGTGTAGTAGCGAGCGCTGAGCATTCGACAATTGCTTTGCAGTTGTCTTTTGGCTTTGCCGGCTGTGACAGTTGCTGCAGCAGCAGCAGCAGCAGTTGTTGTTGTTGTTGGCTCGATCAGTGGCTGCAATTAGCCAAGTTACGCTAAGTAAAATCAGCTACAAAAAAATATATACGCAAATTGTTGAAATTACTTTTTTTGCACAGAAAAATAGAAACAAGTTAAAGCTCCGCGATCGAGCCGCAACCGGTTGCTTTTGTGTTGGTGTGATTCATGTGCCGTACAGAGGGGCGTTAAGTGTGCGTGTGCGTCTGCATGTGCGTGTGTGTGCATAGGCGTGGGGAGCGGGGAGTACCCATACTAGCTGGAGCCAGTCGACTGCCAACGACAGCGAGCTGCGCTCAGTCGACAACAGAAACCAGAACCAGAAAGATCAATTCGCGGGGTCTCTGCGAGCGCGTCGAGTGCCACTGAACTTGGATGAATGTTGAGAAATCGAAACTGTTACTGGATGCTAATACCTATGTAAATTGTGCGCGTGTTGAAATTCAAATTCAAATTTAAACTTAAATTCAAATTCAATTGAAAGTAAACGATTTATTCAACATCGATATAAACAATTGTTATTATTGATTGTGCAGTCAATTGTCGAGAGATATTTATTTATTTGCGAAAGCAAACGCGGAAACGTTAGTTTATTTTACAAGCCAAATAGAAGCAGAAAAATATCGCAAAAGTCAAATACTATTTGTGTAAAACATAAATAAACATTTGTGTCCGAGCACTGCTAAATATATGAATTTATATATGCATCAAGCTTACTTCAGCTCATATACAACAAAAACGATGACAGCTGCGAGAGGGCCGACAATGCTGCTATTAATTGCACGTAAGTTTAAAAAGTCATAAAATAAATTTATTTATCAAAAGTGCAATAAATATAAGTTGATGCTGAAAGTTATTAACTATTAAACTAAAATAGTCCAACATATATTTAATGCATTTGCATTGAGCTGTGGGTTGCCAATGAAAGGTAATGTGGAATGGGTCCATAATTGATGTCGAAGCTTTGCAGAAGCTTGCAAAGCTGGGCAAATGCTCTCTTATACTATACTAGATACACTATTTAAGAGCTATAAGCAATCCATAGTAGTGTACATATACTAACAATTTCTATAGATTTTAGTAAGTGAAAAACATATTTTCTGTATTAAATATTAAATGATAAATTATATTATAAAATATATTTATAGACTTTAAAATAGGAGACAAATTAATGTTAAAAATATTATAAAGTTTTATGAAAAATATAATATAAATATTTAAAAGAATAAATAATCATTAAAAAAAGTTAGTAAAATATTTAAATTTAAAAATATATATCTATATATATAATATATATCTAGATAAATATTTGCTTTTTAAATTTAAATATTTTCGCAATTTTTATATATTTATATTTATATTATATATTTGTATTACTTTTAGTTTTATTATTTTTTCCACTAAAAATTATTTTTTTAAAAGTTTATTTCGTCTATTATTGTAATCTATAATTATATTTAATACTGAAAAGTATATCTACGATAATTTCTTTAAAATATCTCTTAAGACTTATATTGTTTTTTATAATTATTATATATTTATTGTTAGTACATTAAAAACTTAAAGAGCTTTAAGAGATCTAAAGAGAAGTTTTTTTTATATAAATGTCTGTAGATTGTACTTGAGGCATAAAGCGTCTGTCCATAGTTGCGCTACCCGTGCGAATTATTTCGCATTAAATTTTAATTAGAGATTAAGGATAAGCTCAGATACATGCATGTGAATTATGTGCCATACTTTGTATTATATTTGTTATTGCTATTGTTATAATTTGTAATTACTATTTAAATGAAATGCGAACAATGAATGATATTGTTAATGCAGTTTGAACTTGACTTAAATTATTCATATAGAGAATATGCATGGGAAGTTTCCGTAACAGTTCGCAGCACTAAAAAAAGGTTTCACAACAGCAATCAGAAAAACACTTTTATCTGCGCTGAATGAAGTGATATGGACAGCTTCGACGGCTGTCAAAATAATATACAAATTAGCTGCTAGAATACATTAAGAACGTGTTAACGTTGTGTGGCAGGCGCCTGTTATAAAATTATATTTAAGGGCTTAACACCGATATGATGAAATTTGTGAATGGATTGATAAGCGAATTTTGCCTAGTTAAGAGAGTTTGGCTTATATGACTGCTGTAATCAAAGCCTAACTGTTTTATAACCAATTAAGAGTGAAACGCGCGTCTGTTTCATTGGTTGTAGAGCCGACAGCATCTTATATACACATATTTGGTATTGTCACAGCTTATCGGAGCCATAAACAACGCTAATGATGCTTATATTCGTTAGATAAAGCACAAGCTTCCCGAACATGTGATCCACGGTGCACACGACAACAAAATAATTTAATTAAAATCAGGTCTTCAGTTTCAGTCCAACAAGTTCAATTCAATTATCTGACACAGTTCGTCATTGAGGCAGCTCTCGCTCGATCTCTCTCTTTCTATATATATATATATATATATATATGTATATATATTTATGTAGATCAGTTGGAACGGTTAACCGTTTGGCGCTGCTGCTAATGGCTCAGCAGTTTATGCTAATTTTCGCACAATTCTGTTTGGCCTGTCAACAAGGCATTGGACTCGACGTGTAATCAGCTCAAATGCTAAATTACTCTCACAAATGAGCACCCCCACGCGCTCCTCCTCGATACTGAACGACTCGCATACTTATTATATCATATCAAGTATACGGCACGTGACCGCCTTTATATACACATTATATTTATAATACTCAAGTTTTAAAGATTCAGTAAATGGCAATTCGGGTCCACTGACCTATCAGAGTGAAAGGCCCTTGCCACGTGTAGACTTTTGAAATTTCTGCTGCCACATGTGGCAAGAATTTGCACAGCTGATCTGGCGCTCGTATATTTGCGCATATTTGCAAGTTGACAAAATTGCCGTCTGGCAAATAGTTCTCATTAGACAATAGCAATTTGCTTGTTCAGCTTTTAAATTGGGTATTCGCTTTTATATAGCCAGACACTGGGCATATGGCACTTGGCTTCGCAACTTGTCTTATCAGCTCTGGCATTTTGCATTCTATTCTTAGAGCTGGGCGCAGTTTAATGAGTTTATGATATGGCTGATTGTTTTGCTTTTTTTTCTGCAGCAAGACAAATTACTTGACGTTCATCGATCTTTACAATCGGGTTGTAGGCAGTTTATAATTAGATTTTCTATAAACATTGTTATCTGTAGTAATATAATTAGTTATTAATATAACTCGACTTATTAATATTTTATATATAATCATTATCAGGATTGCTTAGTTGACGTAATCATTATCATCACTTTCATTCATTATCATTATTATTATTATTGCTAATATTTAAGGCTAAGACAATATTACACCCATGCTTAGGTTTCAATTAACTCGTCTAATGAATTTGCTCATTTTTACCAAGAATTAAAACCTGATTTTTCCCTTTAATCGCTTTGCACGAATCAACTTGAATTCGCAGTAATAAATGTCTCTTAAATTGTGGTATCGAATATTAGTATGTTTAAATCTAGAATGCCCTACTAGCAGTTACCTCGTAATTATTTAAATCATTTATATATAATGAATAAAATTATATGAGTTGGATGGTATTCTTCAATACATAAGACTAGTTTGCTTCGTCAAAAGTCACATGTATATAAACATACCCCTGGCAAGCTGTGAGTGTGACTATATTCAAGTTTTTCCCACTGGTTTGTGATAAACTTATGTGTCATCGAAGCTAAGTTTTCGAGTATCGGGCAGATGGAGACTTTGCTTTGAGATTGCTCACTAGACAATGGGGCGTATGAATAATTTGATTTTAGTCGAATTTCTTGACAAACTTTTGTTTGGTAAATGAGTAATATACACATGTTGGACAGCTGGTGCTGCTGCTGTTGCTACTCAATGGTGAGCCTACGACAATAATTTCTGTGTATGCCACAATAGCAGCAAGCTGCCATTGTGAAATTGATAAAAGCGCAAAATGTGAAGCTATCAAATGTCAAGGCAATTGAAGTTGTGCCGTGTGCTCTTTCCTAAAGATAACTGTATGACGCTCTATAATTTTATATAGACAAGACACGCCGCTGACAGACGTCGAGTGATAGATGGTGAAATGTTCAATCGAATGTTCCGGCAGCATAATTTTAAATGCAAACAATAATGAAAAACAAAGCCATAAACGAGCGTGTAAACAATCAACAATAATTGTTTTTGTTTTTTATTTCTGTTTAATGTAAGTTTATGATACTTTTGTACCTGAAGTCGAGTACTATTTATACGACAGGTGCTAAATCGTCGGGCCTAGCAGACTAAACGACGCCAACCTACTGCAGGTCTTATCAGTAATCCACTAGAGAATTAGCGTGCTCGTCCATTTTAGTTAAGTCTCTATTAACGGGGCCAGAATTGATTGCCTAATTACGCTTCATTATGCTTTTATTTTAGTTCATAAATTCAAAATGCGCCCAATTATGCGCTATAAATAGAAATCAAAACAACCTTTATCGGTTGTCAAGTGTTTTTTTGGTTTTATAAACCCGAACGTAAATATATAAGTAGTATATATAAAACAAGCCATGCCCATTGATAGCGTATCTGTGCGATCGGGGATTGTAAAATATTATCAATGTATTGGGATTTGCTGTCTGTTGGGTGCGTGGTCTGTTGGACTGTAATCAACAATAGCAATTTGTAGTATAACAATTCTTCTTGTTACCATTTCAGTATTCAGTGTCTATGCGAGCGGGACACACGGGCAGTCCTACCTGTTAACCTTGGAGAACGTACTAGCGCGACAACTGCCATACAATATAACGAGCGTGAACGGCACCAGCGAAACTGATCTGTTTGCCGAGCAAGTGGATAATAACACAAGAATATTTGTCTATAAAAATAGTAAGTAAATTGATCTCAAAAGATAAGCAAAAGATGTTAAATAGAGATAACACAGATCTAACATGAACAGGAACTACTATTTGCAATAGCTGATCTAAAGCGATCTAAATATGAAATCAAAATTTTAGCAAATTTCTAATTTTAGTACAAAATTTAAGCTTTTATAGACCAAGTTGCCAAGCTCTTTAATTGTCGCTGCTGTACCATAAATAACTAGCAAATTATCATATATGTATAATTAATGTTTTTAATTGATTTCAAATGCTCTCCTCTGAGCTAGAACCATATAGATACATTAAATAATGTATATGAACGTTTCCCCGTTATTACCAATTTGCAATCACAAGTTACAACTTAATAACGAGTCGCGACAAACAGGTTTATGATAGAACAAAAAAATCCGTTCAGCTTTTGAGTCCAGGTGGACCCACGACTACCGCCCATATCAAATGGTTTGTTTTAATGCATTAACTTAGTTTTGCGTCAACAAGTTTGTGACACATAATCAAGTTTTTTTTGCTTGGAAACGAACGTCAGCATGATAAAGCCAGCTGATGGATATCTATTCGGTCTATGGAACATGAAGTGTAATAACTAATAATAATAATGATATAATTAACAGTTAACTGCAGTGGTTTTTCCGAATTCTAATTTTTCAAAGAATGTTCACCATTTTATTTAATATAAATATCTATATATAATGAAATAGATACGCACAACTCAGCTGTCAATAATCCTGACCTAGTTTTTCGTTTCGGCCAGGCCTCCTTCTGCTTGTGAGATATATGTTGAACAGTATTATATATTAAAGTGACTTTAAATGGTTCTTCAAATGATATTACAAATATTTACATTTTGTTTTTTTTTTATACTGAATTTTTACTTTTTATATAAATATTAATATCTAAATGATTAATATTGAATAGGGATTTTTTCATGGCACTTTATTTGAACTGTTCGTCGCTAAAATTTAGCAAAAATAATTTTTTAAGTAGAAAGCAATAGGGGAAGAACAAGCTGCAAAGCATAAATAACCTGAGATTCATATTATCTACACATATTTGCGAAATTTAAACTTTTGGCTTTTTCCAATATAACTAGATTCGTCTAATAAAATATTTGAATAATATTAAAAGCTCGCCAAACTTTTAGTATAAGCTCGCAAATTATATATGCACATATTTGGAAATTTATGAATTTTGGAATGTGGCAAACTGAGCGACTCGAATTAGACTTGTGTTTGTATTTAATATAACTTGGCTTATCATGCGCCAAGTAGATCTCTTTTTATATTCATTGTACTTTGCTACGTGAGCTAAAAATAAATCTGAGTGGTCGTTTTCTTGTATACTTGGAACTTGTTATTCTACTTATAAGAATTTGTTAGATTATTAAATGTGATATTAACTTATTCCAGTTGATATTTAACTACAAATTCCTTTATCTTGCTCTTTGCAGTCGTAGACTCCGACAACGAACTATCTCAGACGGCTATGGATGTGATTACCATTGTTTGGTATGTGGCTACATTTCTGGCTTTGGGTGCTTTCTTTATGCTGATGGCTTGTTCGGATCGCAGATGCCGCGATATGCGTAGCCGGCAGCCAAATGCCACGACCAATGAGGCACAACGTGCCCCGCCCACACCGTCACCATCATACAGCGAGTTTGCACCGCCCAGCTATGATACAGTTATCAAAATGCAGCATGCGGCCAAGACAAGCATCTTCGTCATACCATTCAACAGCGAGAATAAGGCCAATGATGAGTTGAATGTGACGCCAGTATGCGCTGCACCCGCCAGTATCTATACAATTGACGAACGACCCAAGGCACAGCAATGATAAGGCCTTTCGCTTTTAGCCCGCATTGGGGCTGTATAATTAACTGCTCTGTGATATTTATCTGGTGCCCATTCAAAATGCCCTCGTTTTGGGTAAAAGCAAGCAAAACGACGTGGCCAATTTGTTAGTGCAGCGCAAACTATGTATTATAATAACTATGTTGTATTGTAGCAAAACTTTAGCATTAAGTGATTTATATTTAACTGTTTAAGAAGACTGAACGACAGAATATCCGTACATATTTTGCAGTAGTCCATTGATTATGATGTTTTAGCTTAGGTAACCTAATAAATTTAAAAATTGTCATGATGCATTCTTAATAACTTTTGACTTTGGAAGAACATGGAATTGCTCACAGATTTCGCAAGAAAATGATTCATATTGAAAAGTTTAAGGAGAAACGAATTTTTAAGCGGTTTGCCAAGCAGTGCCATTTGAAGCTTTATACAAGCAGAGCATAACATGCCAAGCAGTTCAGCGTACATGGAATGTGTAAAGCAGTTAATAAAGGTTTGCATTCGTAAATCTAGCAAGCAGTTGTTGCCGTGAAACAACTTTAGCTAAGACACACACCAACATAGTCTTTTGCCTCCCACTACAAAAGAAATTCTTATGTTTAAATGCTATCTAGTTTGATTTTAATATTTACACTTATTTAAATAAAAACGTTTTGTTTTGCTATATGCATAGCAGCTCTACTAATAACCCATATATATCCATTCGTCACCTTGACACAAATTGAATTAAATATGAACAGTTTAAGTAGATCATCTCAAGCTTCACAGCTGTTCAAGTTGTATTAAGCAATTGTATTTCCCCTTCATTATTTTATTATTTTCTCGATGATAACGTCAATAAATGTCAATAAGCTGTTCTCTATTTGTTTTTCTCGCAAAACGAAACGTGTTGAGCATTGAAAGTAAAATACTATCAGTGGCGATGATGACTAAAGTCGGGGATTTTCAATGAAAGCTCTAGGCAGCATACAAATTTCATGGTCCATATGATTAGGATTATGCTGAGAGCCGTTGTAGAGCGCATCGTCAGTTTGTCAAGTTCATAGTTCGATTTGTCCCAGGGTATTTGTGTCGTGCAGTAACTGCCGAGAACTTCATTCATTCATTGTCTTCAGTTAATCATATCGGTTAACATCTGCTGCAGAGAGATCAAATTCTTGGACAGCATCACATGACGTGCACATGATGTTTTACGTAGAAGAGCTGTTTTTTCAATTGAATTTATTTTCAATTTTTTATTTTTGCACATTTTGCTAAAATTGAAATTTTGTTGATTCCTAAAAAGAACAAAACTTCTGCCAGACGACAGAGGCACGCTCACGAAATCCATGAGAGCTGATAACAATTACAGATTGTTTCTACATCAGAGCACACACACACAAATATACGCCATGCACGCATACATTCACACACTCACGCACACACACACCGAGATCATAACCAGATCATTTGCTTTTAAATGCAGTTAAATCACGTTACGCCTCGATAAATGCGGTTAATCATAAAGAAGTTTTACTTCTTGATTACTCTACGGACTGGCGCCTCCTGCCTGGCTGCTCCAATACCCTGTAAACAGAGAGAGTCTTGCGCAAGTGCTTATAAACTAGAAAGAGGGTTGAGAGTGGGTTGAAAATTTAATAATTTATCTAAAAGTTACATTTTGAATGTGCTTTAAATTAAATAAAATATTATTCAGATTTATTTAAATGTTTATTTTTTTATAATAATTATGGAATATAGTTTTGCTAGGGAAATACTTCTTTTAATAAATTAAAAGAGAATAAAGTATAATATATTTTGTTGTAGCCATTTTAGGGTAATCATGGGTAGCTTCTAGTCGAGCATATTGACACTCTGGCTGCTGTTCAATAAACATTCAGAACTCATAAATACTACTTGAGTCTAAATATTTGATGGCCCATTCATTACGTTATTGGCGTGCTTTTCAGAGCGCGTGAGTTCCTCAAATGAATTATGTTTTTATTTGGATCGGGTTTGTTTTTGGATTCGGGTTTGGGGTCTGACTCAATTGTTGTTGTTACTGTTGCTGTTGCTGTTGCTGTTGGTCTTGGTGTTGCCTGCTGACTGCCAACTAGTGCCGGCTGATCTTTCATGCGCCGCCCGTCGTTGGGTTTTCCTGCTGTTTGTTGTTTGCAAACGCGCCAATATTATTAATGGCTCTCACGCTCTTCAATTGAACTGAGAGCCCGCATACAACACTATCTGCTGTGTGCCCTCTGCCAGCCCCTTTGGCTGCTGCTCTCTCCAGTGGGTTGGTTGGCTGGTTGTTTGGTTGTCCGTTGTATGATCGACGGGCTGACTCTCTGGCTGCTTCAGCTTCAGCCTCAGCCTCTGCCGCTGCCTCATTTGTCGTTCGTTCGTCGTGTTGTGCAAAACAACGTTTCGTGGTTTCTATTCGACAACAATTTTTGTTGAAAAGCATCTGGAACGAATTTCGACTCGCTCAGTGCTACGCAAACCGTGCTAACGTGTGGATTACTTACGAAGTGATAATCAAAACTAATATAGAAAACAGAAAGACTAAACATGTCGAACAGCATAAATATCTTTGGCCTCTGCCTGGTGTCAGCTCTGATGCTGCAATTTGCTTGTGCGGATATCGAGACAAACGAAGTGAATGACAATAGTACGCCCGAGTATAGTAAGTGTGAACGATAGCCATAGCCCTAACCTCAGCCAAAATACACTGTACATCCCCAACTTGCAGTGATTCAGGGCGTGCGTGTTTATCCCAATGATCGCCACTGTGCTTTGGTTGGAGGTCTCTGTGTGCACACCAGCGATTGCAATCTGCCCACCACCAACAAGGGTCTCTGCCCCAGCAGCGCTCACCTGGGCGTTGAATGTTGCTATGAGCGTAAGTAGTCTTTGGACGAATCTATCACAATGCATATAGAGCCTTGCTTCTAACGCTTCAACGTTTCTCAGTTATTTAAATTCCTGCCCAAAAACGATTTCCTAATAATTATTGAGCTTGATTGGTATTACTTTATGTACTCATCTATTGTTTTTTTCGTTTGTCTTTCCTTCAACAACAAAATACTAACAATCGACGCCTATCTGTCTGCTACCTCCTCTCTCAACTGTCTCTCACCTGTAATTGTCTCTGTTATACATTGTGTGTGCCCCGCCCCGTTCCATGTTCCCCTACCGTTGCAGTGCCGGTGAGGCCAGCGCCCTGTGAGCAACACTTGGGCGCCTGCATGAAGTCCTGCAATCCTTCAATCCAAAGACCCGCAACCGACTGCGACAACGGAGAAGTTTGCTGTGTTTTGATGAACAAATAAATTCATTACAAAATTATTTGTCAACTGTAGACTATAATTAACAATACTTTTACTTATATATTGTACGAATTATTCTTATATAAAATATATTTCTACTGTTGTAATAAAACACACTGTAAATATTTAAAAACAAATCACAACTTTTATTTACTTTTGCTAACATCTGACAGCCAGTGAAGGGCATTAAAAAGTTGTGCAAGTGCGTGGAGAAGTCTTTAAGCTAGTCAAGTAGTAGAAGAACGTGAGATTTTTAACTTAATTTAAGTATATATGTGGATTGGACTTGTTTTTATGAAATAATGATTTTCTTAAGTTCGAAATTGATCGAAGAATGTGTGAATGTGAAAATGCTTTAAATATCAAAGGATTCTCTGTCATTTATCATCATCATTTTTATGATTGGCCATATATTATTTCTATATCTTTTCATAAAAATACTACTTTATTAAGAGCGAAATATTATATTATTAAATTATTAAATTTATTAATAAGTTATTGAATATTATTCTAATAAAAAATTTCAACAAATATAAGAAATACTTCTTCAAAAAATATAATTTATATGACTTAAAATATATATAAAATATAACTAGTATTGTATCTGTTGGCAATATCGACTCAATCGTTGCTCCTAAGTTTATATATAAATTTTAGACTGAACAGTTTTTTGCCGCCCTCTTTAACTTTTTATCCCAATTTACTAAAAATCTTATATATCTCTATACATTCGATAGATAATTTACCAGTATAGTTTTCACATTATGTGAGAGGAAGCTTTGGCTTAATAGATGGCTTTAGTGATTTTTGCTAATTTTAAAATAGTTTCTGATAGTTACTAACGCCTTAAATGCAGTTCATTTCAACCATATCTAATTCACTTATGGACTCGTTATAGATTCATAGGTGTGGCTTTCCCTTGAGAAACATTTGATAGGAATTTCGACTCTGACAAAAAAATATATACAGATATAGAAAAGACAACACTAAATATGTGGAGCAGCATCAATATTTTTACCCTCCTCCTGGTGTCAGTTTTGATGCTGCAATTTGCTTTTGCGGATACAGAAGTAAATGATAATGGTACGTCCGAGTATAGTTAGTGTGAATGATAGCCATAGTATTGAGGTTTACGTACTCATCTGTTCCCTCTACCGTAGAAATGCCGACGGACCCAATGCCCTGTGCGAAACACCTGGGCGTCTGCACGAAGTCCTGCGCTCCTCCAATCCAAAGAATCACAAACGACTGCGACAATGGAGAAACTTGCTGTATTTTGATGATATAGAAATTAAACACAAATTGATTAGTCAAATGTAGACTATGATTATTTTATGTAAAATATATCCATATTGTTGTCATAAACACTCTGTAAATATTAAAAAAAAAACTATGAATTTTGCAGATTTAATTTATTTCGTTTTGGTAGCATTTCAAAATTTGATCAACTGTGACTAATGCAGAGTTACGGACTATTATGACTTGTAGATAAATAGAATCTCAGCTGTGGTCCCGTCATTTGAAACGGATTTCAACTCGCTTAGCTAAGCACGCCTTGCTACCGTAACAATTACGCTGGTATAATATATACAGATCCAAAACTAATAAAGAAAACAAAAAAGACTAAATACGTCAAACAGCATCAATATTCCTATTCCTATTCCATAATGGTCCATCCAATTATAGTAAGTTTGAGTGGGACATAGCCTTACGTATTAGGTTTTGAGTTTGATTGGTATTACTTTATGTACTCATCTATTGTTTTTTCGTTTGGCTTCCCTTTAACAACAACAAAATACTAACAAGCGACGTCTATCTGTCTGCTACCTTCTCCCTCAACTGTCTCTCACCTGTAATTGTCTTGCGTGTTGCCCGCCCCGTTCTGTGTTCTATCTACCTCAGAATGGCCAACGGGACGAGCGCCATAGGCGCAACACCTGAGGGCCTGCACGAGGTCCTGCTATTCTTTAATCCAAAGACTCGCAAATGACGGCGACAACGGTGAAGTTTGCTGTGTTTTGATGAGAAATAAAATTAGTCAAATGTAGACCTTATGTTAAATATATTTATATTTATAAATATTAACTTTTTTATTTATTTACAAAAATTCTGCCATCAAGTTCCAATGAGCTTTAGTAGTTTTAAAAGATGTTAAAAAATAATTTGAAATCCTTGACCATTTTGATAATATGATCAACCGCACCTGATGCAGTTATGGACTATGAGCAGCTTTATATAAATGGATTCGCAACGTTGGTGCTGGCCAGCAAGAGTAAAAATTGTATAAAGCTGCAAATTATCTGGAAATATAAGCAGTTGATACACGAAGCAAAAGGCATTCCGACTAACTATAGTTTCCAAGCTGTTGCTTACCTGTAATTAAGATTGCGTGCGATCAGCTCACACACCTGCTCTGCTCTTGGTACCTCAGCTAACTTAAATTAAAAGGTCTGCACACAATTGTGCAAGAATCATTAATACTAAAATCAATATCTTTTCAGAGTTAAAAAGGAGCAGAACCAAATATTTATATATATAATATATACATATATGTATATAAATATAATAACTATGCATTAATAATATTTGTAACTATGTCACAACTGTACGACTAATTGTTGTTGTGAAACACACACATGGAGAGGCTGCAATTAAGTGTTCAGTAAATATTTTCAATTGATATGCTCAGATATTGTCTCTCTCTCATTCTCTCTCTCTCTCTCTCTGTCTGTGGCATCTCTCACATGACTAATATGTAAACATCTCGCTGATTATGTAAGTGCTCACATTGCTGCCACTGCTGAATCATAGGCAGTCAAAGAGATGCAGAAGGTTGAGCACCAGGTCAGTCAGGCGGTTCTTATCAGCTCGCCACTCTCCGGGATACAGGCAGCTGACTGTCCAATAATAATGATGATCATGATCATGTTGATCATGATGTTGATGATATTTGTGTTTGATTCGGTTTCGACAGTGTCACGTGTCAGTATATCAACGCCTGTACAGTTGTGTGGCTGGAGCTCTGGCTTCGATCAGCTAAAATGTTATCTCTGACTATATATAAATATATAAATATATATATATATATATATATATATGTATTTGTAGAAGGAACTTTAATTTATATACTTCAGCGCATATCTCCCCGTTTTTGGTTTCAATGTCAAGTTCAAAGCTGGTTCAAGCTGACATCAGTTTCGATTCTAGTATATTCCAATGCCCCAAGTGTTTTCCAAGTAATTTTCGAAATCTGTAGAAATATATATATATATATATATTATATATATTATATGATTTCTTAAATTTAAAAATAAACGTCCTTGCTGACCATTCGTGCTCGTAAGATTTACCAGACAACAGCGGCACGCACTCGTGTCTAGATAATATTTTAGTTTTGTGTTTATTTTGTGTCGTTATTTTTAGTTAAGTATTAGTTGAGTGGGCGAGTTTTATATTGAAATCGTGCTGCCTCACAACTAAATATTGCCTCTGTGAGTTGAATGAATTGAGCCAAGGCAACACAGCGAGTGAATCTGGCTGTCATTAGAGCCATTATTTTTCTTGTTCTTTAGCTATTTACTATTTTACGCTTAATGGATTGCGAAAGGTAATTAGAAAATATGGGTAGTATGGTATAGATTAGCTCTCTTTTTATTTGGTGCTGAAAATACCTATTTATTTATTAGTAGATGTAAGAGGGGCATACTGTGGGAAGAGAAGCAAGAGCCATAGCGAGAGAGAGAGAGAGCTTGTGAGAGAAAGGGTCAAAAATGGCTATATAGAGAAAGACTGAGAGAGGGAAAGAAAGAGAGAGAGATAGAGAGAGAGAGAGAGAGAGAGAGAGAGAGAGAGAGAGAGAGGGGAGAGAAAGAGAGAAAGAGAGAGAGAGAGAGAGGGGGAGAGGGGAGAGAAAGAGAGAGAGAAAGGAAGAGAGATAAGGCATGAGAATCAAAATACGAGAGTGGGAGTAGATATATAGACAGAGAATATGATAGAGATTGAGAACAAGACAGAGAGCAACAAAGAGAAAGGGCGAGGGAGACTATGTATAAGTTTTAGCTCAGCTTAAGTCGCGTGCATCCTTTGGCGTGCTAAATACTTTTTCCTTCTCTGTCATTCTAATTCATATAAGCCTTTGTCAGAGTGGATTCGTAGACTAAGTGAAGTGAAAACTTTAATAAAATCAGAATTTTTGATCTTTACTACTACAACTTTTTAGACTACTACTATCGATCTATGGCTCACATTTAAAATATAAGCCACAAGCGGATCGATCAGCTTCTTACAAAGCTCAGTTTTTATAAGCAATTAAAATGTCCGAAACACTATGACTTGAGATGCCTTCTGAGATCGTGAACGATGCGCTCACTAACCCAATTATAGAACAAATTACATGCATTCTGTGCACATGGTCGTTTGTAGTACTGTCACTATCTATAACCCCCATAGTCTGCTGTTTTATAGTGCAATTCCTCAATTTGCGCAACCTTCTCCAATGCCAGTGAAAACGACAAGTGGCTTTGAACATGAAACGGCGGCCTTGTCTGGTGGACATTGAAGCCTCTCTCTATGTGTACTGAGCGTAGTGTTTATATTTCATATATGTTGTTATATAGTATAGATTATCAAGCAATCTACTACATAGGCTTATTTCAATTGAGTCAAAGCGTTTAACTGCGTCTTAGATTACGTAACATTGACTGGCCTCTCTTCGGTAGGGGCAGAGGCCCAGAGGGCCAGAGGGGCAACTGCGAACTTTTCAATTGCGATTTGAACTTTTGCGAATTGGTGATTTTTTTCTTATTTTCTTTGCATGTATTCGCAATTGATTGAATAAAGTTGACGAAACAAAATACCACGTAATAGTGTTGTATACAATACTCTTATAAATATTTTGTATATTCTCCGCTTCGTTTCGTGTAGCCTTTCTTATCAGACTATTCGCTTATGTCATATAG